TTTATCTTTCTTTTTATCTTTTTTCTCCTCACATTCCATTTTTCTTCTTTGATTTTTGTTTCCTCTTGTTCGAGTTTTCTTCTTGTTCTTCTCCAAATTTCCCATATTCGTGTTTTTATTTGTTCTTGTCTATGTCTTATATTTCACCTATCAATTCATTTGATAGTTTAGATTTTTAAGGATTTGTGAAATAGTTTTTATCTTTAGTTCTTTATATAGTCAATATTTTTTTAAAATCTATTGGTTTTGTTATCTTTTGATTCTGAATTTGCTTTAATTGTTTGTTTTTTTCTATTTTTGAATGTAATTTAGAAAGGTAGATAGAAATTTATAATCAATGATTTTTAATAATAAAATTCTTCCATAATATTTCAATTTTTTTTAAAATACACTAAAAACTAAACCCTAATACTATCAATATAAACCCTACACCATAAATCCAAATCCCACAGTGTAACACATCCCCCTAAACAACCCTACACCATAAACTCAAACTCCACAGTGTAAAACTACCTCCTAAACAACACTACACCCTAAACCAAAATCCCACATTATAACACCCCCTCCCACCACCCCGAACTGCACACCAAACCCCACAACAACCGCCATAATTTACAATTTGGTTATGAATTTGCTTTTATTTTTAGTTTTTCTTAAAAGAATATTTTTTGAATTTAATCGGTAATGTAGTGTATTCAAATTTTTTAAAATGCACCAAAACTAAATTTTACGCTCATTAATATAAACCGTACATCTTAAACCTCAACCCCATTTTATCTTCTTCTTCTTTTACTTTGTCTTTTACTATTCTCTTTTTCTTTTCCTCTCTCTTCATTTTCATCTTTTTATTTCCTGGTTTTTATTCGTTTCTTTATTTTTATTCTGGTTTTTCTTCTTATTTTGTTTGTATTATTTATCATCCATTATATATTAAAAGAGAAGACATTTATAAAAATCCCATTTGTTTTCAACTTAATTTCAAGTATGTCATGCTGAGGTGTCGCAATTTGCCACACTCTCATAATATTCTAAAAATAAACTCTCTTTATTAGACAAGTGTTGAAATATTTATTATTAATTTAATCAGAAAAATAATTATTAATTAAATTATTTTTTTTCTATTTTCTTATTTGGTAGTGACGAAAATTATAAATAAATTTAAAAGTATTTATTAGTCAATCAATCAGTAAAATATGAAAAGTTTTATTCAATTGTATTATATTAATTGTTTAAAAATTAATTTATTATCTTATCATCTTTCTACTTTTACTTTTTCAAAAATAAATTATATCATTACCTCAAAATATTTCATAAAACAAAATTAGTTTTTTCTGCATAAGCTATGATTTGAAAAAAATTAAAATGAAGCAAATCTCTAAAATTGTTAAAAGTCTCATATCGATTATATTTTGAAATGATAGTTCAAAAACTTATTATAAAAAAAAATCCAAATAATGATCAACCATAGTAAAAAAAACTGATTTATTAGGTTTCCAAACATTAATTTTTTATCTTGATTTAATTTTCTTCTTTAATTGAACTAAATAAATAAATCATAATAAAATGTAGTAACTTAATATATAAGTTAAACTATTTTATATATTTAAAGTTGATCAAAAATATTAAATATATATGCCATATAAAACTATTTCAAACTTATCAAAAGATATATATGTGGATTTAACTGTGTCACTTAATATTTCGTCATGTTCCAATCCAGGCTAAAAAAATATACATAACTCAAAAATAATTCTAATGTAAACTGATTTTTATTGTCTAACACCCTATTTTTCTAGAATAATATTTATGTAAAAAGATATCTAAAAATAAAACTAAATCAAGAAAATATCATCCCGTGCAGGGGGTCCAACCCTAGTTTTGTATTAGCCATTTTTTTTTGCAGTATCTTATTTATCTGTTTTGTTTTTCTCTTTATTTTCTTTTATTAATTTTTCTCAATCTTCTTATTCATTGAGAAGCCAAAGCCATTTTCTTTTACATTCCGTATCGATCGGTCCTAAGCATGACTTTTTTGTCTACGATAATCTGAACTCCCATGTCGTTAATGACTAAGGTTGCATTCTTCATAAGATGTTAGACTCCTATAGGGCTGTATCTATCATATTGAGGGATTCAATGGAACACAATGCTAAGAGATCTCCATAGACTACCATTATCGTTTCGATCGTCTCTTTCATCATCATTTAACACATACTCACTCGAAACAATCTTGTCCAATATGATTAGCAGAAGAAAAAAAATTTATGGAAAATACAAAAAAGTGGAATCGAAAAAGAAAAGGAAGCACCTTCCTACTTTGTGGCACTAACCAATTTGCAAGTTTGCATTCAGTCGGTGGAAACCGAATTCCCAGATATGCACTTGTAGTTCAACATTATAAAAAAATCAGCTAAAATAATAGTACTCAAAGCAAACATAATTTAACAAACTTCTATGTGATGCTAAAACTAATCACCATCATCTTGTTCATCATAATGATCATCATCTTCTTCTTCTTTTTTCTTTTTCCTTATAATCATGATGAGACAAAAATGAAACCAATAAATTATATATTATATACCTTCAAACTACAACTAAAAAGAGAGACAGGGAAAAAGTAGTAACACATTATTAAAAAAATGAAAATTGAAATACCTTATGTATATGTATGTATCGAAGACTTCTATGTTTATGGTATTAGAGTTCACATATTCCCAAGGTAACCAAATCATGGTTTGAAAAAGTTTTGAAATAGCTCACCTCTTTTTATTAGTAATTCTTCGTCAAGCGAAGAAGAGATCACCATTAAAATCACCATTAAACTCAGTCTGATCTGTCTGTTGATATACTTAGTATCAATATCGAATGTATATATATATATATATATATATAACAAATATAAAACTACGACATACCTCTTATCACAAACAACAAATTCATTCTTTTTGTGTAAAGACTCGGAATCATTGGTCCAAACACGCAAGATCTGGCCGATAATGGCAGAGTCATAACTTTTTCGTCGTGAGACCCCAAAATTTTGCAGTTTGTATGAACCAAAAATATTCTTGTGTTTTGCGATATTTACCACAGACAATATCGAAACCGGATGTATTTGATTTCGATAAATAATGCAAAATTGGAGTCAAAACGTTTACCCAAAAACCATTAACGTACCTAGTGATCAATCTAGGATTAGGAGCAATATCTTCTTATCCTTAAACAAAGAAATAGACCCTGAGTTTTGATCACCATCTATATCGTTTCTTCACCCTCCTCATTAGTCAGAGGATCGTTTAAACCATTTAAATCAGCATATTCTTCTTCTTGATATTCACCATAGTTCTCTTCTGTCGCACACTGATTACAAAAAAATACAAAAACTAATTATTAAGTTGATAGAAAACGATTTAATTACAGTCCATAAATTAAACAATTGATTTTAATATAAAATAATACATGAAAGAAAGAACACGCATCAAATATAGCTATCTATCTTATCAAATACGGCTCTTATTATTAGATCAATTGTTTCAGTAGGTTAAATTTGTATGAACATATGAAAATTGTACATACCGTTTGTACCGTTTGTAGATGGTTCCATATCAGACCTTTGACATCATAAATTGTACTTGAGAAGAAAACCAAAATAACACGTAAAAGACGAATAAGCGGTTTTTATTGAATCTTTTCGCATAAACCGTTAGGGTTCCGTTTATTACCATGTGCAGATCATCTCAAATATCCAGCATAGTCATGACCTAATCTTATCGATCGGAATCCATAGTTTCACTCGAATATCAAAGCTTCATACCCAAGAGATTCATCTATACTCAATTCTTGAGCTTGCTGAGTTCAAAACCCGCTAGGGTTCCGCATAATACCATGTGCAGATGTACACGTAAACCAAAGAGCACAAATAAGATGACCATTCTTGTTAGTCACAACTTTGTATATATAGGATTTTGTAAGAATTTATAAAAGTTAGGGTTTCCTAAAGATTTTCTCTGCGATTATTAATTAATTTACAATATTTTTCCAATATTTTTAATATTTACATAATTGTGATGCACAATATGGTAGTTAGGATTATTATTATCGTTAAATATTTTAATTAGAAATATAATTCGTGACATTTAAAAAAAAAGGAAATTACGAAGATTTAAAAAATGATTTTCATTAAGGGTAGCTGGGTAATCAACCAGCTGAGAATTAACGTGGTGCCTCTAAACGAAATTTTTACTTCGCAAATAATATATTAGATAATAAATATATTAAAAAGAGGCCGCAATAACATTGAGGGAAAAAAGTAGACTAAAATCTGTGTGAATTCAGATCAGAACAACAACAATGCAAATAGAAGAAGAACACAGAGACATACGATGCTTGAATGCAGAGGATGTAAATCATCGTTAGTTGTGTTTGATCCTAACGGTGACTAAGGAGGAGCTGAGGATACGATGGTAATTATGAGAAACGTTTGCTTCAAAACCCCTGTTTTTGAGTTGCTTAAGCTGCAAGCTTCTTCAAAACTCTCTCAATCACACAAAAACTTCACAAGTTATGATTATCTGTAGGTTATAGTAAAATTTTCAAAAATCTAGCTTCAGTTTCAACCAAAAAAATAAACTCATAGAAGCAAAGTAACTAAAACACGAGACTGTTTTACTTAATTAAATCTTTACACTATTAGTCTTCGTATTAGACTCTCATCACCCCTAAAACTCGAGTGATCTCAAAACACCAAAGCAAAACTCTCACTCTAGTCTCTAAAGAATCAAACAGATCTTCTCGGAGAAATTTCAAACTGATTTGATACTCCAAACCAAGTTATACGTTAGAAAAATAAAATAACGTGGATTGCCCTTCAGGACTTGAGTGGCACTGAATCACTTAGCCATACATTCTCCGAGCCCGGATACAAAGACTTCACTCCTCTATTTATACCAATCTTCTCTATCCCTTTTCTTAAACCAAAAGTATTCTTCTTTTAAAGTCTCTTCATGATGGCCATGTCAAAATCTTGTATGCGTTTGCATTTTCTCTTGCTGCTCCTACTCTGTTGTGTCGTTCCTTCAAGCTTTGCCTTCAATTCTAAAAGTCCTGTTGTTGGTCTTGTTGCTTGCCGTCCTCACCAGACTGAAGCCTTTACGCAGTTCAAGAACGAATTTAATACCCGCCATTGCAACCACAGTGACAACTTCAATGGAGTGTGGTGCCATAACTCGACAGGTGCCGTCACAAAGCTGAAACTCAGTGCCTGTCTCAGTGGAGCTTTGATGCCCAACAGTAGCCTCTTCAAGTTCCATCATCTTCGTTTCCTTAATCTCTCTGGAAACAACTTCATCTCCTCTTCACTTCCTTCTGAATTCGGCAATCTAAACAAGTTATAGACCTTGTCTCTTTCCTCAAATGGCTTTCTCGGCCAAGTTCCTTCCTCATTGAGTAACCTAAGCCAACTAACCTTCTTAGACCTTTCCAGTAATGAGCTCACTGGTAGTTTCCCACTTTTGCGGAATCTAAGCATGCTCACAGTTTTGGAACTTTCTCACAACCACTTCTCTAGAACTTTGAATCCCAAAAGTAGCCTCTTTGAGTTGCACCTGCTCCGTTACCTAAATCTAGGTTTCAATAACTTCAGCTCCTCGCTCCCTTCCGAATTTGGAAATCTAAAAAAATTAGAGGTTTTATATCTTTCCTATAATGGCTTCTTCGGTCCAGTTCCTCAAACATTTGGTAACCTTACCCAGTTAACCGGGTTATTACTTTCCGATAACCAATTCACTGGTAGTTTACCACTTTTACAAAATCAAACCAAGCTCTCCGTTGTAGGACTTAACAACAATCACTTCTCTGGAACCATTCCTTCTTTCATCTTCACTATACCGTTCTTATCATATCTTAATCTCCGTGAAAACAATCTCAACGGTTCTTTTGAAGTTGATAATTCCTCTACCTCATCTAGTCTCGAGGTCATGGAGCTCGGGCTTAACCATTTTGAAGGAAAAATAGTAGAGCCAATCTCAAAGCTCATCAACCTCAAGCAACTCGGCCTTTCTTCGCTAAACACAAGCTACCCAATTGACTTAAACCTGTTCTCCTCCTTCAAATCTTTGTTCTCCCTCGATCTTTCCGGTAACAGAATATCTCCGGCCAGTTTAAGTTCAGATTCACACATCCCTTTGACATTGGAAGTGTTGTTCTTGGAGCAGTGTGGCATCAAAGAGTTCCCCAACATCTTAAAGATGCTTCGGAATTTGGAGTTTATAAATTTATCCGGCAATGGAATCAATGGGAAAATTCCTGAGTGGTTATGGAGTCTTCCTCGTCTGAACACAGTGTTTATTTCGTATAATTCGCTGGATGGTTTCCAAGGTTCAACAAGAGTTCTGGTAAACTCATCGGTGCAGATCTTAGTTTTGGAGGCAAACCGTTTTAAAGGAGAACTTCCTCATCTTCCACTCTCTATCAACTTCTTTGCTGCACGGAATAATAGTTTCAGTGGGGACATACCTCTTTCAATCTGCAACAGAAGGTCGCTTTCTCACCTTATCTTAAGCTACAACAACTTCACAGGTCCAATTCCACAATGTCTAAGTAAAATGACGATTGTGAATCTCCGGAAAAACAACTTGGAAGGAAGTATTCCAGACGAGTTCGATGCCAATTCCTCTCTACGGACACTCTACGTTGCCTATAATCGACTAACCGGGAAACTTCCAAGGTCTCTCCTAAACTGTTCATCTCTACAGTTTCTAAGCGTCGATAACAACAGAATCGAAGACACGTTTCCATTCTGGCTCAAGGCTTTACCGAATTTGCAAGTCCTTACCCTGCGTTCAAATGAATTCTATGGTCCCATAACTCCTCCTGATCAAGGTCCTCTCGGATTTCCAGAGCTGCGTATATTTGAGATATCTAATAATAAGTTTAGTGGGAGCTTGCCACCAAGTTACTTTGTGAATTGGAAAGCATCGTCACTCACAATGAATGAAGATGGAGGTTTATACATGGCATTCCAAAAGTCTCTTTACAATTCGGCTGGATACACATATATAGATACTATAGATTTGCAATACAAAGGTCTACACATGGAGCAAGCAAACGTCCTTACTTCCTACGCCACCCTCGATTTTTCTGGGAATAAACTTGAAGGACAGATTCCTGAATCTATCGGTCTTTTGAAGGCACTGATCGCACTCAACCTGTCGAACAACGCCTTCACGGGCCATATTCCTCTGTCCTTCGCCAATTTGAGCAAGCTCGAGTCACTAGACCTATCAAGCAACCAACTCTCTGGCACTATTCCTAATGGACTCGCGAGCCTCTCGTTTTTGGCGTACATTAACGTGTCTCACAACCAACTCAAAGGGGAAATACCACAAGGAACACAGATTACTGGACAATCTAAATCGTCATTTGAAGGGAATGCAGGGCTTTGTGGTCTTCCTCTCCAAGAAACTTGCTTTGGGAGTAATGCGCCACCAACACAACGGCCTAAGGAAGAAGATGAAGAAGAAGGAGAAGAACAAGTGTTGAGCTGGAAAGGAGTGTCAATAGGGTATGGGCTTGGAGTGTTGTTCGGATTGGCAATTGCACATGTCATTGCTTCATACAAACCGGAGTGGCTCGTCAATATAGCTTGTCTGAATAAGCGCAGAAACCGTTAGTATTGTTTCGGTTTTGAGTTTGATATTTCCTTTTCTGTCGTGTGGTTGTTGTCTTCTATTGAAGCATTCCTATGTTTGCTGTATCCTTATTTGATACTTTTGAATTTTCTGTAGTCATATGCATCTTTTTTTTTTCTCCTAATGAGAAAAATGGCTGGAAAGGACCATCCTCTTGGAAAACATCATATTAGTATTTGCAAATCAATTTTCGTGAATGGAGCCACCACGTTAACTCTCAGCCGCGGAATTACCAAGATGCCCTTAATGAAAATCTATTATTAAATCTTCTGAATTTCCTTTTTTAATTATTTCACAATTTCGTTTTTTATATAAAAGTTCATTATTTCCTTATTAATTTCCTTATTAAATATTGATAATTATCCTTTTCTTTTTTCCTCGATTTATATTTATCACTTAAATAAATATCCTAACTATCATATTACCGCACCACTTTTCTGGAAGAAATCAAATAATTAGGTATTTTAAAAAAACTCTAGATTTTACAACCGACTTAGTCCTATTTAACAAGCAAAATAAACAGAATTTCGTTTCTTCTTTTTCGTGTTCTAAATTCTTCGATTCCATATTTCATCTTTTGTCATGTAGGTTTATAGTTATTGCTAGATCTTAGTTGTATTAGATCTAATGTTTAACTGATTATTCGTTATTTTCTGGAAATTTTATTCAAAGAATCGCATCTAACTTCTACTTCTTTTACCTTTATAACAGTAAATTCCAGGTTTGTTAGCTAATTGAGTCAAAGAAATCAACTATGGTACCAACTCAAAAAAAATGCATTGACAAAAATTAGTGGTATGTACATCTTTCGTTTTTATTTTCAACTTAAATCTTATGAAACCCTAATTTGAATAAACTTATCTAAAAAGATTTTGTAAAATGTGGGTTTAGGTGTGCGGATTGGGGGGGGGGGTTGTTATTTGGTAGTGGTGTTACAATGTGGGGTTTGGGTTATTTAGGGGGTGGTGTTAGGTAGGGTTTATATTGATGGGGTAGGGTTTAGTTTTTGGTGTATTTTAAAAAAACTTGAATTATTACAGAAGAATTTCATAATAAAAAAATCATTTATTTGAAATTTATATCTACTTTCAAAATTACATTCACAAATAGAAAAAAAAACTAAAACAACTAAAGAAAATCCAGAATTGAAAGATAACAAAACTAATAAATTTTTAAAAGACCTCAACTATATAAAGATAGAATCTATTTCAAAAATATTGAAAATTTTAACTATCGAAATGAATTGGTAGGTGATATGCAAGACACAAACAAGACATAATAGATACATAAGTAAAAGAAAAGAAAACAGTGAAAAAGAAGATGAAAAATTTAGAAAAGAAAAAGAAAAGTCGAACATGAGGAAAAAGAAAGGAAAGAAGAAATAATGGAATGTGAAGAAAATTCCAAAACAAATGAAGAATATTACGTAGAAGAACAAGAAAGAGAAGATAAAAATAAGACACCTCAAGATTACAAAAATAAGAAGTTTGCGAAAACAAAAACGATGAATACAATAAAAAGTTGTACTACTTATATTATTTAAATCTTTAATTAATAATTGTATTTAAAAAATATTGTACCCGCACAAGGTGCGGGACAACCACCTTGTTAGATTTTAATTTACAAAAAAAAAACACATCATCACCATGAGCACAAAGACATACTCTATATATAAGCAAATTCCAGCATGTTACATATCTTTCCAAAAATTCATACCCTAGAGAATCATTTCTCAGCTCTGTTTACTCACCACGGTCAAGAACCTACAAGTAAATGCATTACATAAATCTTAGTCAGTTTATCTTTACATAAGGAGCAGAGAACTTTCAAGCCAGATATGACGAGTTCGCTCAAGCTCAGTCAGTTGATCTTACCCTTTTGTCACAAACAAAGCTTGCATAAACTGAACAACTAAAACAGAGATCCATAACACATTCTAGCTCCAAAATCTAAGAGTAAATCTAGTGAAGAGATGTAGCAATAAGTTAAAATTCAAAAAGAAATCTAATATAACTAGGTATTCCTTGGCGAGAATTATTAAATACTACCTAGAGTCCTAGACGCACAAAAGATATTAACCCGAAGCAGTGTCTATAAGCTATGCTATTAGAGTGGTGTTTGGATGGTCAATATCATAAATTATTACTTTCATACAAGCCACAAAAGCTTAGAAAGTAGAAACCATTAGGATTATTTCAGTTTTTGCCTTTGATCTTTGAATGTTTATCAATCAGTTGTTAGCGTATTAATGAAGCAATTTATTTTGTTTATATCCAATGCTCTGTTATATTTCATGTGCATTAAATTAAGAAAGCTGAATCTTCTGTAGTCATAGTTATACACATCTTTGGTACATTTCTCTTTAGCCTGCAGTGTTATTTTGCAAAGCACTAAGGGCTACAAACTTCTGCAATCCAATGTGTCTGTCGTTATGCTAACTTATTTATAATTTTTGTGGACCTTTTTTTTTTTGAACAACTTCTCATTATAACAACTTAGAATCCGATTACAGAAGAAAGCTCAAGACTCTTTGCTAATGTAAGTCTAGTAACTTGTTTGTCTTGTACTGAAGTATTTCCTTGTGTTTGTTGTATCTTAGACTCCAAGTTGTTTTGGAAATTGGATAATACTCTCTCTATCCAATCTCATAGATTCACATGAAAACTCTCTCAGTTAAAACTGAAACCAACACACTCAAAGACAAAACTCCAATTAAACCAAAAAAAAAAAAAGAAGATAAAACTCAAATCCTAATGGACTGAGAGAAACAGAAGCGAAACTCACTTCCATTTATCTATTCACATATATTTTTGTTTTTGAGTAATTGAAATTTCAAGTGGTCACTACACAAACTTGTAAAAAAAAAAAAAAAAAAAAAAAAGCTGCTTGTTTGGTCGTCTTTGTATATGCGCTGTTTTATTGATAGGGAACCCCGCTAAAACGACCTAACCTAGTATGCTCGAGCTAAGCGAATACAACATAAAACTGGTGAGCAAAGCTTGAACGCAGAGAGATATCTCTGTTTCAGTTTCGGAGCACTCAGGAGATTGAAATGGTGGTGAAAGATATAGTTAGCTTATCTCAGACCAAAAATGCTTTCTCTTTTATGTATGTATGTTAAGCGTAATGTAGTTCAAGGTGTGGGTCAATCAGCTATATTAGAACACTAACCTCTTCCTGTAAGATCTTCTACTAAGCCAGTGTGAATGTTGTAGAATAAGCTGAGAAAATTAAGACATGAGAAAAAAGAGGTCCACAGTTTGCATCTGTTATATATATTTGTCTTTCTCGAGTACCTATTTATAGTTAAGGCCCTCCTGAAAGCGTCCTCTTCTAGGGAGGCAAATACCTATTACAAAAAAGGAGGCGTAAACCTCAAGCAAAGACATGACAAAGAGAGAATGAGAAAAAAAGTTGGTTGCAGTACCACTTTTACAGGGATGCGACTACCGCGTGCATATACGTCCCTTCTCAAGTGTACAAGATCTATCGAGTGGTTGTAAAGACTCATCTTTACTGTCTCCAACGTCGGTTTCTGTTTGCCTTCTTGTGCAGGTTTACTGAAAATAAACCAGTTAAGATGATCAAGTAAGTAAGCATCAGATTTCAAATGAAACTTAGACGATTACCTTTCAATGACGTGACCTTGTACTTCGTCCTCCCCTTGAGAGCGTAAGTAACCGTTGAGAGATAATAGCAAACATTCAATATTCTATACTTGAAGAAAATTTCCAAACTCTTTCGACCACTGTTAAAACGCAAAAGAGAGTAGTACCTTATCGCGCACCCAACCACCGGCGACGCGAAGCTTCGTTTTGGGACTGAAATTGCCGACGGCACGGAGAAGCAGATCGAAGATTTGTCGTTCGTTCTCAGTGACATGGATCCGTTGGACGGTCGTCATCGCCTTCGTCTTCGGAGATTCGAATTCGAATTTTGTGGTATCTAGGTTTTATAGATTCGAATTGGAATTGGAATCAATAATTGTGGTTAACTGTTGGTTTGTTTTGGTTTTCTTTACTTTTTTTTTTAACACTGGATTGACTAATACACAAATAATTGTGGTTGTTGGTTTGTTTTGGTTTGGTTTACTTTGTTGCTTCAGAATCACTTCATGCTAAAAGTATATCAGAACTTGACCTTGATTGCTATAAGTATCCTATCAACTATCTCTGACACTTAAATTCATCAAATGTGAAACAAATAGTGAGCCCTTTCTCACAAACAAGCCTTACATAACCAGAACAACTAAAACAGAGATCCAGATCACATTTCCAGCTACAAATAAATGTAAGCGTAAATCCAATGAAGGAATCTAGCAAGAAGATAACTTTTTTAAGAAAAACCTAATAGATGTCAAAAAAAAAGAAAAAATAAAAAAACCTAATTTAACTAGAGATATACGTTGGAGAGAATTCTTAATTACTTCACAGAAGCACAAAAGAAACTAAACAAAGATGTGGCTATAAACGGTTTTTCGTTTGATCTTTGAATGTTTGACAATTAGTTGCTGGCGTATTAATGAAGCAATTTCTTATGTATTTATCCAATACTCTGTTTATTTTTCCATGTGGTTTTAACTAAGACAGCTGAATCTTCTGTAGTCATGTTTATACAAACATCTATATTAATTCTGCCCCCAACTTCTTGAGGATAGAAGAAAAACCCTGAATCTATATACATAAACGAATCAGAGGAGAGGGAAAAAAAAGCAGAAGCTCACAACATAATAATTTGTCAAGACTAAAAACATCTTAAACAGTTAACAATAATGCCAAGGGCAACAAACTTCTCTAGTCCACTAACGTATCCAATGTGTCTGTCGCTATGCTAACTTGTTTTTTTTTTGTAAATTTTGGACATGTGAGAAATTTCAAACTGAGTGTGATTCCAAGAGACCAATCCAAGTTATACGTTTTTTTTTGTTTTAAAGGATATTATTAGCAGATAGTTAGCAACTAAAAATTAATGCAAGATTACAAGAATTACGAAGTACTATACTCGACACATGCAAAGAAGTGAACATAGAAACATGCAATAGAAAATTGGAAGCTAAATAAATCGAAATCATCACCTAAGTTAGCGTAGAGTCTATTTTGAGGTTGCTTGGGTTTCAAACAAATAAAACTTTCCTAAACTGTCCTTTGTTCCCACTAGAGCATGTTTAACGCGGGCGCTTAAAGCGACGCTTAACACAAATTAAGCATTTAATTAAATAAAAAATACGAAAAAAACAAAGCTCCGACGCTTGCATAAGCTTTTTAAGCGCTGGTGCTAATGGACACGTGGCAGGTTATGATTGGAAGGAGGTAATTGAGAGATAAAAACGTGTTTCTTTCTCTTTCCCTTCTCTCTCTTCTTTGCTTCCCCTCTCCAATGGCGATTCCAAAATTGAATTAATTTTGCATACGAAATCAGTCGGAATTCACGTCTCCGGTGATGGGGCATCCCTAATCATCTTATGGTGATGAGAATCGGCGAAGAAGCCGCATGATTGGTTCAGTCTGCGAGAGGATGGGACTTTACTCAATCCAGCCATTGTTTCAAGTAAGACCTCAAATATGCATGTTTGGTTATGTTTGCGCTTGCTTAGAGAGTCTAGAACATGGATTTGAGATGAGTACTTGTGCCTTTAATTACAGTTGTGATTGTAATTCTGTATTGGTGTTGTTGAATTGAATGTAGATTGGTAACAAAGCTCTTCTGAATTTAAAACTAAGATCTCTTTTTTTCAATATCTGCTTATTGTTCGGTGCATTGACACTTTTATCTTCAGATGTAGAAAACTTGGATGTTGATCTTTCTCCATCGTTCTTCAATTCTGATTCTCTGAAATCGGTTTGTTCTCTTGTGTCTTGTCTGTTACAAGTAGCAGTGAATTTTACAGCATTTTTCACCAAAACTAAGATGGATGTTGCTGGAATTGAGGTGATTATGGTGAGTTCTATTAGCTTTCATGATCTTTTAGCAGATTGAGAAGATAGTGACATAATAATGTGATATGAACACTTGTTGCATTGATTGGTTTAGCGTTCATAGTTATTGTATTGATGGTCTGTCTAGTGGCTATTTCCTCTAACTGCGGATATCTTGTATATTTTAACTCACTGGTTTTATGATTTGAAGTGAGAATGTTTCATGTTTTGTGGTGGAACAGATTGTCTTGCTTTTCCTTTTCTGAAATTTGATAAGATAGCCAAGATTAGTTTTCTATGTTTGTATCCACCTATGTGAAATACATGGTGCTCTTTTTTGAGGATACCTCTCAGAGGTAGTTCAATGAAATTGGGTCTTAATGGTGATTGTTTGTGTCTCTGTCTTTATCGCTGAATTGTTGGTGCTTTGTTCTCCAGGGACAAGTTGCTGCTATAGATATTAAACTACCAAGAAGACGTTTGCTTGTGGAATTCACTTGCAATTCATGTGGAGAAAGAACGGCTTATCAATCGCTTGGCCTATGAACGTGGCCTTGTCTTTGTTCAAGTAAAGTCTTGTACACACTATATGTTTGCATAATTGTCCAACAGAGATTCTAAGCTAAGTGTTTTCATGAATTTGAAGTTGAGAGACACAAAAGATAGTATTTTTGGTTGGTTTGACAGCCTTTAAAATAATTTCTTAATTTTTTTTTTCTTAAGCACCCCCCAATAAGCTCCCCCCATTAAAGCAGAGAAAACAAAATAATTTTAACAGAGATGCTTAGCACAATTTTATTAATAAAATATATAATAAGCATCACATAAGCACCTTTGCGTTAAGCATGCTCTTAACGTATCCAATGTCAATGTGTCTGTCGTCATGCTAACTTTTTTTTCTTATTATAAATTTTATACATATGTGAGAGATTTCAAACTAATGTGATTCTAATCCAAGTTATACGTTTTTTCTTTTTTAAAACGGATATTACTAGCAGATAGTTAGTTAGGAACTAAGAATTAATGCAAGATTACAAGAATTACGAAGTACGGAAGTAGTATACTCGACACATGCAAAGAAGAGAACATAGAAACATGCAAATGAAAATTGGACGCTAAATAAAACGAAATCATCACCTCTGTGTTTAAAACAAAAAAAAACAAAAAAAAACAAAAACAAAAAAAAAACAAAAAAACTTTCCTAAATTGTCCTTTGTTTCTCAGACAGACCCTCTCTTATTGTTTGAGTCAGATGCAATAGTTTAGTTAACGTAGAGATATGTATTTTGGCAAAAGCCTTCTCCAATTCACAAACATATTAATGCTGTTTCATTGTAAGGCCACCAATTAGTAAATTTAACAGTAGTGAAAGAGATACAAAGAGAAAATAAAGTTTTAACAAACTATATAATTAGATATGCTTCTCCTTCTTTTGATCATATAATTTTATTTGATCAGTTCATGTCTCAGAAAGAATTACAATAAAGCTCTGTTATACTACTGTTTCCAGCAAAGTTACGAATAATCGCATTTACATTTTGCTATGTTTGGATTAATTTGCTTCACCCATGCATGCTAATCCACTAACGTATCCAATGTGTCTGTCGTCATGGTAACTTTTTTTTTTGTAAATATTTTGAACATATGTGAGAAATTTCAAACATACGTGATTCCAATCCAGGTTATACGTATAGAAAAAAAGAAAAAAAAATGAAGTAACGTGGATTTCACTTCATGATTTGAGTGGTTCTTAGACATCAACTTTGGCATATTTTTCTACTCGACCGGATACAAAGACTTTATTCATTTCTATGTCAAAAGCTGTGTGGGTGATATAGCTCCAATGCCAAACTACAAATCTCTATTTATACCGATCTTCCCTCTCACTTTTCTTAAACCAAAATACATTATTCTCATAAAGTTTTCATGACGACCATGTCTAAATCTCTTCTGCATTTGCATTTTCTCTCGCTACTCTTTCTCTGTTGTGTCTCCCCTTCAAGCTTATTCCTTGTTGATGATCTTGTTGCTTGTCGTCCCGAGCAGATTCAAGCCCTTACGCAGTTCAAGAACGAGTTTGATACTCACCGCTGCAACCGTAGCGACCCCGCTAATGAACGAATCAAATGCGATAACTCGACGGGTGCCATCACGAAGCTAAAGCTAACGGCCTGTCTCACTGGAACTCTGATGCCCAACAGTAGCCTCTTCAAGTTACATCATCTCCGTCATCTTAATCTCTCTGGAAACAACTTCATCTCCTCTTCACTTCCTTCTGAATTTGGCAATCTCAACAGGTTAGAGGTCTTGTCTCTTTCCTCAAATGGCTTCATCGGCCAAGTTCCTTCTTTGTTTAGCAACCTAAGCCAACTAAACCTTTTAGACCTGTCCCATAACGAGCTCACTGGTAGTTTTCCACTTTTGCGTAATCTAAGCATGCTAGAAGTTTTAGACCTTCGCAATAATCACTTTGCTGGAGTTCTGAACTCCAAAAGTAGCCTCTTTGAGTTGCACCAGCTCTGGGACCTTCAGTTAGGTTTTAACAACTTCAGCTCCTCCCTCCCTTTCGAAATTGGAAATCTCAACAAATTAGAGGGTTTTTCTCTTACCTCTAATGGCTTCTTTGGTCAAGTTCCTCCCACAATTAGTAACCTTACCCAGTTAACCAAGTTATTCCTTCGCGACAACCGGTTCACTGGTAGTTTCCCACTTATACAAAATCTAACCAAGCTCTCCTTAATCGAACTTCGTAATAATCAATTCTCTGGAACCATTCCTTCTTCCATCTTTACTTTGCCTTTCTTGTCATATCTCGATATGCATGGAAACAATCTCAACGGTTCTATTGAAGTTCCTAATTCCTCTACCTCATCTAGTCTCGAGTCCCTGCACCTTGGGCGTAACCATTTTGAAGGAAAAATACTAGAGCCTATCTCAAAGCTGACCAACCTCAAGAAACTCGACCTTTCTTACTTAAACACAAGCTACCCAATTGACTTAAACCTCTTCTCCTCCTTCAAATCTTTGTCCGGTCTGGATGTTTCGGGTAACAAGATATCTCCGGCCAGTTTAAGTTCAGATTCATATATCCCGTTGACCATGGAAGTGTTGTTCTTGGAGCATTGTGACATCAAAGAGTTCCCAAACATCTTAAAGACCCTTCAGAATTTGGAGGTATTATACATGTTGGGCAATGGAATGAATGGGAAAATCCCTGAGTGGTTATGGAGTCTTCCTCGTCTGAACACAGTGTTTCTTGGGAATAATTTGTTCAACGGTTTCGAAGGTTCATCGAAAAGTTTAGTAAACTCATCGGTGCAGACCATAAATTTGGAGACAAACCGTTTCAAAGGAGCACTTCCTCATCTACCACTCTCTATCAAGGTCTTCTCTGCAAGGATAATGGATTCAGAGGGGACATACCTCTTTCAATCTGCAACAGAAGGTCGCTTTCTCACCTTGATCTAACCTACAACAACTTCACTGGCCCAATTCCTCAATGTCTGAGTAACTTGACGTTTGTGATCTCCGAAAGAACAACTTTCAAGGAAGTATTCCAGACAAGTTCTATACCAATTCCTGTTTAAAGACACTCGACGTTAGCTTCAATCAACTAACCGGAAAGCTTCCAAGGTCTCTTAAAATTGTTCATCTCTACAGTTTCTAAGTGTTGACAACAACAGAATCAAAGACACGTTTCCTTTCTGGCTCAAGGCTTTACCGGATTTGCAAATCCTTACCCTCCGTTCCAATGAATTCTATGGTCCAATATCTCCTCCTGATCAAGGTCCTCTCGGATTTCCAGAGCTGCGTATATTTGAGATATCTAATAATAAGTTTACTGGGAGCTTGCCACCAAGTTACTTTGTGAACTGGAAAGCATCATCACTCACTATTAATGAAGATGGAGGTTTATACATGGTATACGAGAGCAATCCTCACAGTGAAGTTGTCTATGCACATATGGAATATATAGATTTGCAATACAAAGGTCTACACATGGAGCAAGCAGGGTCATTACTTCCTACGCCACCATTGATTTTTCTGGGAATAAACTTGAAGGACAGATTCCTGAATCTATCGGTCTTTTGAAGGCACTGATTGCACTCAACTTCTCAAACAACGCCTTCACAGGCCATATTCCTCTGTCCTTCGCCAATCTGAGCAAGCTCGAGTCACTAGACCTATCAAGCAACCAACTCTCAGGGACTATTCCTAATGGACTCGGGAGCCTCTCGTTTTTAGCGTACATTAACGTGTCTCACAACCAACTTAAAGGTGAAATACCACAAGGAACACAAATTACTGGACAAGCTAAATCCTCATTTGAAGGGAATGCAGGGCTTTGTGGTCTTCCTCTCCAAGAAAGTTGCTTTGGGAGTAATGCGCCAACAACACAACAGCCTAAGGAAGAAGATGAAGAAAGAAGAAGAACAAGTGTTGAGCTGGAAAGCAGTGGCAATAGGGTATGGGCTTGGAGTGTTGTTCGGATTGTCATTAGCACAAGTCATTGCTTCATACAAACCAGAGTGGCTCTCCAAGATAATTGGTCCGACTAAGCGTAGAAACCGTTAGGATTGTTTCCGTTTTGAGTTTGATATTTCCTTGTATGTCGAGTAATTGTGGTCTTGTATCGAAGCACTCATGTGTTTGTTGTATCTTTATCTGATACTTTTGAATTTTCTTTAATCGTATTCGTATGCATCTCTGTTTTTTTAATATGAAGTTGTGAAGAGATTGAGAGAGAGATCGAAACTAGGACTTCAAAGAGTGAATTAAACGAAAACTTCTTATTACGCAGAGGATCACAACATATTTGTCAAGGCTAAAAAAGAAAGCAAACGACAGAGTCCAACAGATTCAACAGACAGCCACACCAGCTGCTCCAATGAAACTTGCTTCGCAAGCAAGCAATCCAGCTGTTTACTAGTTATCAACACTTTAATTCTCCTTCCTCAGACATGATCCGTGCCTCCGGAGATACAGATCCGTTCTTGATCTCTGTGTTTGAAACTTAAATCTTGTTACAAACCATCATGTGTTTGACCCCAATAGCGACTACGAGGAGGAGAAGAAGATACGATGGTAATTATGAGAAAAACTTGTTTAAAAAACCTCTATTTGAGTTGCTTAGGCTTCAAGTTATTTAGGATTTTATGATGATATAACGATGGGAATAAGTTTATATGTTTCTGTATGTAATACACATAAGTTTTTCCTTGATTCGTTGCTGAAAAATTAAGTTTTTTCTTTTTAAAAAAAATCAGACACATATGAGTGAAAAGGTAAGTACTAACCTGTAGCTCAATTTTCTAACCGCAAGCAAGAAAAATGGATTTACATAAAGCTCAGTCGGTTAATCTTTACCTAACTAGGAGCAGAGAAGATTCAAGCCAGATTATGACAGATTCGCTGAAACGAATATATGATTCCAACCTTCTCAATGTTCTCCATCATAACGCCAGAAGAAATTCAAAAACATTATTTATTTCGGTTTTGCGTTTGATCTTTGAATGTTTTTTATTTATTTATCAATTAGTTTTCCGGCGTATTTTTAATGAAGCAGTTTCTTCTGTTTTTAACCAATGCTCTGTTTTTTTATTTATTTATCATTTGCTTAAATTAATAAAGCTGAATCTTCTGTAGTCATCTTTATACACATCTCTATTTATTCTGCCTCCAACTTTTTAAGGATAGAAGAAAAGGCCTGATTCTACTATATACACAAACGAAACAGAGCAGTGGGGGAAAAAAAAAAGAAAAACAGAAGATCGGAACATATCTATTTGTCAAGATTAAAAACGTCTTCAATCAGATATACTTGAGAGGCTTTCTCTCTCTTCTCTCTCTCGAATTTTTCAGAGAAAGAAAGCTTATCATCTTCTTCTCCGATTTAATCGGGGATCTTTCCGACATAGATCAGATCTCTTTTGTGTATTATATTCTGATCTAAGTTTCGGTTGTTTATATCCGGTTCTATCCGGTTGTTTTGTCCGATTTAGTTCGGTTTTCTTTTCCGATTTTCGGATTTTGTTTTTTTCAGTTGTGTTTTCTCTTGCCTGTAAAACGGGTTTCCTTTCAATTTACCTTTCAGATCTTTATCTTGGAAACCAAGATCCAGTATGATCGGGCAGTTTCTTCTACCTCCATCACTTGCTCCAATCGTCTTCTTGCTGGGAATAAAACTTTCCCTTCGCCCCTCCGCTTCAGGGCCGTGTTTACGGTTTGGGGGTGAAGTTTCCTATGTACTAAGGTGGGCGGAGATGAATTAATTGCGGCGGCGTGAAGATCCAGTCGTGATGATGCTGAGTCTGTTTGCAGGCGGAGCTTTAGCAGTATTCGAGGTTAAGATCGGGCTTGATGGTGATTCTCAGCAGAGATTTTCCCGGAAGCCAGAACGATCTCGCCGAGCATCGGAAGCTTCAGGCGGTGGACGGCGTTGCTGTCAAACCCTACCATGATACACGTGTAGACACGTGTCCTACATGCATTATCATTATCTCATATAATGATTTGGGCTAAAATTGTAATAGGGTTATTGGGCCTTGAATATTGTATCTTTGCCCATGTTTTGGGCTTAAATGAAATGAAATTGCCGACAAAAAAAAAAAAAAAAAAACGTCTTCAAAAGTTAACAACAATGCCAAGCTGTAACAAAAAATATGAGATAATATTATATTTATATTTATTGAATACTCTTATTTCTCTTTAATCTGCAGCGTTATTTTCAAAGCACTATGGGTTACAAACATCTCTAGTCCATTAAAATGTATGTTTACGTATCCAATGTGTCTGTCGTCAATAACGTTTTATTTGAAAATTTTGGACGTATGAGAAATTTCAAACTAATGTGATTCCAATCCAATGTGTCTGTCGTTAATAACGTTTTATTTGAAAATTTTTGGACATATGAGAAATTTCAAACTAATGTGATTCCAATCCAAGTGTTACGTTTAGGAAAAGACGAAAAAAAAACTAACGTGGATTTCACTTCATGATTTGATTTGAGTGTTTCTTAGACATCAGTTTGTCAAATATCACTTTACATGCTAAAATTATGTCAAAACCTGGCCTTCATTTAGGATTTCCCAAATATTCAAATATCCCCCTTAATTTCATCAAATTTGAAGCAAACAACTTGCCTTCTCACAAAGACTTCACTTCTCTAACTATTTCTAAGTCAATTTGTGAAACCCCACACCTCTATTTAAACCAATCTTCTTTATCACTTTTCTTAAACCAAAAGTATTCTTCTTTTAAAGTTTCTCATGGCGACCATGTCGAAATGTTGTATGCGTTTGCATTTTCCCTTGGTGCTCCTATTCTGTTGTGTCTTTCCTTCAAGCATTGCCTTCATTTTTGAAAATCCTGTGGTTGGTCTTGTTGCTTGTCGCCTACGCCAGATTCAAGCCTTTACGCAGTTCAAGAACGAGTTTGATACCCGCCGTTGCAACCACAGTGACTACTAGAATGGAGTGTGGTGCGATAACTCGACAGGTGAGGTGACAAAACTACGACTCAGTTCCTGTCTCACTGGAACTCTGATGCCCAACAGCAGCCTCTTCAAGTTACATCATCTCCGTTACCTTAATCTATCTGGAAACAACTTCATCTCCTCTTCACTTCCTTTTGAACTTGGCAATCTAAACAGGTTAGAGGTCTTGTCTCTTAACTCCAATGGCTTCTTCGGCCAGGTTCCTCCCACAATAAGTAACTTTACCCAGTTAACCATTTTGGACCTTTCTGAGAACCGATTCACTGGTAGTTTCCCACTTGTACAAAATCTAACCAAGCTCTCTTGAGAATCACTTCTATGGAGCAATTCCTTCTTCAATCTTCACTATGCCTTTCTTATCATATCTTGATCTCCTTGGAAACAATCTCAACGGTTCTATTGATGTTCCTAATTCCTCTACCTCATCTAGTCTTAAGACCCTGTACCTTGGGGATAACCATTTTGAAGGAAAAATCATAGAGCCTATCTCAAAGCTGACCAACCTTAAGGAACTCGACCTTTCTTTCCTAAACACAAGCTACCCAATTGACTTAAACCTCTTCTCCTCCTTCAAATCTTTGTTGCACCTCGAGCTTTCTGGTAACAATATATTTCGGGCTAGTTTAAGTTCCGATTCATATATCCCATTGACCTTGAAAGTGTTGTACTTGGAGAAGTGTGGCATTAAAGAGTTCCCAAACATCTTAAAGACCCTTCGGAATTTGGAGTTTATAGACCTATTCGGCAATGGTATCAATGGGAAAATCCCTGAATGGTTATGGAGTCTTCCTCGTCTAAACTCAATTATGCTTACAAGAAATTTGTTCGATGGTTTCCAAGGCTCAGCAAACAAAATAGTGAATTCATCGGTGCAGTTCCTATTTTTGGATGGAAACCGTTTCAAAGGAGCACTTCCTCATCTACCACTCTCTATCAAGATCTTCTCTGCACAGAATAATAATTTCGGAGGGGACATACCTCTTACAATCTGCAACACGTACAACGTCGTCGTCGTCTGCAGTCAAGACCCCCATCACGCTCCTCCTGACCCCACATCTACGTCATCGTCGGTCCAAGGTACATCCCTTTACCCTTTATCTCACTACATTTCCGATGAGTCTTTCTCTCCAGAGCAGCGTGCATTTTTTGCTGCCATAACAGCTGGTGAGGAACCCAAGCATTTCAAAGATGCTGTTCGGATGAAAGTTTGGAATAATGCTATGGGTACTGAGGTCGATGCACTTGAGCAGAAACGCACATGGGATATCTGTGATCTCCCTCCTGGTAAAGAAGCTCTCGAATGTCTTTGGGTTTACAAGACTAAGTATAAGTCCGATGGCACGATCGAAAGGTACAAAGCAAGGCTTGTTGTACAAGGTAACCATCAGGTCGAAGGTGAGGACTATGATGAGACGTTTGCTCCGGTTGTCAAAATGAACACCGTTCGTTCAGTTCTTCGTCTTGTTGCGGCTAAGAATTGGGAAGTTTATCAAATGGATGTTAATAACGCTTTTCTTCATGGTGATCTTGAAGAAGAAGTTTATATGAAACTTCCCCCTGGTTTTCGTCATTCGCATCCGGGGAAGGTTTGTCGTCTGCGCAAGTCATTATATGGACTCAAACAAGCGCCTCGTTGCTGGTTCAAGAAACTCTCTGATGCTCTGCTCCGGTTTGGTTTTGAGCAATCCTATGACGACTACTCTCTGTTTTCTTATTCTCACAAGGATATTGAACTATGAGTTTTGGTATACGTGGATGATTTGATTATTTGTGGTAATGATCGTTACATGCTGCAAAAGTTCAAAGATTACTTGAGTCGCTGTTTCTCTATGAAGGATTTAGGGAAGCTTAAGTACTTTTTGGGAATAGAAATCAGCAGAGGTCCTGATGGTATTTTCTTGTCACAACGTAAGTATGCGTTGGACACCATCGCGGAGACGGGAAATTTAGGCTCTCGGCCTGCTGCAACTCCATTGGAACAAGATCATAAGCTCGCCACCGTTGAAAGTCCGCTCTTGGATGATCCTTAACCGTTTTGGAGACTTATGGGGAGACTGATTTATCTCCTTAACACGAGACCAGAGTTATGTTACTCTGTCCATCTATTGTCTCAGTTTATGACGCAGCCTAAGGTGGCTCATTGGGAAGTTGCATTGCGTCTCGTTCGTTATTTGAAGGGTTCCCCTGGTCAAGGCATCTTTCTCTCGTCTGATCCCGATCTTACTCTTACAGTTTACTGTGATGCCGACTACAACTCTTGTCCCTTGACTCGTCGCTCGCTCAGTGCTTTTGTTGTGTTGCTTGGAGGCTCTCCTGTTGCGTGGAAAACCAAGAAGCAAGATACGGTATCACACTCTTCCGCCGAAGCTGAGTATCGCTCCATGGCTGTGGCTCTACGTGAAATCAAATGGTTTCGCCGTGTGTTAGCCGGCCTTGGAGTTGACCAGACTCAGCCTACACGTTTGTTTTGTGACAATAAGGCGGCCATCCACATAGCCTCCAATCCAGTTTTCCATGAGCGAACAAAACATGTCGAGTCCGATTGTCACGCGGTTCGGGATGCAGTTGAAGAAGGTGTTATTGTTACGGATCATGTTCGTTCCGAGGAGTAATTGGCGGACATACTCACAAAGGCGTTGGGACGTGCTCCTTTTCAGTACTTGTTGTCCAAGTTGGGCATTCAAAATCTTCATGCTCCAACTTGAGGGGGAGTATTGGGGATATATGTGATATAGTTAAGTTTCCTATTAGGATAATGTTAAGTTTCCATGTATATAGGAGACTAGGGTTTCTAGCTCCAAAGTTATGTTGTATAAATACCCAAGTTTGGGATGATGAATAAACAAGTCAGTTCGATATCTTAATCTACAAATAATTTAATTTTTTATACATATAAATAAACTAATCTAACTAGAGACATACGCTGGCGAGAATTCTTAGTTACTTCCTAGAAGCACAAAAGAATTAACCGAAGATGTGGCTATAAACGGTTTTCCGTTTGATCTTTGAATGTTTGACTATTAGTTGCTGGCGTATTTATGAAGCAATTTCTTATGTATTTATCCAATACTCTGTTTATTTTTCATGTGGTTTTAACTAAGAAAGCTGAATCTTCTGTAGTCATATTTATACAAGCATCTCTATTTATTCTATTTCTGCCCCCAGTATATAAGAAAAAGCCTGATTCTACATACAAAAACGAAACAGAAGAGTGGGAAAAAATACAACATTTTAGTTTGTTCTCACTAAAAACGTCTTTAACAGTTAACAACAATGCTGTTACAAAAAGTTTTTTTTTTTTTTTGTATATCTCTCTTTAAACTGCAGTGTCATTTTGCAAAGCACTAAGGGCTACAAACTTCTCTAATCCACTAACGTATCCATTATGTCTGTCGCTATGCTAACTTGTTTTTTTTTTTGTAAATTTTGGACATATGTGAGAAATTTCAAACTAATGTGATTCCACTCCAAGTTATACGTTTGAAGAAAAAAGGATATTATTAGCCGATATTTAGCAACTAAAAATAATGTAAGATTACAAGAATTACGAAGTAGTATACTTGACACACGCAAAGAAGAGAACAAAGAGATATACAAATGAAAATTTGAAGCTAAAAACGAAATCATCACCTCTGTGTTAGTGTCGTGAGGGTATAGTCTTTTTTGAGGTTGCTTGGGTTTCAAACAAATAAAACTTTCCTAATTTGTCCTTTGTTTCCCACACACAGACTCTCTTAATTCAATTAACGTAGAGAGATGAATTTTAACAAAGCCTTCTCGAATGCACAAACAAATTAATGATGTCTCATTGTAAGGCCACCAAAACTTAACAGTTATACTTGTACAAGAAGATACAAAGAGAAAATTAAGAGGTATGAGGAACTCACTGTTTTTACAAAATTATTCCTCCACAACGACTTGGCCACTTCCACGTCGGCCACCTCGTCCTCTCTTTCCTTGACCTACAACTTTCCTCTACTCCATTGTGACGCTGAATCTTCAGTGAATAGTTCTCTTTAATCGAAAAGTTACCCTACCCATAGGTAGAAGACAAATCTTCTCCGTTTGATTCACTTGTGCATATTCTAAATTGTGCAGAGGTGTGAGTCAAAGTCCTGAAGACAATCTTCTCAGTTTGCTCCACTTCCTCTGTTCTTTATTTCTTTTACCGTTTCCAGCTGAGTTGAGAATAGTCGCATTTACATTTTGCTATGTTTAGATTAATTTGCTTACCCAAGAATCTGCAGTGTCATTTTCCAAGGCGCCAAGGGCTACAAACTTCTTCAATCCACTAACGTAACGTATCCCATGTGCCAGTCGTTATGCTAATGTTTTTGTAAATTTTGGACATATGTGAGAAATGTCAAACTAATGTGATTTCAATCCAATTTATACGTTTAGAAAAAGAAAATAAAAATTGAACTAACGTGGATTTCGCTTCATGATTTGAGTGGTTCTTACTTCTTTGGCATATTTTTTCCACTTGCAGACTTCAGTTATCTCTATGTCAAAAGTTGTGTGGGTGACATAGCTCCTATGCAAAACCACAAATCTCTATTTAAACAAATCTTCTCTCTTACTTTGCTTAAACAAAAATCATTCTTCTTATAAGGTTTTCATTACGACAATGTCTGAATATCTTATGCATTTGCATTTTCTCTTGCTACTCTTTCTCTGTTGTGTCTCCCCTTCAAGCTTATTCCTTGTTGATGATCTTGTTGCTTGTCTTCCCGACCAGATTCAAGCACTTACGCAGTTCAAGAACGAGTTTGATACTCGCCGTTGCAAACGTAGTGACTCCTATATTGGACGAGTCATCTGCGATTACTCCACCGGTGCTATCACGACTCTAATCATCAGGGCCTGTCTCAGTGGAACTTTGATGCCCAACAGTAGCCTCTTCAAGTTGCATCATCTCCGTTACCTTAATCTCTCTGGAAACAACTTCATCTCCTCTTCACTTCCTTCTGAACTTGGCAATCTCAACAGGTTAGAGGTCTTGTCTCTTTCCTCAAATGGCTTCATCGGCCAAGTTCCTTCCTCGTTTAGTAACCTAAGCCAACTAAACTACTTAGACCTTTCCCATAACAAGCTGACTGGTAGTTTCCCATTTTTGAGGAATCAAAAACTGCTCACGGTTTTACACCTTTCCGATAATCACTTCTCTGGAATTTTGAATCCCAACAGTAGCCTCTTCCAGTTCCATCATCTTCAATACCTTAGTCTCGAGGGAAACAAATTCATCTCTTCTTCACTTCCTTATGAATTTGGAAATCTAAACAAGTTAGAGGTCTTGTCTCTTTCCTCAAATGGCTTCCTAGGCCAAGTTCCTTCCTCATTTAGTAACCTAAGCAAACTAACCTACTTAGGTCTTTCCAAGAACGAGCTCACTGGTAGTTTCCCATTTTTGCGGAATCTAAGCCTGCTCACAAGTTTAGACATTTCGGATAATCACTTCTCTGGAATTTTGAATCCCAACAGTAGCCTTTTTGAGTTGCACCAGCTTCAATACCTTAATCTCTCAGACAACAACTTCATACCCTCTTCCCTTTGGAAATCTAAACAGGTTAAATGTCTTGTCTTTTCCTCAAATGGCTTCCTCGGCCAAGTTCCTTCCTCATTTAGTAACCTAAGCCAACTAACCTATTTAGAGCTATCCAATAACAAGCTCACTGGTAGTTTTCCTCTTTTGCGAAATCTAAGCATGCTTGAAAGTCTAGACCTTAGCCAAAATCACTTTTCTGGAGTTCTGAATTCCAACAGTAGCCTCTTTGAGTTGCACCAGCTCCGTTACCTTGATCTCGCTTTCAACAGCTTCAGCTCCTCACTCCCTTCTGAATTTGGAAATCTAAACAAATTAGAGACTTTATCTCTTGACTCCAATGGCTTCTTCGGTCAAGTTCCTCCCACAATTAGTAACCTTACCCAGTTAACCGGGTTATACCTTTCGGATAACCGATTCACTGGTAGTTTCCCACTTGTACAAAATCTAACCAACTCTCTCATATAGAAGTGTCCATTAATCACTTCTCTGGAACCATTCCTTCTTCTATCTTCACTATGCCTTTCTTATCATATCTTAATCTCCGTGAAAACAATCTCAACGGTTCTATTGAAGTTCCTAATTCCTCTACCTCATCTAGTCTCGAGACCCTGCACCTTGGGTAACCATTTTGAAGGAAAAATCCTAGAGCCTATCTCAAAGCTCACCAACCTCAAGCAACTCGACCTTTCATATATAAACACAAGCTACCCAATTGACCTTAACCTCTTCTCCTCCTTCAAATCTTTGTTTCACCTCGATATTTCTGGTCACAATATATCTCCGGCCAGTTTAAGTTCAGATTCATACATCCCATTGGCCTTGGAAGTGTTGTTCTTAATGCACTGTGACATCAAAGAGTTCCCAGACTTCTTAAAGACCCTTCAGAATTTGGAGGTATTAAACATGTTGGGCAATGGAATGAATGGGAAAATCCTGAGTGGTTATGGAGTCTTCCTCGTCTGAACTCAGTGTTTATTTCGAATAATTCGTTCAACGGTTTCGAGGTTCAGCAAAAATTAGTAAATTCATCGGTGCAGTTCCTAGATTTGGAGGGAAACCGTTTCAAAGGAGCACTTCCTCATCTACCACTCTCTATCAAGTACTTCTTTGCAAGGAAAATGCATTCAGGGGACATACCTCTTTCAATCTGCAACAGAAGGTCGCTTTCTCACCTTGATTAAGCTACAACAACTTCACAGGTCCAGTTCCACAATGTCTGAGTAAATTGACGATTGTGATCTCCGGAAGAACAACTTGGAAGGAAGTATTCCAGACAAGTTCTATGTTGTCCTCTATACAGACACTGGACATTGGCTATAATCGACTAACCGGGAAACTTCCAAGGTCTCTCCAAAACTGTTCATCTCTACAGTTTCTAAGTGTTGACAACAACAGAATCAAAGACACGTTTCCTTTCTGGCTCAAGGCTTTACCAGATTTGCAAATCCTTACCCTCCGTTCAAACGAATTCTATGGTCCAATATCTCCTCCTCATCAAGGTCCTCTCGGATTTCCAGAGCTGCGTATATTTGAGATATCTAATAATAAGTTTACTGGGAGCTTGCCACCAAGTTACTTTGTGAATTGGAAAGCATCATCACTCACATTAATGAAGATGGAGGTCTATACATGGTTATACTATCTGTTCTTACAATATAACTGACTATGCAATATATGGAATATATAGATTTGCAATACAAAGGTCTACACATGGAGCAAGGGAACGTCCTTACTTCCTACGCCACCATTGATTTTTCTGGGAATAGACTTGAAGGACAGATTCCTGAATCTATCGGTCTTTTGAAGGCACTGATTCGCACTCAACCTGTCGAACAACGCCTTCACAGGCCATATTCCTCTGTCTTTGCCAATCTTAGCAAGCTCGAGTCACTAGACCTATCAAGCAACAACTCTCTGGGACTATTCCTAATGGACTCGGGAGCCTCTCGTTTTTGGAGTACATAAACGTGTCTCACAACCAACTTAAAGGTGAAATACCACAAGGAACACAGATACTGGCAGCCTAAATCGTCATTTGAAGGAATGCAGGGCTTTGTGGTCTTCCTCTCAAGAAACTTGCTTTCAGCACTAACGCACCACAACAACAACCAGAGCAAGAAAAAGAAGAAGAAGAAGAACAAGTGTTGAGCTGGAAAGCAGTGGCAATAGGGTATGGGCTTGGAGTGTTGTTCGGATTGTCAATAGCACAAGTCATTGCTTCATACAAACCAGAGTGGCTCTCCAAGATTATTGGTCCGACTAAGCGTAGAAACCGTTAGGATTGTTTCTGTTTTGAGTTTGATATTTCCTTGTATGTCGAGTAGTTGTGGTCTTGTATCGAAGCCCTCGATATGTTTGTTGTATCTTTATCTGATACTTTTGAATTTTCTTTAATCGTATTCGTATGCTGCATGCATCTCTGTTTTTTCATAATGAGAAAAATGGCAGAAGCTTGGACCAACCTCTTGAAGAAAGATAAATTTAACTGAATGACAATAGGGTGTGGAGCTAACATTCCACACTATGTAGAAAATTAGAAATCATAGCTTATTTTATGAGAATTTATCAACTATGTTAATTTGTAACAGAGAGACCATGATTAGTTAGCATGTATAGAAAAACAAAAATTAGTAGTGTAGATTGAAGAAAACTGCAGGAACCCAACATTAGATTTTAGTTTACAAAAAAAAACTACATCATGAGGATGAGCAAAAAGACCTAATCTATATATATAACCAAAATCCAACAGCTTACATGTCTTTCCAAAGCATTCATACCCTAAAGGATCATTTCTCACAGTAGTGACCAATCATATTTCTTTTTCCTAACAAAATTAAAGAGAAACTGTGAAAAAGAAAGTTAAAAAAGGGCATATACCGGGAGGAAGAGCTCCAATCAGCTTAGTGTAAGGGTGCTTCTACTCTCTCAAGCCTCTTTTTCCTTAGTCTTTTTCAAGTTTTAAGTACACTTGAATCCCCCGCAAACCGAGAGGATGATGATAAGAATCAAGGCGACGATGATGCCGGCGACTATTAGCTTAATCTTCATGTTCTCAAACCACATCTTTCTTCTCATCTTCGTTCCTTGTGTTCTGAAATCTTGTGCCTGTAGAGATATTGGAATCGGAAACATACGAAGCGTCAGAACTGGAAAAGCCTGATAGGCTCAAGGTCAGACACATATGAGTGAAAAGGTACTACTAACCTGTGAACGAAGGTTCTCGGTTTTGTCCACCAGTAGCTCGATTTTCTCACCGCGGTCAAGAACCTGCAAGTAAATGGATTTACATAAAGCTCAGTCTAAGTATCAGCGAAAATTCAATCCAGATAAGACAAATCCGCTCAAAAACTAATGTTACAGAATTGTGAGGTTGACATGGATGTATAAGAGTCAGACCTTCTCAATGTTCTCCATCATAACGCCTTTCACCTCGGTAACTTGAGCCTTAACCTTGGCAAGTTTGCTAATCTCCTCAGGATGATCCACACAGTATTGCATGTGCTCCTTCAGTTTAGACCTGCAATACAACCAAATAAGTTACAACAATCCATATCCACAAAGAATAAAGAAGAAGCTTTTATTTGTATGGCTTTTAAACGTACCCAAACTCTTTGTTCAAGCTCTTGGGTTGAGCAGTGGTAGCCTTTCCTCCACCGTATCTCTTGTTGAAATCCTCTTTTACTCTCTCCAAGAAGGCCATTGGAATCTGCCTCCCAACAGACTCAACAGCAACAACACAATACGCTGCACACACACACACACACACACAAAAAGAGAATCTTTTTTCAGGTCCATGGAAAAATATGAGATATTGGCATTATAAAAAGTCCCTATACGGCTTACAAATACGAAACTGTAGAGTATTGTTCATACTCATATTCAAATGCAAGAGACAAAGCAAGCTAAATGCATAAACACATCCAATCAATCAGTATGGTTGTAGAAATGTAACTTTTGATAAATAATCCATTCAACAAGTATAAGAATTTGGTTGTTAGAAATGATAACTTCAATTTCATCATATACGAATCAATCAACAAAAGCCTTGTCACCAGAAAACAGAGATCCAGAGAAATCCAAACCAATAGATGTAGCAATAACCTTAACCGAAGCAGCACGAATCCATAGAAATACATACACGCAAATGTCACTGATACTGATTGCAAAAATAACCAAATAGATCCTGTGAAATCGATTGCAATACGAATACACTGATACACGCGAAAATCGAGGCATAGAGAGAATCGAATTCAAAAAAACGTGTTGGGATCGAGAAGGGAAGACTCACTGAAGCCATTTTCGACGAGGTAATTGAAGGTGTGGCCGTCGCAATTGTAGGTAAACTTGTTATTCGAAGAAGGAAGCTTCTGGAGGCACTGTGCAGCGACGGCAGTAAAATTCCCTTTAAACTCGGTATACTCGGCGAGAATCACCGTTCCACGAGCGACGAAGCTGTAGATCAGATTCTGTTGTCCCATTGTTTCCCTTATCCCGAAGAAGAAAACCCTAACGCACCAGAAATCCGAATTTTGATTACGATGGAAGAGAAGAGTTTTGTTTTTCTGTGTTTTCCTTCGTGTGTACGGAAGAAGAAAGGAAGATCCAAAATAGAAGGGGAAAATGAAAGGGAGAGAGAGAGTTGGGGACGACGCTGCGTTGTTTTGAAATTGAGAAATTGAAAAAACGCTTAATTTTCGCGTGTAAGGCACAGAGAGAGAGGAGGTTTCACCTTTTATGCATCACCGTTTCGTTCAAAACTTGAAATTAATTAGTATTTAATTGCATATAGTTTAATTATTTTATATAGTTATCTTATTCTAATTAAATGTTTCTGCTTTCTACGTTGTAGATACGTCGCTATTAGGCATATTACCTATCTTTACGATTCACTGGACTTTATGAAAGGTGTTTTGAAGTACTAAATGCATGTTTGAATCGGGTAGATGTTTTTAAAGTTCAAATTTTTAGTTTGGTTTTAGGAGAATTGTAAATGTCGTACTTAAGAAGTTTCATTGTATTTTCCTTTAATTTCATCAAATTTAAATTGCAAACTAAGAAAAGGTTCCTGAATTTTAAAGTATGGTTATTAAGAAACATCATAAATAACTTGCCGTCTAACACTTGTTTATATGCTAATGTTTGAATGATCCATGACTTTGACTGAGACATAATTGTTCCTGATAATCTGAACTATCTGTTTTAGGTACAATATTTTGATCGTAATTAAATAGAAAGAAAACAAATCTGTTCGCGCCTACCTATTCATTTCTAGAAGCAATACATTAGCCATTAGATCATATCAATGGTTGATAATCCATATTTGACAGTTACTGTCTCTTCTCTCAAACAGAATTTATAATATTTGTTTAAACGAATTCGCTATCCAGATTTTAGCAACATCTTTTCTTTATTAATGCATAAGTTTGCTAGCTAGTATAGGAAGTATCAAGTATGGATGTTGGATTATTCGAGTTACATGTGAATAGAAGAAGCTACAACTAACTCAAAGCATTGAAATTCACATCTGAATATTGAATCTTTATTCAATCATCCTCAATTTCACATTGTTTATAGATAATAATTTAAAGCAAGTGAAAGTATAAAATCACTGATAACAGAGTCTTTAGACTCTTTCCTCTGCCTCCAAAGGTGGAGAAGGGATGAAGCAGCATTGCAAATCTTGTGGTATTTGTTCTTTATGATTTGGAAATTCATGATTAAGGAGAGGGCAGAGATCCCAGCGTGGTTTACCATTAGAGTTTAGCCATCTTAGAAGCTTTCGTGGCTCCTTCGCCTTTGTAACTAAGCTTTCATGATTCTGTAACTAAGTTTGTATTTGAGTTTTTGGCATACGCCTTTGTGAGACCGTTGCACATAATTTAGTGAGTTTTCCTTTTCATTTTGCCTTAAAACAAAATTCTGGTGAACTAGACCCCAACTAACAAACCCTTTGTGTGCGTCTCATTGATAAACTCAGCTGATATTATTGGCTACGCCTTTTGAATATTCAAATCGATCTCTTTAAAATAGATAGTTGGAGCATCTATAAAGCCTTTCTTTCCATCAAACTCTAGTCATTTTATTCAAACTCAACAAATATTTTACAGCTTTCAGTTTTTTTCCCACTTTGAGGAGCCATCCTTAACTACCACAATCTAGACTAGCAAGTTTTCAAGCTTTTCTCGATCTCAGTTGTCAAAAGAATCAAGAAAAGTAAAAAGATCTATAACAGGTTACAGCCACCTTAAGCAGTCCAACTTCCTTGCAGATTGTTCTTCCCCATTTGTGTCAGAATATATTAGGATTGGCGCCGGCTCATTTTCGATGGTCACATGGTCAAAATCACCTGACACGAAAAGAAGAAAAGAAGTTTAGGCATAAATTTAAGAGAAAATTAGTCAGAGTAACACTAATTCAAAGGGATATTGTTAATCTAACACCCGTTCTAAAAACTTAAGTGAGAAATGTGTAAAAAGTCAGTTAAACCATCTAAACCCTATTTTATTACATGTATGCCATTGTTTTAACTTCTTATTTTTGATTAAATTAAAATACAAAGTAAATAAATTAAACTAAATTAAAAACATAAACCCTTAAAACAAAAACTCCCGAGTCTCAATAAGTCGCCGTCTCTCATTCATCTCCGACGTCGTCCCCGACATCGGATCCGGCTTCTTCTCCTCCGCCGACGACTCCATCTCTCGTTCGTCTACGCCGTCATCTCCTATTTGTGAATTGTAGGCTCTGTTCTAACGTGAGAATCTCCTTTTGAATTACAGGTCCTATTCGAAACTTAAAAACTTGTTTATAACCTCCTTTTGATTCGATTCTACCATTGTTTAAGATAATTGAATAAGAAGTGCAAGCCATTGAAGCATTGAATCTCGAGGGAACTTGAGTTTCAATTATATGTCTCTGCAATTTTCGTTTCTTTGCTATTATGGGTTTTTCAGATTAATAAGTGGGAGATGTTCTGAAATGTTGTATTTTTCACTGGCTGTAGATATGGCTCCTACAAGTAACGAGTCTAACTATCCTCAACTACTCTATCCAAAGGGAAAAGCACCAAGTCAAAAGAAAAGCATGAGTTTCTACAGCTACTTGTCAAATTTTCAAATGGTTAAAGTAGGAGTTGGAATCGATGCATGGGAAGCGTTGAAAGAATCCGCAGTTGGTGTTTTCTTAATGTTTTATGAACAAGATCACATATTTAGTGCGAAGTTGGTCCACTACATTCTAACTCATCAACTCGTAGTGAAGAAGTATTATGAGATATGGTCATTGATTGATTGGCAGCCAATTCGTCTATCATTGATAGAGTTTGGGGAGATTACTGGGTTGAATATTGGACCGTTTGATGTTGGAGACACTTTTGATATTGATCACAGAGAGTTTTGGGAGGAATTACATGTTTCTCCAGTTGTTGGTCCTAACTTGGTTGAGCTGCGGGAGGTATTAGATAGATGTAAGAGCTGGTGTTTTGAAAAAAGGAGAAGCGTTGGATGGTTGTGTATTTTGCACATTGCTGTCTACGGCATAGCTCCAACAGCTAGAATTCCTTTGGAGGCTGCTAAACGAGTACTTAATGCTGACGCTTTTGAGAGATATCCGTGGGGACGTGTTGCTTGCAAGAGCTTGATACACTCTATTAAGTGTCTCAATTACCACGCCAAAGAATCCTATACAGTGGAAGGATTTGTTTATGTATTACAAATATGGGCATATGAAGCTATTACTGGCGTAGGAGAACTTTATGGGAATAGAATTGATGGCGCCAGAGTTCCAATGCTATCATGGGGTGGATCACGTCCGCGATTTGAGCCTAGCGAGTTTCTTAGACATGAGAAAGAAGCTCATGATAATAAGGTACACATTTTATGTTTTTTGTTTGTTTGGTTTAAACGAGTGAGTGGAGATAATTTCAGGTTCTTGTATTCTTGTAGTTGCTCTGTATCATGACTTTTTTTTTTCTTCTCAGGTGCGTGTGAGACATTTTCTTTCCCTCATGGATGGAAATGTCGTTCCTAATTGGGATAAGGAGGAGAACGATGAAAAGGTAACCATTCTGGTTCGTGATATACTTGATGATCATATCATTCCAACTGCTTGGGATGTCTTGGAATCTCAAGTATGCATGAGAAAGAAGCGTAAAGCATCTGTTCCCATAATTAATTCTCACTATTCCACAAACCCAAAAGTCAAAGATCAACAAGTAAATGGTGATGACGAAAGGGGAGGTGCTTCAAATGTGAGTAGTAATTGTCATTCATATTATTTATTCCTTCTGATATGAGTTAACATTATAATTTGGATGAGTTTGATATTTTTTAGGCTGCTGGAAATGTAACGCAAGACAATGACGTTTTTGGCATGTTGCATAAGCTGACTGATAAAGTTGACAGCATGGGAGCAGACATTTCTAATAACCTATTGGCAGGATTGGATGCAGCGATAGAAACAAAACTTGATGCTGCAATCGAAACAAAAGCTTGATGCTAGACTTAATCCCCTAACTGAGATGATGGCGGCATTTGAGAAAGAGCTAAAGAAGTTGCAAGGAAAAAATGTAGTTGATATCAGTGAAGAAGGTGATAACTCCAACATCAATGAAGATGACGAAGTCTCAAGTAACCCGGTGCGTTTTTTATTTTTTTCCTGCTTCAATGTGTTTGACGTTGGTATTTGTTTGTATAGTGGTTTATGTTAATTGCTTTTAACTTCATGTTTTTTTCCAGACTTGGATAGTGAAGATGAAAGCGACATCCGAAGATGAGCTACCAACACAATGTGTTGTTAAGAATGATAAGAAGGCTAGAAAAAACCTTGTACAACTACGTCGTACACCAATAAAAAAAATCGACATACAAGTACCAACACTCCTTGATACAGCTTCAGGGGAAACATGGCCAGATCCCATTCAGCGTAAGATATTCAAAGGAGTTGATGCAAGTTTAGATGAAATTGCAGAAGCGGCTAAGAAGCGCCTAACGAAGTTAGCTCCGAGTCAACAATTTCCATTCGTAGGAAATTCAACAGTGAAGCGCATCATCACAGGAGTAACTCCATCTGTCGCAATATATGATCCATTTGCTGTTGAGGACGACAAAAAACTCCAAAACTTACTACATTTCCAACTAGATTCAGAGTACGTGATCTTTCGTCATAACCATCTCACACTTTTATTGTATATTAAATGTACGTTTAAAATTTGTGTTTACTATCTTGTAGGGAAAAACCAGATAAAACAAACACTCATAGTGTTGAATTCTACAACGTCATTACAACACCTCGACGTGAATGGCCGACTACTACATATGGGTGGTTGACATCTGGGGTTAGTAAGCTTTAGTATCTTACCTTACGTTTCTTTTTAAAAAACATTTCGATGTAACTAATTTATTTCTTCGTTGCAGCATATGTGGAGTGCGATGCAAATGTTTTATCAGCGATCTCAACGTGTTCCAACTCCCTACCGCTCTCAGCGAATTGTGTTTTTGGATCAATATTTAGTCAATAAGTTTGTAACAGATTACGGAAGCTTCACAGCTAAAAAGTGGACTGTTCCAGATTACTACAAAGCTGCCTTCCTTGGTAAATATCCTTCTACGGCGGCAACAAACAGGACCTGGCTTCACGATGTGGATAATTTGTATGCATGCTATCACCTAAGTGGTAATCACTGGGTTGCTTTGGATATAGACTTGGGGAAGGAGACCATTCACGTTTATGACAGCATTATGGGATTAACTGAGGATGATAAAGAGATTAAAAAACATTGTCGGCCATTCGCAAAGTTGCTACCTGTGATTTTGAGTGCAATGGTCCCGTCTTATGTTCGGAAGAAGAGTGAGAAACAGTTCGATGTAAAAAGATTGAAGCATGTCCCACAAAACAAAAACCCTGGAGACTGTGGTGTTTACACTATAAAGTACATTGAATGTCTTGCACTTGGTTGGAATTTCGATGCTTTACATGATGGAAACATTCCACAACTGAGAAGGAAGTTAGCGGCAGATGTTTTCGACGAGGTGGGACTGCCGCAAAGGTCCTAGAACTAGTCACACTTAATTTTGTGATGTCTTTTGGTCAAGTAGAACTAGTCACACTTAATTTTATGATGTCTTTTGGTCAAGTGCGGTTGTACTAGCAACTTATGTAGTATTTTCAGGCTATTCATACCTTTTTAGTGACTTTTATGGCCATCTTAATGTTCCAGAATTTGTGCATTTTATATGTTGCACATTGAATTTTCTTGATCCTACTGATTAACTGCAGTAACAGGTTCCCAGATAAATCTTTCCACCATCCAAGTCCCTTAGTGATGCTCTGATTCGTCCTCCAAAAGTAGCACAAAAGAACAAAACATTTTTTTTTCTCAGATATATCAGAAACTGCAGGTTCTCAGAGATTTTTTTGGAGACTTTCACGGCGATTTGGAGTTGATTTACTACTTAAAATGAATTTAAGTTTGACCCTACTGATTAACTGCAGTAACAGGTTACCAGAAACACATTTTCCACCATCCAAGTCCCTTACTAGGGATCAGAATCTTCTTCCAAAAATAGCACAGAAGAACACAATGCATTTTGTTTTCTTAGAAAATTGGAGCAAACATGAACCTCAAATGTCACGAATAGAAAAAAATGTTGTAATGTCGTAGTATGACCACAATGATGTCGTAGAACAGTGTTAAATTGAAACCTTACATGTTTTGCAATTATGACCACTTTGATGACATCTAGAGCATGTGTAATCTTTTCTAGGACGCTTTTTGTCACATGCTTTCTCCAATGCTGATTTGAATCTCCTTTTCCTAGGTCTTCCAGGTGGTGTACGCACTATTGGAGGCAAACATAACTTCATCGCAACATGCTCTGGTGCATCAGAAGCATCGTCTCTTGGCATTATAGAAGTATAATATCCCTTGCACAAGTCGTTGTTGTGAAAGTAGTGATGTGCCAGTGCAATACGACATTTGTTACTGGCTTCCGCTGCGACAAGTGCGTGTACACATGGCAACTTCTCAATATCAAAACGACGACAAGTACATTTCCGCTCAGTTAAATTAACAACATGAAGAGATGTTCCACCAGTAACTTGTGCATGACGGGAATCAATTGCTTGTACCTTGAGCGTCTTTGCATATAATACACGTTTCTGAGAAACGAAAGAATCAAAATTAATGTTTGTATTTAACTTTTAATATGAGAGTAAGGTTTATATACTAACCTCCAACATTTTCTCAACTCCACGAGTGAGGGTCGTCTTCACAGAACTCGCATCGGACCTCCGTTCTGCAAACCATCTTGTCATCATCAATCGAATCGCATCCAAAAGTCGTACAATAGGCAAGCTTCTCGAGCTAGAAATCTGCTTGTTGATGGACTCCGCTATGTTTGTTGTCGTTAAGTTGTATCGATCCCCAGGAAAATGCACCCTTGCCCACTTCCTTACATCAGCCTTTACCAAATACTTATGCAGCGCTGGATTCATACCTTTTATCTCATCAAATATTTTAATGAAATCTGACATTCTAAATGCATTAGCTGCCTTTTTAACCCAACGAAACGCTTCACCACCTCCATAACGTTGCAATACATTTTTGTAAAGATGGTATGTACAAATACCTCGACTAGACTTGGGATATACCTTACCAATAGCATTTCCAATTGATATATGCCTATCAGAAATTATTGCAAGTTCTTCGTCATCAGGAATCACATTGCTAAGCTGTTGGAAAAACCATTCCCATGAATCATCATTTTCGGTATCGACGACTGCATAGGCAATTGGAAATATTTGAAAATTCCCATCTTGGGCTGTCGCTAATAGCAATGTCCCTTTATATTTACCACTCAGAAATGTACCATCCACAACAATCACCTTTCGCATGTAGGAAAATCCAACTATACTAGCTCCAAATGCTAGGAACAAATACTTAAATCTGTCGAACTCATCAACTTCTAGACGTGTGAAAGTTCCTGGATTTGCTTTTCTGATTTGGTGTAGATAGGTAGGCAGGTCTGAGTATCCACTCTCTGCGGAACCTCGAATCAAATTCCTTGCTCGTAAAAGTGTCTTATGGGCCTTCCAGTAATCCATCTACAACCAAGTAATTCAAACTAAAAATGTTATCCACGTTCATGTAACCTAAAACCGAAAAAAAAAAAAAAAAAAACAACATTAGAGAAACCTTACAACTCACCTTAGCACCAAATCTCATGTTCAAGGCTTGTCCAACATGTTTTGGTACAATTTTTGAGTCAACACCTCCAACAAAATCAACATATAGCATCGCCAGAATATCTGGAGTAGCTTGTCGGGCACGCGCAGAACGTTGAGTAACAGAACATGAATGTTGGTCAACGTAAACACGAATAGTAAACTCATTTGAATCTCCAACTGGGGTAGCTCATACTCTCCATGAACAACCTTCTACCCAACACTTAACAACGAGCTTGTCTGGGATTGATTTGTCTACTTTAAAATCAAATTGCTGAAGGACTGATAAAATTTTCAACCTTGTTAGCAATGTCTTTTTTGACTTGAATCGATCTCCGATAGCTAGAGTGAGCTCAGATAGTTCTAGCTTAACATGTGCATTCGTCAAACTAGAGCCAGTCTTTGTAGTTGGAGAATTTACCTTATTCTCTTTTCCTTCCGGAGCCAACCCGTATGTAGCAAAGTCCACATCACCTGAACATACTCCGTCTGGAGCCAACCCGTATGTAGCAAAGTCCACATCACCTGAAGATGCTCCGTCTGGAGCCAACCCGTATGTAGCAAAGTCCTCATCACCTGAAGATGCTCCGTCTGAATCATCACACCAGTCAAACCTGTCATTCTCGTCCTCATCCTCATCCTCATCCTCTTCCTCTTCTTCGTCAGTTGCACCATCCTCCAAACCTTTTGTCTTTAATTCGACACAAAGTTGCACCGCATCTGTGTTTAGTTGTTCCAAATAGCCCTGAAAATGTCTACTAGTTCCAACATCTACAGGAGGTGTGTTTTTTGGTAATGTCAACAAAACCTTCTTGGGAAACATGTAGCTCAGGTCGACCTTGTAGAGCTGCTTGTCGATATTGTATTCTGTAATCACCATATCTACAAAATCGCTAAAAGTATACCTCGTTTGCTCTTATTTTTTTTCCCTCTTTTGTTGTCAATACCAAACAACCATCTGTTATTCTCAAACATCCATTTACCACAAATCAGATTAATAATAGCCATTAACTGATGAAATAGGAATGGAGTAATGGAGCCAAGTGACAAAAGAGGAAGAAGATGGCTTAGGAAGAAGAACGCCAAAAAAGTTGAGATTAGGGCTTCTTTTTTTAATTATGTAACGTAAAAGACTTGGTTTAGGGATTTTAAATTGAAATGTCTTGAGTAGGATTTGGTTCGGTTTGGTTAACCATTAAAAATCGAAAATTGGTTATGATTGGTTTAATTTAAAAATGAAAATTGGCTATAATTGGTTTAATATCTCTATGGCCATTACAAAATAAATCTGTGTTCAAAGGAAACAAACTTTCTGAGTAAATTTGTGGCTTAAGTAAACAAATCTATGAAAAACCAATAAGTTTGTCAAAATTAGTAAATCTATTGCCAAAGAAAAATAAATCTGTAGGGATAGTTAAATAAATCTATCAAAATTGAGTAAGTCTGTCTAAAGATAATTAAATCTGTTGAAGGTAAATAAGTCTATGCTAATTAACTAAGTCTGTCACTAATCAAAATTAAATCTGTAGAAATTTAATAAGTCTATCAAAATTGATTAAGTCTGTGCACAAAGAAACTTAAATCTATAGAAATTTAATAAGTCTATCAAATTTAAGTAAGTCTGTGGCTAAACAAAAAAGAAAGTCTATGGATCTCTTAATAAGTCTATGTCTCTTAATAAGTCTGTGAAAACTAACTAAATCTATGACTAAACAAAACTAAGTCTATAAAACAATAAGTCTATTGTGTCTGTAAAATAAGTCTGTGTTATTTTTTTTATTAAATAATAATGGCATTTCTGTAATTCAAGTTTTTTGTTAACAAACGATTTGGGGGTAAAATAGGTATAAAAAACTCATTAATAATAAAATAAAAATAAGAGTTAGTCTAGTAATTAAACTATAAATTAGGGCTAAACTAACTTTTTTCCCTAAATTTAATCAGGACAAATTTCAAATAAAAATGGAGTTATGAACCAGACAAGAGGCAATGCTTAGAAACTAGAGAAACCATGCATTATTAGAGGCAATCTTAATATTGGAAACTAGTGGTTACGAAGAATCCTTGCAAATCCAAAAGATAGAGAGACCTACCTCTTCACAACTCTATTCAGCCTTTTTACATTCGGATACCATCGTTGACAGAGTGGAGATGATTCCTTGAAGTTTTCTTTAGTAGCACAACGCTTGAAGAAGCACCATTCTTGGAACACATTCTTCACTTTCGACTATCTCGAGGGGAAAAAAAAACCCAACCAGCATACATCTAACAATAAGCATTACCACAAACACAACAGAACAAATATTACATGAGCCAGGTTCATTAATGTACACAAACATATAGCCTTACAATCATATCCAAATAACCAAAACAGCCATATTCAAATAACTAAACAGGAAATCAAAGACCGTCCAAAGATAGTTTGAGAATTTATGTTGAACAGTATTCAGCAAACCTATTAACTATGAGAGTGAATGCAACCAATATGATTACATCAGAGTAACAAAACAATATTTTGCAGACATGATCTTATTTATGAATCATTGTAATATGATTCATCTGAATCAGGTGTACATATGCAATAAAGTAGCTGGAGAACGCAAGAACAAACCCCATTCAATGAAGAAGCATTGAACTAGGACCACAAACTGTCTAGTCCTAAGACAACTACACCCAGGTTTCGATTACTTTTAACATTATACGATCATTCTGTTTCGGAAAATAAAAAAATTTAAACAGATGGATTACCTTTGGTTTTGGTCATTAGAGGTTTAGTGTCAGGTTGGTGATTCTCTTGCGAGGATACACATGCATGAAGCACACAGAGCACAAGCGATAGCTCAATAACGGGTAAGTGATTCTCTTCCTAGTTTGCACTGATGGTTCATATGCAAGACGCATATTAGTGAGCACAAGTAATGCCTCAATATTAATTCTCCAATATTGTTTGTTGTATGCAAGAAGCATGTTGAATATATGCAAGTAACATGTGAATATATGCAAGTAGCATATTAAAGGAGCAAGATACTCTTTGTGGTATGCAAGCAGCATTTAATACGTATGCAAGAAGCATATAAAAGAGTGAGATACTCTTTGCAAGCAGCATAAGAAAGAGCAAGATACTCTTTGGTATGCAAGCAGCATGTATAATACGTATGCAAGAAGCATATAAGAGAGTAAGATGCAAGAAGCATACGATATGCAAGAAGCATACGATATGCAAGCAGCATAAGAAAGAGCAAGATACTCTATAAGGTATGCAAGCAGCATATAATAGGTATGCAAGAAGCATATGAAAGAGTATGCAAGAAGCATAAAAATGTATGCAAGCAGCATATAAGACATAATGCAAGCAGCATATGAAAGAGTATGCAAGAAGCATACAAATGTATGCAAGCAGCATATGATACGGTATGCAAGCAGCATATGAAAGAGTATGCAAGCAGCATATAATATGTATGCAAGAAGCATATAAAAGAGCAAGCATATAATATGTATGCAAGAAGCATATAAAAGAGCAAGATACTCTTTGCGAGTTGCAAGCAGCATATGATACGGTATGCAAGAAGCATGTGAAAGAGCAATAAAAAAAAAGAGAGAAACGAATTTGTTTAGACCTGCCAAGCAAGCGCACCTGTCATGGCAAAGGTCTTATACAAATTCATACATCTCTTTTTCTCTCTCTCAGTTTGAAAGCCCAAACAAAGCCCAAACCCTAACCAATGTCGTAGTTTAGCCATCAGGATCAACGAGAATTGATCCGATACGTTTCTCCCTGCCCACTCTGCTTTGTTCCTAGCGGAATACGAATCCGAAAAAGTAAGTCTCCGTCAAAGACATCGATTCCAGTAATCCAATCACACAAAGACATATAAGTAGCAGACCAAACAAAAACGAGAAACCCTAGGCGAAGACAAGAACGTACCTCAGATGAACAGCCACAAAACTCGATAGATTGCAAATCGGCGCCACGGATCAACGTCAGCCGAATCGAGATGAGCAACCTAAACCCTAACAAAAAATATCGTCCAGGCAAAGAGATTCGAAAAACAATTAAAGAAGAAAACGAGGAATCTTAGGGAAAACAAATCGGAATTTAGAACAAAACTCACATTTTGAAAGAAGATGCAGAAGCAATCGGCGGCAGGAGATTTCGGTATCGACCTCCTGTGCATATAACCCGGAATCCGAGTCGGTTTAGGATTTCGGATCTATTATGGATAGATCCTACGGTTGTCAATTGCCAACGTCTAAAGCAATCGACGGTCCCGATGAAACGCAACAATAAAAGGCGGTTAATTATGTTCGCGCGTGTCACCAATTTTCCACGTGTCTTATCCTCTTAATAAAACGGTTGTTTTTTATGAAAGGAAAGAAATTTCAGCGCCAAAAAGAGTTGACCAATACATGACATTAGCCATTAGATCATATCAATGGTTGATAATCCATATTTGACAATTACTGTCTCTTCTCTCTAACAGAATTTAAAATATCTGTTTAAACGAATTCGCTATCCAGATTTTAGTAACATCTTTTCTTTATTAAGGCATAAGTTTGCTAGCTGTAGTGTATGAAGTACTGTATGAATGTTGGATTATTCGAGATGCAGGGGAATAGAAGAAGCTACAACTAGCTCAAAAGCATTAAAATTTACATCTGAATGTTGAATCTTTATTCAATCATCCTCAATTTCACATTGTGTAGAGACAATATTTTAAAGCAAGTGAAAGTATAAAATCACTGATAACAGAGAAGCTTGAAACTACTACCAAACTAGTTACTTCCGTATCAAACAACGTTTTCATGTAATTACGGAAACATAAGAAAACAAAATAAATTGTTAATTGACAATCGAAGCACTTTCTTTACAGATAAACTTTTTAAAACTAAAGAAAACTTTGAGCCATGTCATCTTTGTAGATTCTCTGGTGAAGCCTTGACAACCACGTATCTTAATGAGCTTTACAGGAGTTGTTAGGAAACGTCTTCTTGGCTTCAGAGTCTTTAGACTCTTTCCTCTGCCTCCAAAGGTGGAGAAGGGATGAAGCAGCATTGCAAATCTTGTGGTATTTGTTCTTTATGATTTGGAAATTCATGATTAATGAGAGGGCAGAGATCCCAGCGTGGTTTACCATCAGAGTTTGGCCATCTTAGAAGCTTTCGTGGCTCCTTCGTACAGTTCCATAGAATCTCCTCTGCTTTCCTCTTCTTCACAATATTTGATTTCCTCTTCTTCACCCTAGCCGCATCTGCAGCATTCATGACTAATTCGTACAGCTCCGTTTTCCTCTTCTTCTCCACCATGACATCCGTTTTCTTTCTTCGTGAGCTCCTCCTCTGTTTTAGTCTTCAAGGCCGGAGATTTAGGGTTTCCAGAATCTTTACAAGCTCCTCCTCTCCTCGAAGGAGGTCTCAGTGATTTGGTTGTGATTTTACCATCTTTGTCTTTGATGTCTCTCCAGTGCTGAGGAATAGCCTTGACAGTAACAGAGCGCATCTTCTCCTGCTTCCTCGTAGCAAACTCAAACTTGCAAGCAGCATCGTTCTCTGTCTCTTTCTTGATCTTTTCAGTTTCTTGAGTCGACAAAAACTCCTGATCTTGTTCCATCTTCAAATCCAAAAACCCTGTCTTCTCCTCTTTCTTGATCTCAACCGCTACATGAGTCTCAGATCTCTCCTCTTTGACAGATTTCCGTTCGTCTCTCTTCTTCAACTCTGAACATCTTTTTAGAACAGACTTCTTCTGCGTCAGACAAGCTTTGGACACTCTTCGTCGTGCGTAAAGCGTATTATACCAGTAATCAAACAAAGACTGAGCTTCTTTGCGGATCTTAGGGTTCCTATGCCTTCGCAGAGTCTCCAAGTTCACCATCGACTCAGACCATTGAAGATCTTCGACGGAGAGAGACAAAGACTTCAACATATTCAACGCGTCGATGCATCGCTCGACTCCGCCTGGACTCCGTGTATCGTAAGTCGTCTTGATTACAGCAGAAACCAACTCGGTTAAATCAGATCTCTCCTTCGCAATCCTCACCCTCATCTTCACTTTTCTTAAATTGTTGTTCATCTTCAGATACTCAGTGGTCGATTATACAGTGAATCTACTCAGGTGGCTAGGGTTTACACCGTGCTATTGATTTGATAATCGAATTAATGCAGATAAAGTGATAATCTGAATAAGAGTGAAATATATAGTCAGTGGAAAAAGAAAATTGTAACAGTAGCTTAGGTTCCAAGAAACTTCTCAATTTCCTTTTTTTAGACTTTTAGTATTATTATCACAGAAACATCCATCAGGCTACAACAAAACACATACTTGGCTCTAAAACTCTCAAGTCTAATACTTTCGAATCAATCATCACCATAGGCCTTGAAGCAGTACCGTTCACGGTAAGGAGCGTTGAAGAAGAGATCAGCCTCTAACCATTTAGGATACCGAACAAGATCTCCGGCTAAGAACTGCATATACTTCTTGCTTCCTTCGGGAACAACTCGAACCTCGCCTTCTTCAATGTAAACCAGCTGGTCCACCTGCCAATCCCATGGCAGTTTGCATTTCCCGGTCTTCCAAACCGACCATCTCGAAACCCCGAGCTCATCTAACCGTCTCTGTGACACTTTCCGTTCCACTTTCACATTGTATAGCTCCTCTAATGGTTTCTCTGTCTGCATACATGTTACCTTGAAGGCTCTCTGAACAGAGAGGCTGTTTGCTTTCTTGCATTTAGTGATGGAAGTTGGGAATGGTGTTGCCATTATCAGACTTGCCATGGCTGCTGCTTCTGCTTCTGTTATGTGCCTACAAAACCGATATCTGAATCTCCTTAGACCCCACAATGAGATTTTGCATAACCCACAATGAAACATTGTGATTTCAAGTCTAGTGTACAAGTGAATTCTTGTAAAGCATAAGGCTTTTATCATCTAACTTCTTGCAATAGCTAATGAATCAAGTGTACACAGGTAAAAATGAACTCAAGATTCAAGAAATTTGTTTATGTCCAATTGCTAATTCGATTGGAGAATTGAAGTATTCGCACATTTCAGAGACTTTACATAATTGAAGACTCATCTCAAAATTGAAGAAATGTGGGGACGACTAATAAGAAAAGAAAAAACTGAAAATTTATCCCAAAAATTCAAAAAGGTTGCTGAATTCAGATAGTAAGAAGAAATTCTATTCACAGAAACCGAAATTCTTACCTGTGGATGGTGAAGATAGTCGAGGGAGATGGAGCTGTGAGTGAGTGAGTGAGTGAGTTCTCGCTTCAAGAACCCTAAAACCCTGAAGGCTTATCCATTTCCGATTTTGATGATTCAGTAAAATGTAGAGGAAAATGCTTAAAATTACAGAAACGTCCCTAGTATGGTAGATATATTTCAATTTGAAGACCGGATGTTTCTTTTGTTCTATTGTAGCCCAAATGTTTTTTTTGTTCAATTTTGTTCATGTAACGTGTCACATTCTCTGACACCATTGCACAATCTTCCACTTTTATCACAAGTTTTATGGCTGTTCATCAAAACTCCGTTCTGGGTTTATAGCAGAATCTCCGAGTTTCTTTGGAGCTGCTCACTGTCATGGTGATTCTGCAAATTCAACAGCTCAATGGGTTCGTTAACTACGCTTCAAGGGCTCGGACTAACCGAGGAAGAGGGAGAGCTTCGACGACAGTGTGCGTTCAAACACAAGTGGCTCCCTCTAAAACACAGGTCAAGCTTTCTCTTAAGCTTTAAATTTTCAGAAGTTTCTTTCAGCAAAGCTTGAATTTTTCCTGTAACTGCTCCAAAAGTTGCTTGCTTGATGAACGAATCCACTCAATTCTCTGCTCCGCGTAATTGCTGCTTTCATATGAAAAAAAAAGTTGCGAACTTTATCTGAAAAAGAGATGTTTTTTTCCAGTCTGCATTGTGTGTGATTCCATCAAAATGCATCACTCAGTACAAAGAACTTGTAATTCATTAAAATTTTGCTCCTAGAACAGATTTTTATTAACCAAGAAAATGAGTATGATTGGTTTTTTTTGTAACTATTTCTTGTAGTATTTGAATCTAGAGAGCCTTTTCAGCTGTTTTCATAAGCACGATGAGATGTTTTGAGCTGAGTATGAGTTTAATCATTTCGATATGCAGAGGATAATGGAGAACATTTCAGTTGGTGGAGAAGCAGGAGGTGCTGGTGGTGCTTACTCTTACAATGCCTTAAAGAGACTTGACAATATTTGGTCCAACATATGCACTCAACCAAAAGGTACAAATATAACAAACAAATTGTTAACCATTCAGCTAATGAAGAAATATTCTCTTGGTGGGATGAACGTTTAGTCTTTGAAAATCATCTTGCAGGACCGCAAGAAACTAAGCAAATAGTTTCCAGGGTTTCTGGTTTTTCTCAAGACTATGGTATTGGGAATAATCTCGTTGGAACATTTGACATTGCGGTTTGTGGGGGTACTTTAGGGATCTTCCTCGCCACCGCTTTATGTACCAAGGGTTTAAGAGTTGCTGTGGTGGAGAGAAATGCAATCAAAGGGGTAAATCTTCTAATGATATGGTTTTGTTGAGATGTGGTTGGAGGAATTATTGCTAATGTTTTTTGGTTTTGTGGTAATTTAGAGAGATCAAGAATGGAATATCTCAAGAAAAGAAATGAAAGAGCTGGTTGAAGTTGGAGTTTTGACTGAAGATGAGATCGAAGAAGTAATTGCTGCAAAATTCAATCCGGTATAGCTTCTTTTTAGTAAGCAACGCCTTTATGCTCTTTTAAAAAATCAATGTTGCTTAAGGTTGGTTATCTTGAACAAATGCAGAACAGATGTGGATTTGAGAATCTTGGTGATATATGGGTTGAAGATATTCTTAACCTCGGCGTTTCGTGAGTCCTGTCTCCTCTTGTTCCCTAATACAAAAAAACCAATCCATGTTTCTGCTAAATTTTGAAAGTGATGAATTGGTTTCCATTTTGTATCTTGAACCAGCCCAGCCAAACTTGTGGAGACTGTGAAACGACGTTTCATCTCTCTTGGTGGAGTCATTTTAGAAGACTGCAGCCTCTCGAGCATCCTTATTTACGATGATTTAGCTGTGAGTTCTCTGATGCTTTCTCAAAGAAAAATCATAATCAAGAAGAGAACTTTCTGTGTGTTGATTTGAATTGTTTGAAATTTCTGATTGATAGGTTCTGGAACTTTCTAAAGGTGACATATTATCTTCTCGTCTAGTCATCGATGCAATGGGAAATTTTTCTCCTATTCTGAAGCAGGTCTTACTTTGTCCTACTAGCATATCTAATTATACTTTTCATTTGCAATGGTTAAAATATACTGTTCTTGTTATCTATTCTGCTGTAAAAGATTAAACGTGGTAGAAAGCCAGATGGGATGTGCCTTGTGGTTGGATCTTGTGCTCATGGGTTTAAAGAGAACTCAAGGAGCGATGTCATTTATAGTAGCTCAACGGTGAGCAAAGTTGCAGATTCCAATGTACAACTCTTTTGGGAGGTAAAAAGATCTTGTGTTTTCCCCATCCTACACAATTCACAAACGAAAGAAGAACATGTTTTAAAATGAGGCTGCATATTGTTGTTTCTTGAAGGCCTTCCCGGCTGGTTCTGGTCCATTAGACCGCACTACTTACATGTTCACTTACACTGAACCGAAATCAACATCTCCGAGTTTAGAGGATTTACTTGAAGAATACTGGAAACTGATGCCAAAATACCAAGTGAGATTCCATTTCTATACAAAATTCCTTGCTTTTGTTGTATTAATAGTTTCATGTGGTTACTTCTTGGTGTAGGGAGTCTCTCTTGACGAATTGGAAATACTGAGAGTTGTATACGGAATCTTTCCTACATACCAAAATAGGTACTATCTTGACATGAAACTCCACTGATGCTGTGTATCTCTATCACCTATCGAAGTTGAATCTCTTTACCATTGATAATATATAATTTTGTTTACCAGTTTCATACGATAATTCTGCTGCATTCTGACATATCTTACCCTCTTGGATTGGACCTATCACCAGTCCACTGCAAGCCGCATTTGATCGTGTTCTACAGGTGGCTTTTGGTTCATTCGTATACATATACATATAATTTGATAAATTAAATGATCAAAGTTTTTTACAATACTTTACTCTTATCTCAGTTTGGTGATGCTAGTGGTATTCAGTCACCTGTTTCATTTGGAGGGTTTGGAAGTTTGACCAGACACCTTGGAAGATTGTCCAATGGTATATACATTCACTCTTTAACAGTAAAATTTCTGTCTCCATGTGTCTATGAACATTATATAATTGTATGTCATGAAAATTTGAAGAATACATGACCGAACTTTTCTTCAGACTTTCTGATTATCTTACTCTGCAATTATATATGAAGGAATCTTTGAGGCAATAGATGGAGATTTACTGGACTCGGAGAGCTTATCAAAGCTAAATCCTTACATGGTAAGTAAACTCTGTAGTTCTCAACAGTATAAATCTTTCTTCCCTGTTACTAACTTCACTGAAGCAACAGCCAAACTTGAGCGCATCATGGCTGTTTCAAAGAGCAATGTCTGCGAAGCAACAACCCGATGTTTCCCCTAGCTTCATCAACGAGCTTCTCCATGTGAATTTCAATTGCATGCAGGTATTGTAAACCTTGTTCTTATGTGGAAACTAGGAGATGAGTGCTTCTGAAATTTGATTCCTAAGCAATGGTTTCCATATGTTATCTTGTAGAGATTGGGAGATCCGGTTCTCAGACCATTTCTTCAGGATATAATACAGTTTGGTCCTCTAGCAAAGACCTTAGGCCTTGTCATGCTGACCAAACCTCAGATCATTCCATCGATATTCAGACAGGTACAGTGTTAATCCAAAACGCAAACAAAAGATTGGAAATGCTCTCCGTTTGTTCATGACATCTGGTTTCTTTGTTGGTCTCCTCAGGTTGGGATACCTGTTCTGCTTGATTGGTTAGTCCATTTTTTCATGCTGGGCTTGTATACGTTCCTCTCTGCATACATCGATCCAGTAATAAGGTGAAATGTTTATGAGTCTCTTTAATAAATTAAGACTGGACCGTTGCATTATCAATGTTGTGTTTCCTGAACCTTCTTGATCTGTTGTCTATTACTCAGGCCTTATTTGGAAGAGTTTCCATTAGAGACGAAGTTCCAGTGGAAGAGACGTCTTGAGGCCTGGAAATATGGAGCTGGCCTCGATTACGAGTTGTGATTCTGTTCATCTCTCTTCATAAGCCTCAAATTTAATGGCTCATTAGCTCTGCATACATATATATACACTAAACAGAATCAACATCTCAGTTCTGAAATTTGGTTCACAGACTTCTAAAAAATTCTACAATATCAGCTTATACAAGTTAAAAGACAATGTACAAGTTAAAGGCTCTCTCAGAGAATCATACCGAAAAGAAGAGATTCTGAATCAGTAACCAGTTTCAAGCATCACCAGGTAAATCTCAGTGTTTACTATTTCACGAATCATCTTCTTAAGCATCTGGTGAATGCATACTTCCAACGAGTGCAGTATAAACCTTATTATCTATTGCGTATCCTTTCCTTTTCATCTCATCATACAACCCAAAGGCTTCATCCGATTTCCCAGCTTTAGACAAACCCGAAATAATCACCGTGTACGTTACAGAGCTCTGCTCCAAACCCTTCGAACCCATCTCGCTAAATAACCTCATCGCTTCCTCAACATTACCAGCAACACATTCCCCGTGTATCAACGACGTGTAGGTATACAAATCCTGCTCCATCCCTTTTGCTTCCATATCAGCCTTAAGTCTACGTGCTTCCTTCACTTTCCCTTTCTTGCAGTACGCACCGATCATCACATTGTACGTCCAAGCGTTTGGCTGTGCTCCTTTACCGCTCATCTCCACAAACAGCCTCTTGGCCTCCTCAACATTCCCTTCATTGCAGTAAACATCGATCAGATTAGTATAACAAACAGTGTTAAGCCTCACACCACCTTCCATCATCCTGAACAGCCATTGCTTTGCCTCGTCGTACCTCTTCACTCTATTCAAACAGCTAGCAATCGTATTGAAAGTGTACACATCAGCTTCAAACCCTTTCTTCTCCATCACATCATAAATAACCAAAGCTTCATCAACCATCCCTTTTCTACAGTATCCATTAATCAACGTATTGAACACCACCTGAGTGATATTAACTCCTCTGCTCTGCATCTCGTTCATCAGGATCTCCGCCGCACCCATTTCTCCGACCTTACACACACCGTCGATGAGAGCGCCGTAAGTGTGACTAGTCGGCGAATGTCCCTTCTCTGTCAATTCATCAAACAACAAAAACGCTCTCTTAACATTTCCCTTTTTGCAATGCCAAGTTATCAGAGAAGTATACACATAGATATCGGATTCTATTCCTCTCTCACGCATTTCGTCGAACACTTTCTCCGCATCAGCCATTTTCCCGTTCTTGATGCTCAAATCCATCAGATGCGTATACGTAACCTTGTCATACGCCACTCCGTTCTTCTTCATCGCCTTCAGTATCTCTTCCACGCCGGAGAAGTCTCTCTGTTTGACATACGCGTTGATGATGGTGTTGTAAGTGTAAGCTTCGGGTTTGATTCCTTTACGAGAGAAGTCTCTGATCAGTTTCTTACTCTTTTCGATTTCACCTCTTCTGCATAATCCTTCGACGACGATTGTCAATGAGTAAACAGTGATCCTCACTCCGGAATCAACCATTCGCCTGAAGAAGTCCAAACAGAGATCAATTTTCCGGCGTTTCTTCGCCGCGACTAGGAAAACAATGCAGGATCTCTCGTCGATACTCAATCCTTTCTCGGCCATGTAATCGAAAACCTTTAGACCCTCTTCAAACATTCCGTTATCCACATAAACCCTAAATACCAAATCGAAAACCGTTTCCGAAAATTCGAGCTTTTCTTCGGAAATGTCGCAATCCGCCATCGTCGATCCTAAAACCTCAACCGGACGTTCGTAAAACCCGTCGGAAGCGACCAAATTCAGGAGAGATCTCATCTCGTGGAATTTCCGATCGGAATACAGACGGTGAGCTAAGGTAACAACCGCCGTGAGGTCGGGTTTGAGACGGGATTCGAATGTGCGAAGAAACTTGAAGAAATCGATGCACGATTGAGTGGGGAGAGTAGGTTCCGATAGAACGAGGCGGGTTACATTTGAATTCAGATTAAAGAGAAGCGATGGATTCGATTGGAGTTTTCCGACGGTGGATTTCTCCAGGTACGCCGTGATTCTTCTGGCGGTTTCTGCGTCTGATATCGAAACCGGAGAAGAGCTCTGCTTCTGAGTTACGACGTTGAAGAGCCGCGAGAGTTTGTTAGAAGACATTTGCTTCTTCCTCCAGAGAAGAAAACTCACGCGGAAGATTCAAACTCTCTCTACTCTTCTCTAATTCTCTTCACTTCCCTAATTAAATTTGTTGTCATTTTTTTTGTCACGCTTCACTTCGCTAATCTAGGTGACGTAGCAATGCCACACAGGCCCGGCCCATAAAACAATCAGGCTAAGTAACAAGATAAATATTTGAAAAGACACATAATTTGTGATATTTAGCCACTCTGTATTTAGATAGGTTCTGATAGCAACAGTGTACTTATAGTTGACCCTTTGATAGTGTGAGTATGACTGAATAGAAGTGACGCAACGAATAGTTCAGAAAAACAAAAATATTAAAAAATTGAATAAACGTGGTTAGTGCAAAATAGATGAAATAAATATTTGAATGATGTTTATAACAGATGAAATTGCTTTTTGTTTGTAATATGCGTATATCAATCAATACGTATACGACTTTGAGTTGGCCTTTTGGGACTAGAATGTCTTGTGCTATAATTGATATCAAGAAAACAACTCTACCTTTTTTTCCATTTTCAACTGCATAATAATTTTGTTGATCAAAGTTGAAATTTGTTATTGGAGATTAAACAAATGAGCATGCGACTGAAACACCAAAAGAAACATGGAAGCAAAATAATTTGGTGACTTCTTCCTTCTTTTTTAAGAGAACCAAATCCCTAGATTATAAGTAAAACACAAGCTAAACTGAAAATATATAGTCGAAGTTTCTTAGACAAAACTCGAATATTTTACAGGATGTGGATTAGACCAGTCAAGAATCATTCTCAGGTGACAACAATAAACCAAATGATTAAACCACAATTTCTAACATCAAGCAATAAAATGATTATTTGATTCCATAATAATTGAGCTTGAATTAACAAATACAACATTTTGTCCACCTTTTATATGTTTACTAATGATCGGCGCCTAATTATCATAGAAACATAAATAAATTTTGTTGACTCTTCTAGAAGATAACTTAACAGAGATTGCTGAGGAGTGATTAACCTCCTAATGTCGTAGAGCACATTCTATAGACTCAGCTACTACACGATCGAGCCTTTTACTGCCATTGAAGTTTGTTATTCTCAAACCAGATGAAAGCTAGGTTTGAATAGTCTTTAAAACGTGGAACTTAAGGTAGCTAACAAAGGACTAAGTATTAACTACTATAGTATATGTTACGGTTACACAAAATGTAGTTTGTTATTAACCATATAAGCCATCATAATTTTGAGATACATATATTTTTCAGGCACACAATTACACACCTATACTTTACTAACATACATAAACATCATATATGATCAAATTCAAATTAACGATCTGAATTGTCAAAATTATGGGAGCTGTGTGCACCCCATTCGAATACTTCTGCCTCAACACTATATTTTATTATATGGGAGTGTGTATACATCAAATATGTGTATGTCTATACATTCATTTTCACATATTTTAAAATCAAATACTGAGAAGGGAAAGAAAAAGATAAAAAAAGGAAACTAATTAGTTATCTGTTTGATGTTTCCGGCGAAGAAAAACCCCTTTATCGCTTGTTATGTAAAGGGTTTGAACCCGATGGAATCTTTCTCTTCTCCGAATTGAATTCTCCGGCACCGATGACATGTGTAGCAGAAGATGGGAGGAAACCTCTGTCTCTTCTGGAAGGTCCAGAGGAAAAGCTTTGTCTTCCAGCAGCATCAATTCTAGGGGCTTTAGAGAAAAGATAAACGAGAGTGAAGAGAAGAACAAAGAGGCAAAGAAGTCGAAACCGAATCATTTTTTTTACAGTATTTGTTTGCTTGTTTACCTTTTTTTCTCTTAATGAAGGAGGAGATAGACCTTTTTACAAGGTAGATGGTTGCGAGTATGAAAATTTAATAGATGCGGAAACGTCCATATGATTATGGTGTTGTATTTGTTGGATTATTTATTCGTGTGCGGACATGGATGGTCCACATTCATAAAGTCTCTTCATTTTTAAGTGATGTTGAATGTAGCCCTGGGCATTTCGGGACGGGAATCCCGTTCCCACCCTTACCCGTTTAAAATTTCCCGAACTTTTCGGGAATGGGAATTTGCAATTTCTCGTTTGGGAACATTTATTTTATTCAAAGGGATAAGGGAAGGGTTCGGGAAGGGTAAGGGATTTCCCGATTTTCCCGTTTAAAAAATAAAAAGTTGAAAATTAGATATTTTTTTCTTAAATATCCCAATTTTTCCCATATTTTCCCAAATTTTCCCATAATTTCCCGTATTTTCTCATACTTTCCCGCATTTTCCCGTAATTTCTCATATTATCTTCAATTTTCCCGATTAATTAAGACTTCGGTTATTATTTTTTTATTCCCAAATTTCCCATTTCCTTCCTATTCCCGTGATTTCCCGTCCCGTTATAATAAGGGAATGCTTCGAGAATCATATTTGGTTTTCCGAATTTCCCATTCCCGTCCCGAACCCGTCAATTCCCGTCCCAAAACCCGTAATGCCTAGGGCTAGTTGAATGTGTGGATTTTATTACAAACTTTTTGGTTATTTTGGTGTGAAGCAGCCATGGGCCTTACTATTGGGCCTTTAACTGTATAATTTTGAGTCGGTACGAAACCCAACCCACAATAAGATTTGTGATAAACCGCCCAAACCTTCGTTCTTCCGTATAAACTAAATCTCCACCGTTCCCAATTTTATTTTAGGATCTTCTCAGCAATCGAAAGAGAGTCTCAGATACAGTGAGAGCGACGAGCGAGAGAGAGAATTTTGGGAGCGTCGTTAAAGGAGATTGAATCGTAAGCTATGGATAGAGAATGGGGTTCGAAGCCTGGGAGCGGAGGCGCCGCCTCCGGCCAGAACGAGGCTATCGATCGCCGCGACCGTCTCCGTCGTCTTGCTCTTGAAACCATCGACCTTGCCAAGGATCCCTATTTCATGCGAAATCATCTTGGAAGGTATGTTTATTCATCCCTGTTTCTATGTATCTCTACTTGTATTATGTTTGATCGCGCGTAGAGACATTATTAGCAGATTCCGTTGTTTGATTGATTCACCGGAGATCTAGAATTCTCCGCTTTCTTGTGCTAATCTGAGTATCATAAAATCCCAATTCGTCGAATATGTGTGCATGATTGTTCCTGAGTTGATCTGATTGGTGTTTCTTCAATTAGGGTTTTTCTTTTTCTCTTTTGCTTTCCCTGATGGCTGATGTGACTGATTAAAATCTTGTTTTTATGTTGTGAAGCTATGAGTGCAAGCTATGTCTAACGCTGCACAACAACGAAGGAAACTACTTGGCGCATACTCAAGGGAAGAGGCATCAGACCAACTTGGCAAAGAGAGCTGCTCGAGAGGCTAAGGAGAATCCTACTCAGCCACAGCCACACAAGCGCAAAGTCTCAGTTCGCAAGACAGGTAACAAAAGTTGATTATGTTTGCCTAGTTATTGGATAAGATAGGAGAATGATTCGTCTAGAAGTTGTTGTTATCTCTTATTGAGTCTTATGTAATTGCAGGATTTGCTTAATATCAGCTTTAAAGGTTTGGTTAAGAATTTCTCCATTGCTTTAATATCAGAGTCTTATGTATGTTTTTGCAGTTAAAATCGGTAGACCAGGGTACCGTGTTACAAAGCAGTATGATCCCGAGACGAAGCAAAGATCTCTCTTGTTCCAGGTAAGCGTATAAATTGTTATTGTTGAGACTTCATATGGCATAATCAGAGACTTATCAAGAGTGAATTCTTAACGCCTTTGTTTTTTTACAGATTGAGTATCCTGAAATAGAGGACAACACAAAGCCCAAGCATCGTGTGATGTCTTCATTTGAGCAGGTCGGTGTTACAAGTCCTTATTCATTCGTTTCATAAGCATTCCTTCTTTTTTTTTTTCCCTTCACCAACCTTTTATTCTGAGTATTTATATCTTCCTTTCTTTTGTTTGTGTGCAGAAAATTGAACCTATTGACAAGGGATATCAGTACCTTCTATTTGCAGCTGAGCCATACGAAGTCATAGCCTTCAAGGTATCTTTCTTATCTTTATTCGTTTCATTTCACAAATTTTGCTTGATTGGTGACAGATTTACATTCATTATGGATTGATTATGGCTCGTTGGCTGATATTGATGGGTCATGTTTTGCATTGGTTTCAGGTTCCTAGCACAGAGATAGACAAATCAACCCCAAAGTTTTTCAATCACTGGGATCCAGACTCAAAGATGTTTACTGTAAGTTCTTCTTCTCATAGATTTGACAAGTTTTTTGCTTTGTTTTGGATGGATCAAATGAATTGACAAAGAAACTTGTGATAAACAGTTGCAGGTATATTTCAAGCCGAACAAGCCAGAACCGACCAAGCCTCAGCCCAATGTTGGAGCCAATGGCCTTCTGCCGCCGCCACCACCACCGCCTCAAGCTCAACCACCACCACCTCCTCCATCTGGTTCACTGCCACCGCCACCACCTCCAATGGCTAATGGGATGAGGCCCATGATTCTAACACCACCACCTCCACCTTTCGGACATCCTAACATGTGAAAGAGAAACTAGCGATGTTAGAATCAAACTATAAGCAGTTTTAAACACAGAACTCGATCATGGTTTTCTTAAGAGAGTGTGCTCTTTGACTGAAAAAAATCAATTCTGTATTGAGATGATTTCTTAAAAGCTGATGTATTAACTCTCTTGATATGTTTTGACTCTGTTTTTTAATGAATTGTTTTCTGTTTTGTGCATTGAAATTACATATCGGTTAAATCATAACCAAATTTTAACCAAATCCTTCAATTTTAATACCCGGACCTTGGATATTTTACTTGTTTCTGGCTAGATGACGGAGTGTTCCACGTCACTTACAAGATAGGAGGGGATAATTACGTAAATATACACAGTCAACAGTGTCACTGAAATTCAAAACAGCAGAGCGGAGGGAAAATCAAAATCCCTAATTCCCAAATTACTTGAATTTCTCGATCCAGATAGCTCCGTTGAACCTAACGGGCGAATTTTAATCGTCCGAACTCCGAACTCTCATTCAGCATTTATTTTTCTCCTCCACACAAGCTTTTTATCTCTCGCCGGGAACTTCTGTCATGGAGGACACTTTTACTCCAAACCCTAAGCAAAGGCCAACTTTGACGACGAATCGAATCCAGGCTCCGACAACTCCTTTTTTCCTGGGATCCAACGATGACAGGCTGGAACGTGAACAAGCTCGTGCTGCTAGAGTCGCCGCTAGCCGTCGTAAGTCTATCGGTTTCGCTCGTGGGCCTCAGCCTGAGAAGGAGTCGGATCCGTGCTTTGACAAACAGCAGATTTTGGAGTTGTTTCAGAACTGTATCAAATTGGCCAGTGAAAACGTAAGTCAATTAATTTCTATCAAATTCGTGGCTAAAGCTTTCTCCTCTTAGAATTTGGTTCTGGGTAATAAGCTTCTGAAGAAACTTTCGCTTTGAAATTTCTTACATTTTTTGGGCATTTATTTTTTGTTACATGTCCCTGGATGTGATGCTGGGGATCAATATGAGTGGGACTACTGGAGATTTTTCATTGTGTTCTGTGGGTTTTGTGTTAAACAGAAAATCAATCAAAAGAATACGTGGGAGTTGAATTTGATCGACCATCTTTGTGAGATAATTAAAGTTGAAGACGAGAACAATGCGGAAACAAATTTTCAGAAGGTAAGCTTCCGATTCCATTCTTCTTTGGCTTTTGTTATAATGCTATGAAGACTTTCGAAATGAACAAAAACAAATTATTAGAAATGACAACAAAGAATTCGTTATCATGTTTAAGTAAATTTCTGTGCTTTTCCATGTCAGGCAAGTTGCACTCTTGAAGCTGGAGTTAAGATTTACTCTATGAGAGTAGACTCAGTTCATTCAGAGGCGTACAAGGTCCTGGGTGGAATTACTCGAGCTGGCCAAGACGACAGTGGAGGTTAGATCTATATCTTACACACGAGAAACTATCTTATATTTAGCACTTGGTTAAATCTCCCAGTGTAAGCTTTTAGTAGAAAACATATCGCTTTGTCCATTTGTTGGAGATGCGTATACTCACCGAGTTTGGTTAGCCAAACTAGTCTAGAGATTCATGAGGTACACAGATGAACATGTTTCGTATTGCTTGAGTTCTATATGACAAATTTAAATTCACTGAAGAACGAATAAGAAACGGGAAATTTGGAGAACCACAATTTATGACTATGCAATATGCATACAATTTCTAATTTTCATTATCTTATTCTATGTTCTTTACTGGTGTTTCTTCATGAACCTAGATAACGAGGATGTTGCTGGTTCTGTAGAAAATGCAACTAACCAAAAGAAACAGGCAGAGAAAAAGGTAGTTCATACAGAAATCTCAATTCTGGATATAGTAGATGAAACTGCTTACTGATGAGTTTCAAATTTGCAGCTGTCACCTTTATCAACACTGGAACCATCCTTTGATTCCCTTAACGTGAAGAAGTTCGATGGTAATTGCTTAAGTTAACTTAACTCTCTTTGTTCGTTTGTGAAAAGTAAGTTCTGCACGATAATGTTTCGTATTCTTGTTTTTTACAGTGGCCTTTGCAGTGGATCCCCTTTATCATCAGACTTCAGCACAGTTTGATGAAGGTGGAGCAAAGGGTCTGCTGCTAAACAATTTAGGAGTTTATGGATGGTGTCAAGTTCTGTTTGATTCTCAAGAAATCCCTGGGAAGCTTGTTTCGTCTGCAAATCAGCATGATAAATCAGAAACAATTGATCTATCATTTGCTAAAGGTCTGGCTTTATTGGCTGATATGCCTTGCTGTACCTTTGCACAGATTTTGTTGCTTTAATCTTTCGCTGATGCTGTGGTTGAATTTGTAGAATGTCTGGAGCAAATGGTGCTAAACATGCGAAAGAAGGATGAGATTGTACCATCTCTTCGGACGATAATCAATCAATTTGATGAAGAGAATCAAAGACCATCTGATACGTTTTCTTGTGGCCAGAAGACAACCGAGTCATTTGATATATCACATAGTAATGAAGATGGCAATGTCGACGATGATGATGGATATGAGAACTTTGGAACTTCTTTTGATTATGATGGTCAACCTGGTGCTGCTGATGAAAACTTTGGCCCCAATGATGCAGAACCAGTATATTCAAACTTTCACGAGGTTCTTACCATCATCACTCTTCTTATGTTCACTTGTTGCGAAAACCTGATGCTGACGTTTTCACTTTGCAGGAAGTTGAACCAGATTCACTGCAAGACCTTGATTCGGAAGACAGATTTGAGAATGTTGATGACTATCTCATTTTGTCGTTGGGAATTTCATCTAAGCAGAATTCTTGGGCAGGTCCTGATCACTGGAAGTATCGAAAGACAAAAGGTATGCTCTTACATCTCCAGTTTCAAGCAATAGAATAAGTCCTCTTGGTTATCTAGTTTCTCTGAGCGTTTACTATTCTCTGGACTATTTTTGCAGCTCCAGATGATCTCCCTGCATCAGGAAACGGATCTTCTCCACCAGCAAAGAAAACCAGGAAAAAGAAGCAAGCAGAGCCTGAACTAGATTTCACAAAAGCTTTGGAGGAAGAAATGCCTGATATTTTTGCCCCTCCTAAAAACCCAAAGTCTCTACTTCTCCCAGCAAATAGAGCCCCATGTCAAACAAAGCTTCCAGAGGATTGCCATTACCAACCTGAGAATCTAGTAAAGCTGTTTCTACTGCCGAATGTGATGGTATGGCTTGCCATTAGTTTTTTTTCCTTTTAATCGTTTCTTTCTCCATTATGTGTCATCTATTCTGATATAACTCTTCTGAACGGTAACAGTGCATCGGGAGGAGAAGAAGAAAATGCTCAGGTAACAATTCCAGTCATTAAGATTAATCATCACTGTTGGTGTTCTTGGCGGTTTATGCGGCACATACCAGCGTCTTTGTTTTCTTTACCGATAAACTTTCCTTTACAAAGAAAATGGTTTAATTTACTGTCAGTGAATAATGTTTTGTGATTCTGAGATACTTGCTTTGATATGTGAATATTCTAGGTGAAACAAGGCAGCAGTATGATGATGGTGAACATGCGGAATCTTGGGAAAATGATAATGTCTATGATGATGGCCCGTTTGATAATGGAAATGATCACAGTGATGCAGAGGATACCAACTCGTTAATCTCTCAGCCACGCCAGGTATGAATAATCTTGATCTGCATATGACTATGGCGTTAAACATGTTATTTCAAATGGTAATAGCAATGGTCAGCAATGATACATCATTGTAACTGTCTTCTGCAATTCATGCTTTAGGTCAACAAAATTGAGGTCCAATACGACAAAGCATCAAAGCAAGTTGATGTGCAAGTGCTAAAGGAAACTCTTTGGGAGTGTCTTCAGGAATCTCCTCAACCTCCAATTCAGGTTAAACTAATATAATAAACTGTAATAAATCTTCTTCCTTTTCTACCCATTACTGTAGTGAAATTGACAGAGAATCTGATTGTGGCAGGACGAGGAACACCAACAAGAACCACTTGAAAGCAGATCGTTCAAAGAGCTATTGGCTAGCTTTCCAGATGACTGCCAAGCGGCTGGGTCAACCCAAGACATCTCACCACATCTATGTTTCATCTGCTTGCTGCATCTGGCGAACGAGCACAACCTCAGCCTCGTTGGCTCTCAAGACTTGGAAGATCTAACAATACACCTTGCCTGAAAGAAGAGTGAAGAGAAGCCAAGTATTTCTATTGCTATTACGCCTACTAAGTTTTATGTTGTAGATCAATATATTGAATCGATTATGTGATAACTTTGTTCAAAATCCATTAATCCTTTGTTGTTTTGGTACAAATGTTTCATTCCATAACTACAAGACAATAGTACGAATCACGTGAGACTCTCTTTCGTGTGATAAGAAAACAAAAACCTGGGTGTGTGTGTGTCTCTTTAAGAAACCTGAACACTGCTTTTGGATTTAACATTCGACTTGGTGGCTCCATCTTTCCAGCCTTTTTGACGAGCTCTCATTTCCCACGTAGAAGTGAGCTTCTTCTGCTCCACAAGAGCGTTTTCCGCTTTCTCTCTTGCTTCTTCACAAGTCTCCATGCCAGAGTTGCACTTATCTGCCTCCTTCAGGTAAGACGATGTTATCTTCTTGGCCTCTAGAAGACCAGTGTCTACTCTTTTGTGTTTCTCCATCGATTCTGCTTCACGTTGCTTCAGTTCTTCTGTTAAGAGTTCGGCGTAGTTCTTCTCTGTGTCTTCGTTCACCTCTGGATCATGCTTTGCACAATCTGCTCATCAAAAGACAAACATGTTCTAATTAGCCTCATTTCCTAGTCAAGAATATTCTTCCGACGCAGGAACCATCTAATCTTAAGAAGGATTACAGAAAACTCACCAGCAAAAGATCCATTGCTGAGTCCTGCAGAAATATAAAACAAATAAAAAGGATTAGGCTTTTGTTTCTGTACAATCCATAGACAGAATCTGAATGGCATATCCAGGGAAGTAGACATTGTAAACTGAGAACTCTATAAATAGTAAACAAGCAATGATCACAAGTCATTGTGAACAACATATCTCAACCTCCATCAGTTCATTGGAGTGAATCATATAAACCGAATCTCACACACTAATATTCCGATATCACGAACGCAACAAGTAAACCAGATGCTCAGCCACATGACAAGTAAGACCTTAAAGACTCAAACTTGGTAATTACTTTGTTTCAACTTCAAATCTCTATGATCCAAGCTATAGCCTTTAAGATCATACACTGACCACTGATTACATATCAAAACCAAATCTCATGAGACGCAATCCCTATAGATCTACACAGCTTAAAATAGTCTATCTGCATAGAGATTCAAATTCAATCCTTAAATCAAGCTGAAAACAACTACTGCAATCCCAATTTCCAAATTGTTAACAATACAATATATATGAAGAGTACAAAGATTCCACCTTTTTCTCAAAGAAAAGCAATAAACTTTACAGCCGATCTAGCAAGATCCAATCAAGGGCAACACACACAAAAAAAAACAAAAAAATGTGATTTTTTTACCTCTGGGGATGGCGAGAAGAGGCAGAGAAGAGCAGTCGCAGACGCAAGGAGAGCAAGAAGTGGCGGAAGCAGCCAAGGCTTCGGTGAGGTGCCAGTAGAGCGGTGGACCAAGTATGTAACCAATCAAGCTAAGCGCTAACAAAGCCAGTCCTACTTTCATCGCCGCCGTGTGCTTCGCCATAACGAGATCCGGAGCGATGCGGGTTTTCACTAAAGATTCGAAATTTGAGCTTGGATCTGCTCGAATTTAGCTGTTCTAGTGTGGGGAGAATTGAAATGGACTTTCAGACTCTTAATTGACTATTATTGCACTTGAAATTATTTGTCGGTGGTGTTTAAATACCAAATGAGACTCATTCTGCGTCTACACTATACATTGTGGCTAAAGTCAAAACCACAACTTCAGTGACAGTAATATCAGAAAGTTTTAATACAAGACTCATTTTTGTTGTTCCTGCACATGAAGATCATGATAATAATAGTAATAATGAAAACGATAAATAATTGTATCAATCATCAAATAATTGTATCAATCAGCAAATAGCAAATAAACCAAATCCTTCTCCCTCTGGAGAACAAATAAAACTAAACAAAAGTACTTGAAAAAGGGAAATGAAAAGAGGATAGAAATCGCTCGCCTTGAAACGTATTTCCAAAACAAAGAACAAAAAGCTTCCATAGTTTTTTTATTATTAAGGGCTGACATACTCCTTATCACTTGGCGTTACACGTAGTAAACCTGGTCTGTGGGTTGTGTTTACTTGTGTTTTTACCATCTCGTCTCTTGTTTCTGCTAATTCATTGCTCTGAGTTGCAGATTCTGAAACAGCAGGTTCACATAGCCATCAGCAACTGGGTCATTCTGCACACACAAAAAAAACAGACAAAACACTCAGAATCTTGACGACTATTCTTGTATTAATCAAAACCATATACAAGACTCAACAATTGATGAAATATTTGCAATCTTACAGCACGTAAACCAGCAAAGGTCCTGTTGAACAGCATGATAGGCATGTAACACCTTAATCCGTCACGAGCCCTAATGCATATTAGAACGTTTAAGATGTTGTTTTCCTTTTACAAAACTTAACCATTTACACTAATAATAAAAAAGAAAAAAATCGAAAAGACTATCATAATATGTAAAGCAGAAAAAAACCTGGATTTTTGGGAGAGTTTGGCGTAGCAAGAAACAACAAGACGGAATATCTGGGTACAAGTTTCATCCACTATCATGGTTGGAATATAAGCAAGCAGCTTCTTAAGGAGATTGTCTATGACGAAAAACCGATCAGCCAAGACGCAGCAGTATTGAAGCCCCTCTGAGGTCCGCAGCATACTTTCAATTATGCTTACAGCATGCTGAACAAGTAATTAGTGAGAGTTGGATTTAGATAGAAGTCAAGAGATTTGTAAGTATGCGTAGAGTTTTTTTGAATTTGTAGAAAGTATTTTCTAAATCTGCATAGAGTTTTGTGCATTTGAAAATGAAAAATCAAGGAACCCAATTAGATTCAGATATAACAAAGTTTAAGAACATAATATCTTGAAAGTTATGTTTTATGATTTAAATTGTTAAAAAATATATATCCCAGTAACTGTAGATTCTAATAGAAGTAGAGAATCGCTAAAATTAAAACATTTTGAATAACAATAGATTTCTAATAGAGTTTATTTTTTTTAAAACCAATAACAATGAAATAATCAAGAACGATAGAATCCATAATCGAATATGGGATGACATTCTATTAAAATCTATAAACCAATAACATTATAGCAATAGCAATGGAATAAAAAAATTCTGACGAGTTCAAAATTGCTTTCTTTCTTCTCTAATTTATTATAGTTCAAAATGAGTAGAAGCGGGGACGAAGGAAACTTACAAGTTTTGATTGTGAACAACCAAACTCAACACCTTTAGCGCAATAATGTAAAACACCTGTGTCCATAGCGAAACGAACAGCAGCTCCGTCTATAGGCTGTAGGGAAAGTAAAATTTTCTAACTTCAATGTAGATGAATAGATTGAAAACCTCTTGTGACAAAGAGATATTGTTGTTAAAAAAATAAAATAAAGTATGCTTTAGACTATTTATATGTACCTCGTTCAACAGATGATCAATGACACCCAATGCACCAAGCCTTAGGCATTCAAAATGCGCAGCCATGTTACCAATATCCATCAAAGGAAATATATAGTGTGCAATATTAGCTACAAAAACCAATATAAGATATGAAATTTCGAACACAATGTATTGCATGTACTCCTTTTGTTCCATAATATAAGATGTTTAGAATTTTTTTATTTTATTTTATTTTTTCATTTAATAAGATGTTTTACAAGTTTCTATGAAGATTTTAATGTCATTTGATACTTCTAAACTTTTTGAATTCGTAAGTCTTTTTCACGGTTCGCTGAATTGTGTTTTTAACTAATGATTCAATGTGTTATATTTCGAAAGTAATTTTTTAACCCTCACGCTTTTATCTAAATTTATATTTTAGGACATAGCGAGTATGATACAAAACCCTAAACCCCGAGATAGCAAATAGAAAAAGAAATGATTCTGTTGCAATGAAAGATAATATTTACCCTTGAGAAACTTCTCTTTTGTCTGTGGGTTACCAGCTATGCACTGTTACAGGAAGAAAAGAGAAAAAATGATAATATTACAGTGCCAATTAAGGCTTAAGCCGTTATCAAAGAAATGGTTCTATAAAAAGGGAAGAAGAATAGTTTTGGACCAAACAAAAACCTGGAACAGAAGCAAGATGTTGCACACTCGATGTGGTATCCCCTGCTGAGATGAAGGTCGACGTAATATGTATGGGTAGATACTCACGAGCTCCTGAAGATATTGAATAAAATTCATAGTGACTAGTGAGTATCTTAAAGAGCGAGAGAAAACGAAATTTACAACAAAAGATGGTAAGGTCTAGAAAAATGTAGTCAATATAATAGGTATTAGTAATCTGCGAAAATCAAAAGTAGTATGTATTGAACCTCTAACATAATGAACACTGTTTGACAGTAATCCCATAAATGACCCGAAATTTCCGGAACCTTGATCCTATTCTGCCACATGAGAAAAAGATAGACAGAGGTAACATAAGTTTCTAACATTTCAAGAATGTTATAAGTAGACTCACCTGCTAATGTATTTAGTTTGAGACATTCCAATATTATAAATTAAATTTTAGAGTAATATAATTCTCACCTATGATGCATAAGCGAATCATATATATGAAAAGAAGCCAACTCTCTCCAAAAATGTGACATATAGAAACTTCTATGATTGATATGTGAAATGACTTTTCATTTTTTTTTTTTTTTTTTTTTTTTTTGAACAACTTCTCATTAGAATAAATCTTAAATTGTGATTACATAAGTAGAAAGCTGAGAACTCCTTGCCAAGGAGCATAAGCAGCTTAATGCAGAAACAAGATACAACGCAATTAAAGGATAGGTTAGACAGTTTAAATCCAAGATAAAAACTGGAAGCTTCTTCAAAAGGGCTTATATGATCGTTTTGAAAACAATCTCAAGTTCTTTTGCTAATAAAGCAAACGAACAAGACGAATAGCTCGTGGCGCCGTCAAGGCTGTTGAGCGTTTAGAGTCGATCTCCATAGAGGAGAGAGGCAGAGGCGAGTTCGGAGATACCCAGGTAAGTTGGCGTGAATCTGGTAAGTCCGAGGCTGATGAAAAACCGGCATAAGATCCAGAAGATTTGACGATGAATGATCTTGTAACATGTTGACATGTCTATTGGTAGAAGGCTTCGGTGTATGAATTCAGAATGTTGAAAGATCTTTGGCCAGAAGCGCAACTCTGTCGAACAGAAACAGCAACAGTGATGGCTAGTCTTATTGGGTTCCCAAAGCCCAAAAGCATAAATGATCTTGTACGGCCCATCACAGACAGAGAGGAGGGAGGTGGATGGTCGACGGAGATTCTCCGGACATGAGAACAGAGGCGGTAGAGGAAAAGTGGTGTTGTAGACAGCGGCCAGTGAGACATGAATGCCGGCGAACCGCGGTGTTGGATCTTGGATGTCGGTCTGGCCGAAAGAGAAGAAACGGTTCTTCGTATTGTCACTGGAAAGCCCGAAATGGTCGAGGCAGTCGGAGGAGGATTGTCGCCGGAGAAGTGAGATTTGAAACAACCATGGCAGCCGGCTACCTCTAACTCCGTGCCTGAGAAAACTAGTACTAACACTATCGACTTGTGCTTAGGATAGGGCAGAGGAAGAACGCACAAACTAGTCGGAGGCGGAGGCGGAGGCGGAGGATGACTAAGAGCGTGAAGGTGAGCAAGAGAAGAAACAAACAGAAGAAACGGCCAGAGATCCGGTGGATCTGGCGGTTTTGGCGGAGGATTCGGCCTAGCCGGGGAAGACTCACTCGAATGTGAGAGAAGCTCGGCTTGCACCCAGGCCGCTCCGGACTGAGGGAAGAGCAAGACCAGAGCTCCGTCCTCAAAAGCTCACCGGATCTCTTCCACACAGACATCGGAGACGAAGAGCAGCCAAAAACCAGAACACACATCAGAGATCTCATCAGAAAGTAACAAAGCTTCATCAGACACCAAAAGGAGTCCGGGAAAAAGATGATGGAGCTCCGATTCAGGGAGAGAATCGGCGGTGATCCATCCCGGAATCGGAGCTAAACGGCGGCAGAAAAAAGATGTCTCGAAAAACGTGTCTGGGAGAGAAGGAATTTCATTTTACTTTTCAATTAACAAATTTAAGTCTTATTTAATTTATTGTAATTAAAATCACATTATTATTTTTAAACTATCATGCTTCAGCTTCCATCTTTAATACTAATAAATATCTAAAATTCTCTTAATGTATGGAGAAAATGATCCAACGAAGATCGATGAAGGGGAAGCAAAGTCCGTTCCATATGATAGTGAATAAACAAAAAAAACTATGACATTGAGACATGTGGTATAATGCAAAAATATACATTTGAAAAGAGCACTAATCATGGGGAATCAAAATGCATGTGTTATTTGGGTAAGAGTTATAATATTAATAAAAAAATCTATAGTTTTTTCCAATAGTATTTAAAAAAATTAACAACAGAAAAACCCGCGCGTATGCACAGGCATTAGTCTAGTAAATTCTAAACAAGAACGGTCTAGAAACATGATAAGATCAAAACAAGCTAATTTCGGAATTTTGGTTTTGCCAAATTATGAAATATGGATTTCCTTATGTGCTAGTCTTACCAAGATATATTTCTATACTTGCATAGGGTCACAAATATGACTGGCTATTGTTTATGGCTACCGCGAATTTAGAAAAAAATTGTAAGGAAATGAATTGAGTACAATGTCAATAGCAAATCAAAAATTATAACTAGATTGCTCACCACACACATTTTATCCGATATGAGAAGGAAACATACACAAAATCAAAAAATAATCAGAAGAACAAGACCTCGTAGAACACATCATGTGAAATAGAGGACAAGACAGATTTTGAGATCACCTAGCTAAACCGATAAAACTGCGAAAGTCGATCCAATAATATAATGTCGATAATCGTCAAATGGACACAAAATAATAGGACTAACAAATGAATGTTTCTGATGATGAGAGAAATCAAGAGGTCTCCTAAACTTAATATCGCGAAAACCAATCCAACAAAATGATGCTGCTAATCGACAAACAAAAGAGAAATAGCAATTGAATGGTTCTTATGATGAGAAAGATTGCGAGATCTCCTGAACCTAAAAATCTTTAAAACCGATCCAACAATATATTGCCAATAATTTTCAAAACCTGATCTAATGATATAATACGGATAATCGTCAAATATATATAAGCAAAGGTCGAATAGCAGTTGAATATTTCTCAAGATGAGAAAATCTCGAGATTTCCTAAACCTAAAAGTTGCGAAAACCGATCCAACAAGGTAAGGACAATAATCATCAAATGGATACAAACAAAATAGAGAATGACAATTGAGTGTTTCTTATAGGCTGCAAGGTATTTTGATGACCTCAAAAGGACATGTAGAAATTGATTTACAAACAAGGAGACAACTCAAGCAACCAAATCTATGAGGGATACCAACAGATCATTGCCTTTAAGGTGAAACTAAGAGGTAAAGATTAGTGATAAATTGGTCAATCTAGGCAGCAAGAAACATATGCAATCTCAAGATCTACCACAATCGGAAACAAACAATCCTTTCTCAAAAACTAGATTAGTTCATCAGATTCACACATAAAAGAAAAAAAGCCGAAAGTATGTTTAATTAAACACAATTAAACATAGAGATTACATATAAATTAAACAAGCTAAAATCATTTAAAAAAATATGTAGAGAGAGGATAGAATTGTATTTGCGCTTACACTGACGAGTTTCTCTAACGCCCAGTCAGAAAGAACTATGTCTTGGCTATGAAGAAATTTGATCCATCTTATAATCGTCTCAGGAGGTATCACGCTGGCCGGAACAAAATTTGAAGCAGAGGAGCCAGCCGAGTTACTGAAGTCCTCATACACATTATCTGGTAAATTCAACATTTTCTCCCAGCGTGAGAGAAAGTTCTCTTAATGCAATTTATATTTTATCTCTTAGTTTTGTGGTGATGAGTGGGGGAGCGAGTTATATAAAGGCTAAGCTGCTGCATGGATACCTTCTAAACAGTAATTGACAAAACTACCATGTGTAGACTTTTTGTCAAGTAAAAAAATATATAAGTAAATAATTAATGCCAAAGTGAAAAATTAATAATACTTCCAAGGAAAGTCTAATGAAAAGAAAATTTATATGTTGTTTTGTTCTGCTGGATTTGGATTTAAGGAAACGGAAATCTTAATATGCATTTTGACCAAACAAAAACAATAAATCATGTCCATAAGACACTTGTAAGGAGGTATATTGAGAAAGATATTACAGTGAACTAAAAATTCTCAATATATTCATAGTTTGACAATTTTTGACCCGATTTAATTATATAGTGTCTTTATGTGTAATTTATTTATGTTTTAGTAAATCAGGTTTTTTTTATATATTATGATTGCAGAATATACACTATTATTAGACTATTTTTATTTCTATTACAAATCAAAATTTTGTTAGAATTTTTTTTTATCATATGAAAAATGTGAAATCGGTTCTTTAATAAATATAAGTACTAAATTATTTTTGACAAATGGTTAAATTTTTTATCAATAAAACCCAATATGCGGGGATGTCAAAAAATAATCCAATATGCGACATATTCAAGTTAAAAAAAAAACTTGATTAGTTTATTTTTTTTAACAATAGTTACATACTGATAAACTAGAAATAGTCATTTTCTCTACTGCAAATTATCAGTGATGAAGATTGTAATATAAAGGATTCGAAATCCAGAGGACCAGCGTTACACTGTGAAACTAGGAGATTTAAAACAGAGCTAAGACAAAGATTGATTGGTTTTAGTAACAGGTAACGAATGTAAACGATGATGTAATTCAATTAAACAGGGACTAGACCAAGGCAATTCGCAGGGATTCACAGTTAACAACCGAACAACTATTCAGGGCACAGATGATGAACAGGTCTCGAACTCAAACATGAAAATATGTCAATTCACTTTCGCGATAATGATAACTTTATCTAACAACCTAGATGTCTAAACTGTCGTTTGAATCTAGCAGTTGATGACAAGCAATAAACTCAGGTTCGATAAGTTCACGAATCGCCTCAGCATCAACTTTCGCAGGCTAAGGACGATTCGCTCACCACAGTTCGTTCTAACAACCTATAACACTTTTGATGAACAGGTAATCTGAGATCAGAGATCGAATGATCAGATCGATCTAAGCAGTAAGTGCAACAATGGCGAAGACAGTATTAAAGCCCTATCTGTATTCAGTCAATTTAACACATGAATCCCTTTGAAAAGCCTAGATCTAGCAGGGTGACTACTCAGACATAACGAAACAGCAAACAATACTGAAACTGAATGTCATTGAATCAAATAGAAAATAGAAAAACAAGGGTTCAGAAATCTTCTCCAAACTGTGAATAACAAGGTTTGATCTCTTCTCCCTCGAAACAATGAACAACAGTGTAAAAACTCTGAAAAACGGCGTACAATGGCTAAAGATAGGTCTAAATAGCTCCGGGGTCGACTTCGGTTCAATCCGGTTCGCTGTGGTTCGATCAAGTCGGTTTGCACCAAGTAGATCGAACGGCTGTGATATCATCTGACCGGGATTGATCGAACGGCTGAGACAGAACGGGATCGATCGAGCTTCGTCGCTCTGCATGGGATCGATCGAGCTACTCCCTTTGCATGGGATCGATCGAGTGGGTAGCACAGGAGGCGAGTCGATCGAGTGGGTGATCATGTGATGAGTCGATCGATCTGTGGGACTCGATCGAGCTCCTTTGGGCTCCGTTTTGCCTGCTTTCTCCTCCTGTTGGTCCATGTGACCAAAGCTCTCCCTGGAACGTCTTTAGACCTGAAAAGACTCGATAAAGACTAGAAAGACTCGATAAAACTCGTGAAAACAAGTGTTAGAATGCGTCAAATACGCAAGATATCACATACTTATGTAGTGTATGTATGCATATATAAAGTACACACTGCTAAAAGTTTATTTTTAATATACTAATTTGCTATTAAACCGTTTTTTGTCAGATAAGGTATTAACTATAAAATGTTATATACAAATATTTGTCTTTATATAAACTTAGAAAAAGAGAAACAATTATCAGAGTTGGTATATCAAAATAAAATAACTACTTAAAATATATATTTTTTATATACAGTTTTGGTTGATTAATAAATAAATAAAAAACTAAATACTAGTTATGATGATAGCTCTAAGAAAACACTATTTTAAAGATAAACATAAATCTATACTTTTTAAATATAAATATAAATCTATACTAATCAGTTGACCCAAAAAAGTCAATGTGAAGACATTATTATACTATCTGATACCATTGATTATATTTGTTTTGTAAAAATAAATCATAATAGAAACTTGGAGCAGTTTGATGGCAGAACATGTAACGTGTATAAAATTAACGTACTGTATAATGTTATTGAGTATTTTTACCATTGACCATTCAGTCGATAACATGTTTGCAACAACAATGCTGTGTCGGGGGCGGACGCAAAGTTAGAGGGACTATGGCACGTGTCCAGAGGCCCTTTTCAGTACTCCCTCTATTTTTTAATAAGTGTCATTTCAAAAAGAAAAATATTGTTTACAAACGTTTTCCAAAAAAAAAAAATATATATATATATATATATATATATATTGATGTCATTTTGTTATTTTAACTGTTTAAATTTTGCAGATTTGATTTTTTATTGGTTGAATTGTATTGAAATTGATAAAACATATTTTGCTTTGAGAAAAACTAAAAGGTTAATAATTTCTTAATCTATGTAAAACTCTTTAACAAAAAAAATTTCTTAATCTATGTATACAAGATTAAAAGAACACTTATTGGAAAACAGAGGAAGTATTAGTCTATTAGACCAGAGCAGCTAAATCATACGAGAAGTTTTGCTGGTTAATATGTGTATACTGAAAGAGTTGTTAACCGGGTTTAAATACACTTGAATTCGACTTAAGGATTAAGTTGGGCTCAAAATCAAGCATTGGGTTGAAAACACGTAACGAGACATGGTTTTTACCAATGAACATTCAATTGTTAAACTAAATTTGTTTTTTTTATACTTCTTTCAATTTAACCTTTTAATCGTTTGCTAAAAAAATAACATTTTATTGTTAAGGACAATATTTCATCAATAAAAAATTTTATTGATAAAAGATAGAAACGGGTTTTCTTTGGTGTTACACACAAGTCACACAAACCAGATTCATGTTCTTGTGTCACGATTACTACCATACCTTGCTTGAGGGAATCAGTCTATACCATACAAAAAGGTTTATCATTCCTTTAATTAAGACAATGTCATTATCAATTATCGTAGTTGTTTAACAAACCCATATCGCTTAAAACTGCTTAAAGGGCAGAATTAGAAATAGTAGACACTGGGATACCATATTTTCCTTCTCGAAATAAACCTTTTAGAAATGGACGGAACAACATAACCACCAAAATACATCCACAAGCCTCTGCCAAACCCGAACCATCTTCTCCGCGACTAAAACTCTACCTTTTTAGACCCACTAAGGCGACTAAATTCACCAACAAAATATAAATATATGTACGGGGCAAGAACAAAGGCGAACCAGCGGATTTTGTATTTTCTTGAATCTTGGTTTACGTGTTTAGCCTCTGAGTTAACCTCATGCATAGTCTTTTTGGTGTGTAAGAAAATGGTTTCCGATATTCCAAGTGGCTTTTATCCTCCAAATTGATTGGCAGAAGTACCATAATTTTACTAAAAAGCCAAATCTCATAAACTCCAAGAGAGTGTAAGGACAATGCATCCCACAAGTGTGACGAGAGAGAGAGAGGCCCATGGCACGCATATATACGGTAATGATCGGGACGTTTACATCAATATTTCTTCAAAAACGTAGAAGTATAACATTAACTTACATAGTTACATTGGCAAGGCTAATTTAACCTACTACACAAAGGGTTTATACTTTATACCAATGTAAAATTCCCTTTTTTTTTTGGCCAAACCGAAAAATATTTTCTGAATAGAACTAACTAAAGGTTTTTTTGGATTATAACTTGGGAGTACTTGATGTTTATCAGAATAGCTTTCTTGTGTAATTCACAACTAGACATTGTTTCGCATTGGTTTACTGTGGAAAACATTTTGTACACAAAAAATTATATAGATGATAATAATAATAATCAAGAAAATTATTGCATAAATAGCATTATTAACTGAGGCAATGGTTGTCAAAAACAAAAACAAAAACTGAGACATGGTAATCTTATTTTAGTTTCGTAACAAACCCCATATCTCTATACTACTTTCTCACAGAGAATACAACAAATAAAACTGCTAGAAAAGCAGCTTTAGAAAGAGTAGACAATGGGATACCATATTTTCCCTTTTCAAACAAACCCATAAGAAATGGAAGGAACAACATAACCACCAAAACACATACACAAGCCTCTGCCAAGCCCGAACCACCTTCAATGTGACTAGGACTCAACCATTTTAAGCTCACCAAGAAACTTGCTAGAGCGGCTAGATTCACCAATATAATAAATGTGCCTGGCATAAAATAAGGCGAGCTGTCGAACTCGAATTTACCTGAGTCAGAGTCTGGACCACCAGTATCTTCTTCTCCTTGAGATGATCCTGACTCAGATCTTGACATAGTAGAGGGCATTGTCTTTTTAGTGACTATGAACACAGTTTTTGAGATTCCTAGAAGCTTGAGTGCGACATCAAGGATGCTAAATAACCAACAACAAGTGGCTTTTATCCTCCAAAATGATTGAGAGCCATACCACGATGTCACGGAAAAACCAAGGCTCGTAAATTCCCATAGAGTGTAAAGACAGTGCATCCCTACAAGTGTCACGACTATGACTAAAAGAGGTCCCTAAATCAACAAAGAAAAATATAAAAAACTTTACTTTTTAAATTAAAGAGTATGAAAATAAATGGAAGCATACTAATAAAGAAGCCGTGATATGAATTAAGAGAGACAGAGATATCGATACCTTGGGAAATAAGGTAGAGTCGTGAAGTAGACAGTAAGCAGGCAAGAGACAGTAAAAGAGCTCAGGGATTGATCTTAGAGCAAATGACTCAAGGTAAAGATAAGCCAATCGTTGTCGAAATCTTATTTTATGGTGAAAGATTCCGATCAAAGGACTTTGTTTATTGAAAATGATTTCGAGCATGCCTGTCCCCCATCGCCGTTGCTGAAGCATCGCATCTGGTCCTGTTGGCGGAATACATCCAAGAAATGCCGGTGGATCCGGAGTAATATATGAGCTAGTCCATCCCCTCGAATGGATTCCAAAACTCGTGTTTACGTCTTCCGCAGTTGAACCGTACAACCAACCGATCTATACATAGATACGTAACAACAATGCATTATTATTCTGTCTAGTTTAATGTAAGAAACTAAGAATCGTATACATTGAATCATTGATACTCTTCCGTACGATGTGACATAAAACAAATAACTTTTGAAATGATGTTATGTTTCATATTTTTAATATTTTGAAATTTCTTTTAAAAACAAGACATTAGTGATTTTTTTTTAAAGCAATCTTTATTATATTATTAATTGAGAAGTACATTCTAATGTTTGGATACAAGAATTAGAGAAACATCTATTTGGATAGAAGAATAAATGGAAACAAAAGTTGTTTGGATATAAGAATAAGAGAAAAATCTATTTGGATAGAAGAATAAATGGAAAAAATTGTTTGGATACAAGAATAATAACTTAAAATAAACCGATGGTTTAGAAAACTTCCGTTTTCCATCTCTTAAAAATCTGCAAAAAAGAAAACTTAACATAATCTAACGATAATTCCAAATCAATAGAATATGCTTTTTGGATTTTCGGGTTTTTATAGACAAGTTCGGGTTTGGGTGAAAATCTGAGACATAATTTTATAGAGATATATATAGAGATATAGAAATTGTTCGGGTTTCTTTGAAAATTTCTGTTCGGGTTAGGTTTAGGGTTTTCCGGATTTTTTAGATTTCTGGTTTTCGGGTTTAGATATATTAAAAAAATTGAGTATTTTAAAATTTTGATTAGGTATTGGGGTCGGGTTCCGGGTGAAAAAGTTTCCAGATTTTTTTTGTTCAGTCAGGGTTTTCGGGATTTTTTTGATTTCGGATTTTCATGTTTAGACCTATTAAAAAAGTTTGGGTTTTTAAATTTTTTGATTAGGGTTTTTTGTCGGGTTCGGATTTAGGGTTTAAATTTTCTACACAAAACAACAACGTCACACCGCACAAACGTGCGGGTACTCTACTAGTACTTATGTTAAAACAGAAATTGTTTCCAAAACAATATTTATATAAAAATTATAAAATAAGAATTCAAGTCAGAAGAAAATTACAGTTTTGCCCCAGCTCGTTTGGTGCTCGTACTGACACTGTCCTACTTCTTTGGCCGTTTCCAGGGACTTTGTAAGGCTATTTTGGATATTTGCTTTTCTTTGTAATGCATCGACCACCGATTCCGCCATCTCCTTAGAATTCTCAAATTCTCTTTCTAAACTTTCCTCATCACCCACAAACTTCCCTATGAAATAACAAGAACCGTGAATGATTTGATTTATAAATAATAGAATATCGTGATGAATATCGACAATTAAAACTTTGTATGCATGTTAGAATCATAAAATACTTTTAAAAATTTGGTTTTGTATATGCATGAATCTTTGGTTTTTGTATAACAAGCTAAGCATGAAACTTTATTCAAATAATGTTTTGAAGAAGTAAAGTAATGTGATATACCAACAATGTCGTATGATTTTGGCAGAGCCGTGCTTATGCACAATAAAAAAGTGCATTTGCACTGAGCCCCTAAAATATATAATTTATAGAGGCCCCCACTTTTTTTGTGTGGTAAAAATGTTAAGATTTTATACATTTTTCAAGTTTTATATGTTGCAAAGCCCCAAATTTATTAAAATTTATTGTATCATAGTAGTTTTGGAATGTCAATATAAAGTCTCTAACCCGAGTTCAAGGTATAATTATATCCTTTTCTGTTTGTTTTTTTTCGTTTGTGTCCTTTCATAACATTTAATAAAAAAAAAGTTATATTAAAAAGGCTCCCATTTTTAAATTTGCCATGAGCCCCGATTAACCTTCTCACGGCACTGGATTTTGGCTACTTACTTGTACCAACTGAAGAAAGACTTCCATCGTCTTCTAAATCGTCTAGAGAAAGACCATATATCACTCTTCTAGTGTGGAAACATCCTGACCCTGCATAAATCGGTCCTTGGATTCCCGCAATTCCTCCTCCCAAATACTAGATTTTCAAAAGTAAATAAAAAGTTCTTTAAAGGTATAAAGTATTAAACTCTCTTCTTTTCAATTCAAAAAAAATAAAAAACATTTTCTAGATCAATATTATAAGTAAACTAATAAAAAGTTAGGATGAGAAACCGCACTAATTGTAAAACGGTGAGTTCACCGGCGTTGGCATCATAGAAAGCTTGAGGGTATTGAACAAAAGCACAATGGTTTGAAGTCGTCGATTTTTGCAGAAATACACACACTGCTTCTCGCACCACATCTGCATCATTCACATACATGTCGCAGTCTACGTTCAACATGTACGGCGCATTTGTCATCAACCCTGATACTCTTACCTATTCAAAAATATCTTACGCTCATCACATTTTGTTTCGTGAAAGTTCAATTAATATTTAAAAATAAAAAATAAAAAATAAACATAGATTTCAATTGGAATATTATTTGATCTAATGTAACTAGTATGCGTATCATATAAGAGATGGATCACACTCGTAGGGTTATAATCATAGGATATGTATATATCACTGACACATTATGATATATCTACTTCAACATGGGATTGATTGATTTCAATCAAAACATAATGCATGCTTAGTAGTTGTACGTAATTAAATGTAATATCACATGGAACCTTGTACGATATATATTTGGGCCCATCAATCAATTGGTGATTAGTTACTAATAGGGAAGCAGGGGTCATTTTCTTCTTTACTATGTTACCTTCCCTTGAAAAGACCTATATCCACGCTCATAATTCCTTTGTAACCATGTATTACGTATTAACGAAATCTAAATCATAGAGGTCAATGTGTACTCAGAGAAACTAATCTTGGATCTCAAGCAATATCTTAATGGTGTTGGGACTGACACAATTTTAGGTACTTAATTACTTTGAAACCTGGAACTAAAAGAGAACAAAAAAAACTGAGATGAGTGAGAAAAGATTATTAACCAGAAAGTTCATGGCTCCAGCTTTGTAATGATGAAGGTAATTTGGTCTTTTCTCTCTTGAAATATATACGACATGTGGGATCTCTTTCTCGTCTCCCACACCTCCCTTGTTCTCCCATAACACCTTCACATAAAACAAGATTTCATGTAATTCTTCCAATTAATCAATTTGTTATGTGAATAACTAGTTAAGAGGTTATTATATTTACTCTGTTAAATTGAAGAAATACCTTAACTATAGTTGAATGATCAGTTGGTTTTGTGTTTGAGAAAGCTTCAAAATCATCGTCTGCGACCACCCAATGGGAATCTACGGTGGCATCTTCCACTTTCCGTCTTAACTTCTCGTACTCTCTCTTCATAATAATACAAAAAGAAAATTACAACAAAATATCCCAATGATTCGAAAAGCTAAGAATAAATCTTGGTTTTGTCTCTATTGTTTTAAACGCAAACAAATGTGGACCCTGTTTATTATACTTGTTTCTGTTTTTGATGCACAAACAAAAAACAATAAAAGTTATAAACTCAACAGCAACAGTTTGTCATTTGCATTCACAGTAACAAAACTATGCTAGATTAAAAAGTAAGTTAACGTGTTATTTTTGTAAAGTGAACGCGATAATTTGATTAACTTGTTAAACTCATATGCAATATCAAACTCATAGTCTAAAAAGACAATAAAGCTCTTTACCTTTGTCATTTCCCAGTCTTTACTGAATTCAGAATCCTCTAATGCGTCCGGAGGATTCAAGAAATATCTAAAAGGAGCTCTAACTTTAACGTTGTATTTCTTGCAGAAAGGAACCCAAATCTTGGCGAACTTGGAAGCTTCCTTGAGAGAGAAGTAAGTGAGAGGTGAGCATCCATCGTCCGATACATAACAAGCTATTTTGTTCGCCGGATAATTCACAGCTAACAACGAAAGCACGGTGTTCACAACCAGAATCGGCGGCTCCCGAACCGGATCCGCCGTGGGCACAAACATATCTACCGAAGGAAGGTCATGAGCCCTAAAATAAAAAATTACTAGGCCTGTTCATAGAAAGCTTGGTTTCGAATGTTTACTACAAAATTAAAAATAGACTTAGCTAGAGCCTGGTTTACCTTTCATCAAGTCTATCAGGATATGCTTTGTATTCAGCAGGACTCCATTTTATGCAGGTAATAAGCAGCCATATGAAAGAGAAAAAAGATTCACAGAGGAATGCTACGATCCAGACGTTGTCGTTTTGGCTCATATGTAGGATTCGGTACAAGAGAAGAGATAAGAGAAGGCCTAGAATCGTGAGATCCACAGCTCTTAGAACATAGCGTTTGTATGAGATCTTTTCGCAAAGAGGAGGAAGAGAAGAGCTTGAATCCGCCATGGGAGTAGCTTTTCTTGCGGTTTCTGGATATGCTTCCAAAGGGTTAATTAACTAAGCTCGTAACGTCTGTGAATGCGTGTATATATAGCATATTAGCATGTGAGGTAATATTTTGGAAACTAGGGTTAATAGTCAAAAACAATCTTACAAAATTAAGAAAAACAAAAAGTAGTGAGAGAAGATAAATTGAGGTAATATTTTGGAGACTAGGGGTGATAGTCAAAAACAGTCTAACAAAATTAAGAAAACAAAAAGTAGTGAGAATAGAATAATTGAGGTAATATTTTGGAGACTAGAGGTGATAGTCAAAAAAATCTAACAAAATTAAGAAAATAACAAAACTAAAGTTTGACTATGATGATATATATTCAATGTATTTTCAAAAATAATTTTCATTATACCATTTCCTTGATGAAAGATATACTAGACTTGATGAAAGGTATACTAGGCTCTAAATCTAGTTTTTAACTTTTTATTGTGAAGTAAGTATTTGAAAACTAGCTTTTTATCTATATACAAACGAAAAGGTTAATCATAATCATACGAGACTGGACTAGTTTGCCATTTAAATGCTTGAATATAAACATTATATAAATACTTTTGGGGCTTGTATATTGTTCAATTTTCGTATACATATACATTTTTTATACGGAAAGCAAAAATATACACGGTGACACCGCTAAATGCACACGAAACATTGAAATTTTTGCTACCAGACTGATGCCATGCATCAAGTAAAGGCTAACGCGCGTATATATATATATTTAAAATAGTTCAGCAAAGTAATTCAACAGTAAACCATTCATATTTTCATAGATATTTTGTCGAACTTCTTAAGATACGAAATATATTGTACAAATTATATATATAAAAAAGATGACTTGTTAATTATGTATATAGGTTGAAAAATTATATAATTATGTAAATAAAATTAATTATAACACCAACCGGACTTCTTAAGCTATGTGTTTCATTAGCGCCACTATTGTGTTACCACTTACAATCGAATTCTAATCTATCGGTTATATTAGCAATCAATTCATTAATAAAATGTTTTTCTTTTCATTACTAAGGTGATAAGTATATTATACATTTATAAATTTGTGTATCAGCATATGTATATATTTGTCTATTCGTGGTGATTTTTGTGTGGTCTGATTCAATTTAGGGTGGCGATAAAGTTTTGTCTTTTTACTCATTTGCTCCTGTGGTGATTGGTAAGTAGTCGTCGCCCAAAAATGAAGCCACTTAATGGTTCCTTATCTTTCTTTGTCAAACACTTAATGGTTCTTTATCATTGTTAAATAATAGCAAAACCTTGACTGAAAATTATGAGTAACAACGTCCAGAAAATTGTTTAGAACATAGTTTCTTACTTAGGAATGGAAACCATACGTGACTGACTCTTATTTTCCAGATTGGTAAGTAGCATTCTTCTTCTTTTCTTTGTGAAAGGGACAGGTTAGTGGATTTGCCCTTAGATACATGCACTACACCTTCATCTGGAACGAAATTCAATTCTCTTGAATTCAAATTTCGTAGTACGATAAAGAATAATCTCCTGTAAATCAAAACGGTACCTTTCATCAAGTCTATCTGGAAAAGGTCTATGTTCAGCAGGACTCCATTTTATACATGTAATAAGCAGCCAAAATGAAAGAGAAAAAAGGTTCACATAGGAAAGCTACGACCCAAACGGTGTCGTTTTGGTTCATATGAGATCCACAGCTCTTAGAAAATAGCTTTTGTGAGAGATCCTTTCGCAAAGAGGAGCGAGAGAAGAGCTTGATGCCATTGAAGGAGCTTTCTTTCGGCTTATTAGATACGTTTCGAGAAGGGGACTAGTATTCTGAGACATATATGTATGTATATATAATATTTTGTTAATGGTTAAGATAACATTTTCAAATATCAAACTATTCATAATTCCCGATATGTTTCTCTATGATTTGGAAAACCAATTAGCGTTAACTTTTTTTAAGTAATGACATGGCTTGCTTAAGTGTTAATTAGGCATTCAAAGTCAACAACCATGTCACATGCTCCCATGAAGGAACTCTATTTCTTCAAGCTCTAGGCCTGAACTTATTACTTTTTTTTTTTTTTTACTTTTCTTTTATTCATCCTTCCAAAAGAGTACCATTTGAGAATACAAGATGAAAAGAAGAAAAGATACAGGGAAAATACAAAGAGGGTACAATAACACTTAAGCCAATAATATGATACCAAACTAGTGTGAAACAAAACCGGGAGAAGAAATTAAAGCTGGAAGAAGGCGAACCAAGTGTGAAGATAGCTCGGTTCGGAAGTACCTGGCATCGACAAATTGAGACGATCGAGGCCAGCAAGCTTTGCACGGATTAAGAGTTGAATTTCCTTGACCAGGGCTTGGGATCCCTTGGGGTTGGAAGAGTGAAGACGAGCATTTCGCTCTCTCCATAAAACATAAACCACCGCTTGGAAAAGAATGCTGCAGATGAATTTTTTCCTAGGAGAAAAGGAGTTCGTGATTACCCAGCTTACGACATCATCAAGGGTTTGTGGCGGAGGGGAATCATGTGTATTAAAAAAACTGTTCCAAACTGTTGCGGCAAAGGAACAGTCGAAGAAAAGGTGGTTTCTAGTCTCCGAAGCACTATCACAGAGAAGACACTCCTCCAGAACCTGAAGGCCTCAGCTGCGAAGCCGATCCCTCGTCGACAAACGGTTCCTGATTGCAAGCCACAAAATAAACGAGTGTTTTGGAATATGATTGGTAAACCAAACAGCTCGATACCAAGTCACAGGTGGAGGGGCTGGGTGAAGAGCCTTCCAAGTCTTAGAGCTTGAAAAACGACCCCCAGGTTTGTCTGGGTTTGATTTGACAATTTATATCACCAAATTGCATTTAAATTCTTTTGTAACTTGTCTCCTTGAAAAACTTCAGTTAAACCAATTTTCAAAATGGATGACCTACTAAAAAATTATTTTCAATACGGTGTGAGTGGGGATAAAATATAAACAAATGCTTTTCTGAAAATCTACAAAACCAGTCGACAGTCTTCCACGCCTCACGGACCTCTTCATGGGATGTGATGAGAGAAAGAGAGAGTAGGAGGCCCATGGACAGCAACAATCAGAACGTTTACATCAATATTTCTTCAAATATGGAGGCACACATATATACGGACGTTTGTATCAACATTTCTCCAAATATGGAGGCACACATATATACGAAAATGATCTATCGGGACATTTACATCAATATTTCTTCATGCACACATATATACTATAATGATCGGGACGTTTACATTAATACTTCTTCAAAAACCTACCAAGTGTATCACCAACTTATATATATTGACCAAGCTTTTTTAAACTAATACAAAAAGGGGTTATACCAATGTAAAATTCCCTTATTTTCTTTTCTTTTTTTTGGCCAAATCGAAACATATTTTCTGAAAAGAACTAACAATAAAAGGTTTTTTGGATCCTGACTTCACGAATTATATTTCATTGAATAACTTGAGAGTACATGTCTATAAGTCTATTGATGTTTGTCAGAATAGCTTTCTTGTGTAACTCACAGCTAAAAATTGTTTCGCACTGGTTTACCGTCGTAAAACATTTTCTATACAAAAATTATATTAGATGATAATAATAATCAAGAAAATAATTGCATAAGTAGCATTATTAACTGGGGCAATGACATGGTAATCTTTTTTTAGTTGCGTAACAAACCCCCATAACACTATTACTACTTTCTGACAGAGAAAACAACAAATAAAACTGCTAGAAAAGCAGCTTTAGAAAGAGTAGACAATGGGATACCATATTTTCCCTTTTCAAACAAACCCATAAGAAATGGAAGGAACAACAAAACCACCAAAACACAAACACAAGCCTCTGCCAAGCCCGATCCCCCTTCAATGTGACTAGGACTCAACCATTTTAGACTCACCAAGAAACTAGCTAGACCGGCTAGATTCACCAACATAATAAATGTTCCTGGCATAAAATACGGCGAGCTGTCGAACTCGAATTTACCTGAGTCAGAGTCTGGACCACCAGTATCTTCTTCTCCTTGAGATGATCCTGACTCAGATCTTGACATAGTAGCGGGCATTGTCTTTTTAGTGACTATGAACACAGTTTTTGAGATTCCTAGAAGCTTGAGTGCGACATCAAGGATGCTAAATAACCAACAACAAGTGGCTTTTATCCTCCAAAATGATTGAGAGCCATACCACGATGTCACGGAAAAACCAAGGCTCGTAAATTCCCATAGAGTGTAAAGACAGTGCATCCCCACAAGTGTCACGACTATGCCTAAAAGAGGTCCCTAAAACAACATAGAAAAATATTAAAACATTACTTTATAAATTAAATATGAAAATAAATGGAATCATACTAATAACGAAGCCGTGATATGAATTAAGAGAGACAGATATATATACCTTGGGAAATAAGGTAGAGTCGTGAAGTAGACAGTAAGCAGGCAAGAGACAGTAAAAGAGCTCAGGGATTGATCTTAGAGCCCAAATCTCAAGGTAAAGATAAGCCAATCGTTGTCGAAATCTGATTTTCTGGTGAAACATTCCGATCAAAGGGCTTTGTTTGTTGCAAAGGACTTCGAGCATGCCTGTCCCCCATCGCCGCTGCTGAAGCATCGCATCTGGTCCTCCTGGCGGAATACATCCAAGAAATGCCGGTGGATCCGGACTAATAAATGAGCTTGTCCATCCCCTCGAATGGATTCCATAACTCGTGTTTATGTCTTCCGAAGTTGAATCGTATAACCAACCGATCTATACATATATTGATACGTAACAATAATGCATAATTAATATTCTGTCCAGTTTAATGTAAGAAACGTATGTATATTGATACTCTTCGTCCGTACGATGAGACATATATAACAAATAACTTTTGAAATGATTATGTCACATTTTTAATATTTTCTATTTTTTTTTTAAAACAAGAGATTTGTGAATTAATTTTTTTTTAAAGCAATACTAATGTTAAAACAGAATTTTTTTCCAAACCGATATTTAAATTAAGAAAAAAAACGAAATAATATAATTATACTGTTATTAGATTTTAGGATATATATATATATAAGAATTTAAGTGAGAAGAAAATTACAGTTTTCCCCCAGCTCGTTTGGTGCTCGTACTGACATTGGCCTACTTCTTTGGCCATTTCCAGGGACTCTGTAAGGCTATTTTGGAAATTTGCTTTTCTTTGTAATGCATCGACCACAGATTTGGCCATCTCCTTAGAATTCCCAAATTCCCTCTCTAAACTTTTCTCACCCACAAACTTCCCTTAATGAAACAACAACAGGAACCGTGAATGATTTGATTGATAAATAGTATAATAACGTAATGAACATCCATACTTAAAAATTCTGTATGTTAGAATCATAAAAAAAAAAAAAAATTAAAAAAAATTGGTTTTGATATATGCATGAATCTTTGGTTTTTGTATAAGAAGCACGAAACTATATTCATAGGATGTTTTGAAGAAGTAAAGTAATGTGATATCCCAACAATGTCGTATGATTTTGGCCAATAGTACTTACTTGTACCAACCGAAGAAAGACTTCCATCGTCTTCTAAATCGTCTAGAGAAAGACCGTACATCACTCTTCTAGTGAGGAAACATCCTGACCCTGCATAAATCGATCCTTGGATTCCCGCAATTCCTCCTCCAATATACTAAATTTTCAAAAAATAAATATAAAGTTGTTTACAGGTAAGTATTGTTTGGAAAATTATTGAGTTAAACTTTCTCTTCTTTTCAGTTTAAAAGAAAAAAAAAACCTTTCTCTATCAATAATATAAATAAACTAATAAGAAGTTAGGATGAGAAATCGCACTAATTGTAAAACGGTGAGTTCACCGGGGTTGCCATCGTAGAAAGCTTGAGGATATTGAACAAATGCACAATGGTTTGAAGTCGTCGATTTTTGCAGAAATACACACATTGCTTGTCGCACCACATCTGCATCATTCGCATACATGTCGCAGTCTACGTTCAGCATGTACGGTGCATTTGTCATCAACCCTGAAACTCTTACCTGTTTAAAAACATCTTACGTTCATCACATTTTGTATGGTGAAAGTTCAATTAATACTTTAAAGATTAAAAAGGATAAACATAGATTTCGATTTGAATATTATTTGACCTAATGTAAATTGTATGGCGTATTATAAACAAGTGATGGATCACACTCGTAGGGTTATAATCATAGGATTTGTATATCAGTATATCACTGACACATTATTATATATCTATCTCAACATGTGATTGATTACAAACAAAACATAATGCATGGTTAGTAGTTGTATGTAATTAAATGTAATATCACATGGAACCTTGTACTATATATATTTGGGCCCATCAATGAAGTGATAATTACTTACTAATTTGGGAGGATATGTCATTTTCCTCTTTACTATTTTACCTTCCCTTGAAGAGACGTATATCAATATATCCACGCTCATAATTCCTTTGTAACCCATGTATTAAGTATTAACGAAATCTAAATCATAGAGGTCAATGTATACTCAAATAAACTAATCTTGGATCTCAAACAACGTTTTAATGGTGTCATGGGACTAACACTTTTAGGTACTTACTTTGAAATTTGAATTGAAAGAAAAGATGTGTGAGAAAAGATTATTAACCAGAAAGTTCATGGCTCCAGCTTTGTAATGATGAAGGTAATTTGGTCTTTTCTCTCTTGAAATATATACGAAATGTGGGACCTCTTTCTCGTCTCCCACACCTCCCTTGTTCTCCCATAACACCTTCACATAAAACAAGGTTTCATGTTATTCTTTCAACTAAACTTTTTGTTATGTGAATAACTAGTTAAGAGGTAATGATATTTACTTTGGTAAATTGAAGGAATACCTTAACTATAGTTGAATGATCAGTTCGTTTTGTGTTTGTGAACGCTTCAAAATCATCGTCTGCACCTAACCAATGGGAATCTACGGTCGCATCTTCCACTTTCTGGCATAACTTCTCGTACTCTCTCTTCAAAATAATACAAAAAGAAAATTACAAAAAAATATCCCAATGATACGAAAAGCTAAGAACAAATAGTGGTTTGTCTCTATTGTTTTAAAGCGCAAAAAAAATGTTGACTCTGTTTACTATAGTTGTTTCTCTTTTTAATGCACAAACTAAAAAAAAAAAAAATTATAAACATTTTTTGATAAATTTGTAAACTCAACACCAACAGTTTGTCATTTGCATTTACAATTACAAAACTGTGTTAGATTAAAAAGTAAGTTACCGTGTTATTGCTGTAAAGTAAACGCGATAATATGATTAACTTGTTAACACAGATGCAAAATCAAACTCATAGTCTTAAAAGGCAATTAAGCTCTTTACCTTTGTCATTTCCCAGTCTTTACTGAATTCAGAATCCTCTGAAGCGTCCGGAGGATTCAAGAAATATCTAAAAGGAGCTCTAACTTTAACGTTGTATTTCTTGCAGAAAGGAACCCAAATCTTGGCGAACTTGGAAGCTTCCTTGAGAGAGAAGTAAGTGAGAGGTGAGCATCCATCATCCGATACATAACAAGCTATTTTGTTCGCCGGATAATTCACAGCTAACAAGGAAAGAACGGTGTTCACAACAAGAATCGGCGGCTCCCGAACCGGATCCGCTGTGGGCACAAACATATCTACCGAAGGTAGGTCATGAACCCTAAAACCAAAAATTACTAGGACAGTTCATAGAAAGCTTGTTTTCGAATGTTTACTACACAATTAAAATATAGACTTAGGGCCTGGTTTATACCTTTCATCAAGTCTATCAGGATATGCTTTGTATTCAGCAGGACTCCATTTTATGCAGGTAATAAGCAGCCATATGAAAGAGAAAAAAGATTCACAGAGGAATGCTACGATCCAGACGTTGTCGTTTTGGCTCATATGTAGGATTCGGTACAAGAGAAGAGATAAGAGAAGGCCAAGAATCGTGAGATCCACAGCTCTTCGAACATAGCGTTTGTGTGAGATCTTTTCGCAAAGAGGAGGGAGAGAAGAGCTTGATACCGCCATGGGAGTAGCTTTTCTTGCGGCTTTTGGATATTCTTCTAAAGGGTTACTTAACTAAAGCTCGTTACGTCTATGAACGCGTGTATATATAACATGTACTAGTGTTCAGAAAAGAAAGAAAAACAAAAAGTAGTGAGAAATATCAAATTGAGGTAGTATTTTGATAGTAAAAAAACAATCTAACAAAATTAAGAAAATAACAAAACAAAAGTTTGACTGTGATGATATTCACATTTTACATGTAAGATATACTAGACTTAAATTTATTATAACACCAACCGGACCGGACTTCTTCTTAGGCTGTGTGTTTCATTAGCGGCTGTGTTACCACTTATAATCGGAATTTATTAATCTACTGTTTATGTGGCGTGTGGCTTATATGAGCAACTAATTCATTAATAAATGGTTTTTTTTTTCATTACTAACATGAAGTATATATATTACACATTTATAAATTTGTGTATGATGTGTATCAGCATATGTATATCTTTGTCTATTCGTGGTGATTTTTGTGTGGTCTGATTTAATTTAGGATAACGATAAAGTTTTGTCTTTTTACTCATTTGCTCTGTGGTGGTTATTGGTGACTGGTGAGTAGTCGTCGCCCAAAAAATGAAGCCACTTAATGGTTCTTTATCTTTTTTTGTCAAAAACTTAATGGTTCTTCATCATTGTTAAATAATATAAATAAATAAACTTGACAGAAAATTATGAGTAACAACAACTTCCAGAAAACTGTCTAGAACAAAGTTTCTAATTTAGGAATGGAAACCATACGTGACGGACTCTTATTTTCCAGATTGGTTAGTGGCCTTCTTCTTCTTCTTCTTCTTTTGTGAAAAGGGCAGGTTAGTGGATTTGTCCTTAGATACATGCACTACACCTTCATCCGGAACGAAATTCAATTCTATTAAATTCAAATTTCGTACTACGATAAAGTATAACTGAATATCATTTAATAAAAGAAAATGTATAAAAGTATAATTTATGAACTTAAAACACATGACCAATTCAAACTGACCGAGTTAAACTAGAGATGCAAATTACAATGGTGAAACGAGTAAGAAATCGAGAAGCTACTAGAACAGGATTTGACTCACCTCGCTACACAACACTAGTAAAGTGAAAAAGAAAGAAAAAATTACAACTATATTAGAGATATATTTATAAATGGAAGATTCAATAAATACCTAGAGGATTATATTCTTGATAATATAAGGAATGGCTCACAACTTAAGTCGTAACTATCCAAAGCATCCGAAAAGAGATTCCACATGAGAGACACATATGTGTATGCGGCCGCGTCACACCAAGCTTTAATATATTATCAATTTGCCGTGTTTCTTTGAAGATTGATCGTTGGTGCAAGATGGTATTGTGACTTTAACAAGGTTAAAATCTAGTTTCGGTTAGAGTTTGGTTAAGGAAGTCTAGCTCTAAAGAATCAGTGTAACTGAAGGAAGTGATTTATAAGGTTTGGGTTTATTTGTTGTCTGTTTCTAATAGATTCGGTTTCTAAACGTGAACGTAAGTAAAAAGAACCAAACCTCGTTAGACATGTCTCAATTTAGTTTTTTGTACTTATTTATTTTATTTGTCCTCCTTGTCGAAATTTGAAATAATATGTGTGTGGTTGGTTTTTACTCCTTCTATGTTCTTAGTTTTCCGTAAATTAACGTCCACATACAATCTCGCAAACGACCAAATTTTCATCAAATCAAGAAACCACGAATCTCCGAAAAATGAAATCAAATCGGCTGTCATTGTTACAATACACACAAAGATATAACGATAGATTTTTATGGATTTAAGCTAATAATTGAGAGAAAAGAGACAAAGCCGTAGACTTCAAGAAATAATGAGACAGAGACAGAGACAGTCCCGTTGAAGAGGCGACGCAGCTTTTTCAAAATACGACTTAAGTCACGAATCCAGAATGTACGGCTACTTTTATCGTTATAGATTTATCTTTGTGTCAATCGTATTATCGTCATAGGTTTATTTGTGTCAATGAAAAATACAAAAAACAAAAAAAAGTTGTTCTTGTTAAAACAAAATATACTTCTGATCAATTGGACCGCAAGGCCCATAGAATCATACTGACCTTCAGGTCTTATTGCTACGACGACGTTTGAGAGTCGTTTTGGGTTGACTCTGAAAATTTCCGCAAAACAGATAAGTTTATATTAGAGTGCGAGAAATGTTCGCTGCACGAGTGTCATCTTCATCTTCCAGATTCTTCTCTTCTTCAATCGGAAAGACTTGTTCACTCTCTAGATCCTCGATTCCTTCCTTTTCTCGGTTATCAGTCCGATCAATGGCCGATTCCGCTTTCAAGAAAATCCAGATCCAAAGAGATGACACTGTAAGCTTCCCTTTTCTGTCTCTGCCTGAGTTTTTCTCTACTTCGTCCAGTTTTTTTTGGTGTATCGGAAGCTTGGATCGTATACGTAGTGCCTGAATTTCGAGTGTTGTGTATTGAATTTTGGATTGAAAATCGTCATTGATAGTTTCTCATTCCAAGTATCGCAATCGGCTGTGTAGGAAGTGTATTTAAGAAGGAGAAATGTGAATTTGGGTTACTGATACGTTCTGAAGCTATTTCTCAATGGATTAGTAAGTATTGTTCTGCTTTGCTTCTCTTCAACAACTGAGATTTGTAGATATAAGGAATGTGGAAATGCATTTGGTTTGGCTGTTTGTTTATATACGATTCCTCTATTGGCTTGACTAGTTGATTTCCTCAAGAACACTTTCACTGTTTCACTCATCTCTCTGTGATTTGCTGGTCAGACGTTTGATGCCTATGTGGTTGGTAAAGATGACGCGCCCGGGATTGTGGTGATTCAAGAATGGTGGGGTGTTGACTTTGAGATCAAGAACCATGCTATCAAAATCTCACAGCTTGAGCCTGGCTTCAAAGCTCTCATCCCCGAGTAAGTATCTCTTGCAACGCCAAAATTAGCTTATTCTCTTTGTAAAACTATATCTCATTGAGTATCTTTCCACATCATTCTTCTGTAGCCTGTATCGAGGAAAGGTTGGTCTTAATACTGCAGAGGCACAGCATCTAATGGAAGGCCTTGACTGGCCAGGTGCCATCAAAGATATCAGCGCTTCTGTTAACTGGCTTAAAGCCAATGGCTCAAAAAAGGTGCCAAACTTGAACTGAAATGCTTTAGAGTTCGTTGTGAAGCTGTATAAATTATAACTTCGGTGACAGGTTGGTGTGACTGGGATGTGCATGGGAGGGGCTCTAGCTATAGCTAGCTCTGTTCTGGTTCCTGAGGTCGATGCTGTTGTTGGATTCTACGGAACTCCTTCCTCGGAGCTTGCGGATCCAGCACAAGCCAAGGCACCGGTTCAGGCTCATTTTGGAGAGCTTGACAATTTCGTTGGTTTCTCTGATGTCACGGTATGTATATATATATATATATATATACCATTACATTACATTTGAAACTGTTTGGAAATTACGTGAGATCATACCACTTGATTTGTTACAACCTTTTGCAGGCAGCGAAGACTCTTGAAGAGAAGCTGAAAGCGTCGGGAGTGGCGCACGAGGTTCACGTATATGCAGGGAACGGGCACGCGTTCTTGAACAGGAGCCCTGAAGGAGTGAGCAGAAGGAAGAGCATGGGACTTTCTGATGAAGACGAAGCTGCCGTGGAGCTTGCTTGGTCTCGCTTCAACTCTTGGATGAAGCATTACTTGGTTTGAGCTTTTCTTTCTATAGACGGTGTTTCATGTTAGTCACGAAAACTTTGTGTGAGGCCCAATAAGGAGACTAGTCACTCCTAGGACTTTTATCTGAATCAAATAAAGCGGTTTGTTTGTTTATGCTTTGTGGATTTTGTGTGAAAATATGTTTGAAGCTTTTTCTATGCTTGTGAATCAAATTTGCACGTGTTTCACATTGGATTTGTACTTTCTTTTTTGTCGGCAAACAGCATTGTATTTGTATTAATTCACGTAAGATTAGAGCCTCTAATTAACCGTTCACTGAATCACTAATCACTAACAGCATAAATGTTCAACAACTAATTTCAGCCGCATCTTTTGAGACTTTTAATTACTCTTCGATATCGAAAGCTCCCCCAAAAATCTGTTCTATGGCTTCCGATAATTGTTTTGGCTATTAGGTTCTGATCATTGTTTTTGGATGAAAAGACACGTAAAATTGTATTTCTGCTATAATTTACACGTGCTTTTACTAATTTAACTACGGTTTAAGCAGTTTTTTTTTTTTTTTTTTTTTTTTTGTAAAAAATACGGTTTAAGCAGTTAAAATTTGGTTTTCTCGTTTCACCTAATGAAGGAAAAGTTAATTCGTCATGTAAAGTTACGTATCGATGAAAAACATTCATCAAAAATATAATGCAAGTGGAGAAAGGACACGATATGGTACAACCGTCGTAAGATCTGATCTTATCACTGAAGTGTAGTGTCGGCTAACGACTTAAAGCGCTAAACACTCCCGAAAACTTTGTTCACATTTTCCCACCGCATAAGAGGAAATTCTTCATCAACGTTTGCCCAAATATCTTTCGAACCACACATGCCGACAAATGATACAAAATCTTTTATCAAATCAACCGACAAATTATATAAAAAAAATACTTCATCAACGTTTGCCCAAATTCTTTTCGCATCGCATGCCGACAAATGATACAAAACTAATATCAAATCAACCGACAAATATTTTTTAGTAGAAAACCCATAAAACGTGCATGAGCCAAAGGAACCCACGCGATCGACGGGCAACAGCAAGTGAGAACAAAACAAAACTATTTTTTTTTAAAAGTGCACCAAACATAGATTACAATTAGGAAACCCATAAAAAAAATAGAGAGAAACCACCATGAGGAACATTTCAACCCATAAAAGGGTAGAAAATCTCTTATGAAAAGAGTTGATGATACTCCAACGTGTGGAGAAGTAAAATTCGGATCATGAATTTTCAATTTTCATATTTGCTTTGATTCTTTCATGTTCAAATTGTCCAAACCATAACAGTTTAATTATTTAACTTTTTGACTGCTCCATCAAAACGATCATTCTCTCTATTCTAATACAACAATTGTTGCATACGCATTTTCATGTTTTAACATAAGTTTGTTTTTAAAAAAGGGTACCGTTTTAAAATTTTATTGTAATATTTGCCATAGATATCTAGTTTACTTCTAGTCAAAATTATTGTTTGAAAATAAATAAAAAATCATGGTAAACCAGAATTCGAGCTTTTTTGTTTTCGGTAGAGACTTAATTTTACATCTGCTTTGTTTAATAGTTTACGTAGAGGATATCAAGGCGATATTTACATTGACACTGTGAAAGTACTTGTATTGTTCTAAGTTCTAACGTTGATTTTTGTAATCATTACAGATGATTGTTTGGCCTTTCATTGGCTGGATGTCTTGTTCTGCGGATGAATACATAAATAAACATATTGTTTGAATAAAGTATTAATGCTACGAGTTTTGAGTACCATCAGTGACTAGTGTGTAATGTAAGCAAATCATTTCCATTTAATCAAATATTAATTTGTTTGATTGTTTCAACATTAAATTTACCATTTACATAAATGTTTCAAGTTATAACCGATTAAAATAAAGTGAACCAAAATTAGATATATGGACCATATTATATTGATCCACTATCATAATTTATATTCCGAAAAGCAAATAAATTTGTTTTTCCTAGTAAAGAGAGAAGGGAATATAAGTTCCTTATGTCTTACTCTTGATATCTAGAGTTTAAAATTTGAAGCAACGAAAGAGGTCTATTTTGCTTTTCTTACGCATTATAAATTTGTCTTTCATTTTTATTAATAAATTTGTTTTTTGTGGTTGAGAATTTTTTTAAAAATAATATCTTACTTCATGATCATCATAATAATATATAGATCTAATCAAACCTTAAATACATCTTTGACATTTGATCCCATTATTTAACAGTCCCTACAGTCATAAACCGATCATAGTCTGTATGTATATGGTTCTTGGCGTTAAACCACCAGAAGTGTATAAGTACTTCCTTTTATTTTTTGAAATACTTTTCCGTTTCATAATTTTTTTTTTCTTGTCCACCTTTTTTGGATTTGCTTTCTAGTGAGATGTATACTATAAAAATTGAGTAGGTTGTTGCTTGAAGTAGGCGTTCTTGCCCCTTTAATTTACATATTCCTCCTTGTTTTCATGCCATGTGTTACATACACGCATTAGTTTTTACACATTTGCGCATTTATATGTTTTATATATATTATATCATATCTTATGAACGTATTAGAAAAACTTACTAAACAACACGGAAACTATACTTGTTATAGGACAAATAAAAATAAAAATGCCAAGAGTCACGATTCAACATTTGAGTAATTATCTAATGTGCTTAACAATATATTTCAGGTAGCTTACGTACGAGTTACGGCTAGTTGATCCATGCTCGCGTAGAAGTACGAAGGAAACTCGTTATAGTCAGGGCCGGATTCGATTAATTCACCGTGCGCAAAAATACTTAACATGAACTAACATGATAACTCAAACTCAAACTTACATAAGTCCCTGTGGTAGGTTTGCAGAATAATCTGTATATAGATATTCGCTGCTAAATCTTAAAAAAAAAAAAAAAAACTTGTATCGAATACTTCTTTTTGGTCAACGTATCAAATTCTATATCAAGAAATAAAGAAAGACTTCTTTTTTCACCCTTTTTTCATCAACCCTCTCGAAAAAACTAATTCTTGGACATGAATAATCTAACCTTGGGGCGTGGATCATCCACCACCTTTGGACATATACGTGATATCTTTTTGTTCATTTTATGTCTTAGACGTGAGAATAGTGTCTTAACGTTAGAGAACAAGATATATTGTAAGAGTATTTACTTACTTGGTTACTTTTAACAAATAAAAACTTACTTGGTTACGTACCCAAACAAAACTAGGATGTCAAAAAAGTTTCTGAAAGACATTCGTGGAACTTTTAATCCTGTAATTTAAGGTTTTGGTCGACGTCTTGACATGTTGAATTCAAAATCAGGTTTCACCAAAATGTGTTTATTATTAGAGACAAATAAATTTAAATATAAATATATAATGAGGACATTTTTTAGTTTCTTTTTAAAACTGGACAATTTTAGTTTACGCAATGAAGTTTTGACATCCCATTGCTTTTTGCAAAATTTTGAAATTTTAAAATTCAGATATAATTCATTTAATTCATATGAAATGATACGACATATTGACATATTGTACTGTTAAGTCATTAAAATTATTATATAAAAAAAAACTGATTCAAAACTGATAATGAAGTAGCTATGTGGAGTGCAAATAACGAAAGAAAGGTGAAGATAGAAAAATCATCATTAGCCTAATTAGTCGTCGTTGTATATGTGAACTTGACTTTAATTTGAATGTAAGTTGTAAGTTAGAACCATAAAACAGACCTAATGATATTTGAAAATGATTATTTATTTCTTAAACCTCAACCGATAATGGTGGTTAAAACCACCGCTCACTTTCATTTATTTTCTTTCCAATGGGTAAACGATTTCATTAAAGAAGCTTCTTATTTTATTGTTCCGACAAATAATTTGGTATTCTTGTCACAGTATTTGTTTAACGAACGTCTGTAATCTATATGCTAACAAGTTGACTAAACTATACTAGAAAACAAATATATCGTTGAATATTGTAGCCTTGGTCTCCCCGGTAGGATAAATGATATCCCGAATCTTGGCATTGATTTTGTTTACGAGTTTTTTTTTTTTTTATATATTACACAACTAGCAGAAAATTAAGTTTCAGAGGACAAAAAAGTATTTATAAATTGAGGTCTTAAATTAGAATTTACGTTGCATATTTAAAACAGTGACATCTTATTTATATTTTGGTATGAAAAGTTGACAAAAAATAAATAATTAAATATGTGTCATAGACAAATAAGAAAAGAAGATAATTGAACCCAAAAAGGATCAAATATACTGATAGACAAGAGATGAAAAACGCTGCCAGACATGACTAACTATTTTATAAAATAATTTAACAAACAAAATCTGCCAAAAATTCTAAAGAAATTATATATACAGAAAAGTATATAGACGATCACGAAGTGTAACGACAAAGCTCCAAGTGTGCAGATAATCGATCAAAATCTACCAAAGTGCCCAACTTCTCCTCTCCACTAATTTTATCTTTCTTATACCAAACTCATAAGAAACCACAAATCACATACTCTAATAATTTGTTTCTTCTTTACACAATATAACGAAAGAGAAACAAATAAAACATTACGCCACTTGTAAATACCACGTATCATCTAAACTCTGACGACGCGTGGCTCGAGAGATATATACGGAACTCATGGTCGGAGCAGAAACTAAAAGATCCTTTGACCATAGAGAGCTCGACACGTCATCCTTTCTAGAGACTGTAATTTAAAGAGTCGCCAAATTCAAAGCAAAGAAAAGCCACATCACCATACCCAACGAACTTACGTTAGATACGTTCCACTGCCACGTCACACGCCAGTTGATATTTCACTCACGTTTCACATAAACCTTTTTCATGTACTCTTCAAACTTTCACATATTGTACACACTTTCTCTCTTTCATTTTATTTTTTTGTTTCTTTAGAATTAATAATTAGAGAAATCAAATCGAGACAGACAGATTTCATTTGGTTATCAACTTTAAAAAGAAATCCACGTGTATACACAAGAACATAGTTACGTTATTATATTCACATTTTTTAAATTTTAGCGTTGGTAGATAAAACTCGATGTTACCAAAAGTATACACTATCTAATCCACACCCAAAAAAAATAAAAAATCGTTTCCCCTTATATAAACCTTCTCTTGAATAGCAGAGTGTAAAAAAGCAACAAAGCAAAAAAAAAAAAAAAAAAAGTTTTGTTTTATCAACTCTCTTAAGCTTTTCTCTAGTCTTCTCCAAATGGAATGGACTAGAGGAAGAATCCTAGGCCGAGGCTCCACAGCCACCGTCTGCGCCGCCACGTATCACAATTCAAACGAAACCATCGCCGTTAAGTCCGCCGAGCTTCACCGATCAGAGTTCTTGCAAAGAGAAGCCAAGATCCTCTCGTCGTTGAATTCTCCGTATGTGATCGGATACAGAGGATCAGAGACCAAGACAGAGTCAAACGGCGTCGTTACGTATAACATTTTGATGGAGTACGCACCGTACGGTACGTTGACCGAAGCGGCGGCGAAAAACGGAGGCCGACTCGAGGAGGCTCAGGTCGTTAAGTACACGCGCCAGATACTGCGAGGACTTGAGCATGTTCACTCGGAGGGAGTCGCGCATTGCGATGTCAAGGGGAGCAACGTGGTTGTTGCGGAGAAAGGTGAGGCCAAGATTGCGGATTTCGGGTGTGCGAAACGGGTCGACACGGAGTTGGACTCGCCGGTGATGGGAACGCCGGCGTTTATGGCTCCAGAGGTGGCTCGTGGGGAAAAACAGGGGAGGGAGAGTGATATATGGGCGGTTGGGTGTACGGTGATTGAGATGGTTACGGGGTCTCCGCCGTGGACGGAGGGGGATGAGAGGGATGATCCGGTTTCGGTTCTCTATCGGGTCGGGTATTCGGGTGAGACTCCGGAGCTGCCTAGTTTGCTTACGGAAGAAGCAAAGGATTTCTTGGAGAAGTGTTTGAAGAGAGAAGCGGAGGAGAGATGGACCGCGACTCAACTACTAAACCATCCGTTCTTGTTAACTAAACCGGACATTGAAACGGTTTTTGTTTCCGGTTTTGTTTCTAGCTCACCGACAAGTGTGACAGATCAAACGTTTTGGAGATCAGTGGAGGAAGAAGTCGAACAAGAAGAAGAAGAAACAGAGGAATTACAGGAGTATTCGAGAGATCTAGACCGTTTAAACTTGTGGGCTTGTCATTTGGAGAAGATCGGACGGCTGAGATGCGTTGGTGGGTTGGATGGGCCCAGATGGGATATGGAAGGTGAGGATTGGATCACGGTGAGAGTGAGTTGTGAAGGAACAATGATTAGTGGGTCACATGAGGAATTGATTATTGGAGAAAATGTATTTGGGGGATTGTAAATTGATTTGGGTGAATTGTAGTAAGTATAGGGGTTGAAATTAGTGAAGATCTCCAATTTAGGGGAGATCAATATAGCTTGTTAGTGTCCGAATCTTCGAAAGATCACATGTATATATTATTGAACACGATTTTTTAAACCAAACCCAAGTTTTTAAATTTTACAAACGGTTGATTACTATAGAGTTTCAAGGTTTGTTGGTCCGCACTCATGTGGTCCAGTGGTATGGGGAAGCCTTGGTAAAGGGTGAAACTCCCACACCCGAGTTCGATCCTCCCTGGAAACAAAATCACATTTGTGTGGGAAGTCTGTCAGTTGGGTCTAGGCCCAATTGGTTTACATGGTAATTAGAAATGCAGGCGGCCTGATTACCCCCTGACATTAGTCGGAAGGCACTCCAAACTCGGAATAGGTGGTGTGGTAGTTCTTAGGATGAGTCCACTTTGTAGCACCTCGGTGCGTTTCTCCCGGAGCTAACCGAAAGCCGATAGGGTCTATAAAAAAAAAAAAAAAAAAAAGGTTTGTTGGCAAGCACAAGAGACAAGCTTTGAGCTATATTACATTTAAATCATACTATCCCACGTTTTATTACAGTGAATTTCTGTATGACTTAATTTTAGTCATGAAAAAATATAACTAAATCATAAGCTTATTCTAATGTCCCAAATGTCTTTTTTTGTTTGTCTTGATTACATAACAAAGAAATGACTTGTTAAATATATTGGCATCTTATTGAGAGTTATGGGTGATACGCTATCAATAAGATTAGAAAATAGGGCATAGATCCAAAACCAATTATTTAAAACTTGTGGGGGAAAGTGAGAAGTGAAGGAAAGAAGAAAGGTGCCAAATCGGTTCGTTGGTTTGGTTGGTCACCTTGAGTTTTTGACAAAACCTAAAGATTCCTTTAGAATGTTAAAAGAATGATCCGTATATATCATTGGTGCAATTGATAAGCTTCTTCGTTAGGCCAATGTGACGATTCATCAAGTCTTTGCTTTCACTAGCTGGATTCATTCATATCTTATTATATAGTTGATGACACCTCACATAACTTGTCAATTACTGCTGGACTTTCTCTTAAGAATTACCATTTTCTTCTAGTCGGATCATTATCGAAGTTTGATATGCCTTGACGACGATTAGAATTGTGGCTTTTTTTTTTTTTTACTTCAGTTCATAGTTCGCTATACTGACCATATTCATATATTGGTTTCTAACTTTTTATTAGATACATTTTTTTAACACACGCAATAATTGTCAAATAATTGGTGTAAGCTATGTAAACTTGTCTTAAGTTTCATTCTAGAAGCTTCGGATTGTTAAAAACATTATTACAACAACAATGTTAGTGAAGAGATAAGGTTAAATAATGAGACATAATAGAGAAGAATACTTTGCTTGCAAGGTAAGTTCATGTTTGGATAATTATCTTTTTATCTTAGAGGGTGAATAACGAATCTTTGATTTATGGTTTTCACTAGTTTTGTATAAAAGTCATAACCATAAATAGTATGGGCACTCACCACACGAATGCTTTACTTCAAAGACGCTGACTCGCTGAGCCTCCCTTTTTTCTTTCTCTTATATCCTGATGTATGGGTAAATATAACTCATTAATACGTGTCTGATCTGGTTTTGGATCGATTTTATAGTTAAATATAACTCATTTATTTATACTAGGTAACAAAATATTTTCAAGTTCTGTTCGACAAAGATGCTCGTAACTATTTTTACACAATATTATTAAGTATGGTTCACCAAACAATTCGCAAAAGCAACAGAATATGCAAAGGATTCAGAAACATTCTTTATTTAGCAAAATAAATTCCACTGTATATAATCGCACGAAATTCACTAGAAAAGCTAAACAATCCAAAGAAAAGGTAAATAATACAGATGAAGAAGAAAAATGACTATATCCAATAAAACAGTTGTTGTGTCATTGGCTCTTATAGTTATCACATAATTTGAAGCAAAAGTTGATTTTATTTTAAGTTTGTGTATTCTTTTGTCATACAGGATTTGGTGCATCAGTGTTATATCGAAATGTTTTCGATCCAAGTAGTGTTTTAGAAGTCATAGCTATTTATTTCATAAATTTTCCTATAATATTTTTTTTCTGAATAAAAACTTAAAGCCAAATTTTTTAAAAAATTTTCCAAGCATCTCTACGATCTCTTAACTTTCAAAAGTTAAAAAATAAATACAAATTCTATCGTGTTTTATGTCAACGTACAGATGTTAGTAAAAAAATTTGAAAATTTAAAAAATGTCGATAACTAAATAATAAATAGAAATTAGAATATCGAATTTTGTGGCGCAAAAAATATTTTAAATGGCATGTCGAATTACACAAATCCACAACTACCACAAACCCCAAAATCTTATTCGCCTCTTAAATCTCTTTTGAGAAGTGATAAAGAGCAAAACCATGCGAGACTCCTTCCGCAACACTCGATGATGATCCATCAAGCTTTAGCTCTCCCGCGTTTTACTTTCCCAGTCTTCACCAAAGGTAAAAAGTTTGGATTTTTCCTTCTGGGTTTTCGAATCTCTTTTATCTTTCTCAAGAAATTCGACTCCATTTCTGCGCAAACTTGACCCGAATTTGATTTCTCGTGATCGATTGGTACACTGACAATCTGTTGTTCGAAACTGTATCTGAAGTCCGAAGCTTGTCCACATTTAGTTTGGAATTTCACTATGTACTTAATCACTCAAAGCGATTTCAATCTCTGACACATCAATCCGAGAAATGACCTCTGTTTTCACTAATGCCCTAACATCATCTGTGACCTAAGAGGTTTCTCTTCTTGCAATTGACAGGATTTAGGTCTAATGGAGCTCTGTTTCTGCATCAGTCCCGAACAAAGATCCCAAGAGTACCATTTTGTGCTACTGATGATCAAATTGCCAGTTCCCAATTGAAGAAGACAAGGTTCATTTTTTGAACTTTAGCTCCTATGTATGTGTGTGTGTGTGTGCGTGTGATTAGACCTGAGATTCTTGAAAAAGTTTCAAACTTGGCATGTGGGTTAGGATTACTCACCCTTGAAAGTTCAAAATTCTGAAACTTTACATTCAATTATGCTCCACAGGCAAGTAGTGGAGCATGTGTGTTTACTCAAAGCAAAAGAGAATTTATCTGAAGAAGAAGAGAAAAATATGTTGGATTATCTCTACACATCTCAATACCAAATGAGAGGCATTGTTGCTATATCTGTAGGTGAGAGCTCTCATATTCTTGGTTAAGTCTTGTGTGTTAATAAAAAACCAGTCTCTGATAGATATTCAGTTTACTCTCACAGGTTGCATCGGTGATAGAAACGGTGAAGATTACACGCACGCTCTCTACATGAGATTCCAGAAAAAGGAAGACCTTGACAAGTTCTATGAGAACCCTTCGTTCTTGAAAGTTCTCAGTGAACGTGTGACACCATTCTGCCATGTATGCTCTTACATGTAAACCGCCCATTCCTACTCGTTAGCTCTGTCTTTGTTCTTGTTCTTCTCTATTTGTTTAGATGTTTCATTCTTGTTACCGTCTGGTTTTTAATGTATCAGGGGCTAATGAATGTGGACTATGAATCAGAGGTTGAAGATGACATCCTTTCAATATTCCGAAAAGGAGAGGTATAATCGTATCATTTCAATATTCAAAGTTAGCATAAGAGAGCAAAGGGTTACTACTGAGTGAGATCTGAGTTACTTCTTGTTGCAGGAGTACAACTATGGCGAAGAGTTTGTTCTTCTGGTTGCTTTTGCTAAGAACGCTTCTGTCAAGAACATTGAAGATGCAATGGATTATTTTGCACAGCTAACTTCATCTCTTCCATCAGTAATTGTTCAGTCCACACAAGGTGCTTTTGAAGAATGCATTTGGAACTATATTTTAGACATTCATATGATTGATATATTATAGCCAACTCAAATTGATACTAATCTTTTCCGATGTCCAGGCTCAAACTTTAACGACAGCAGTAAGGAATTCACACACGCAGCAGTAGTTCGATTCCGTTCATGTAATCACTTTCCCTGATTACCAAAAAGACTTTGAATTCCTCTGTTTTCTTCTCTCACTTTTTGCTTTTGGAAAATATTGCAGTTGAGGCCATGGAGATTTTCCTTGAGGGCAGAGAGTATAAAGATGTAAGATCTATCATCATCATTATCAACTTAACATAAAGATGATTTGATATAAGAGAGATTGAATATATTACTCTTTGTCTTTCAGATGTGGAGGTCTCAGTTTGAGCCGTTTATAGAAAAGGCACTAGCTCTTCATTTCTCTGTGGATCCTGTGGGTACCGACATCATGTGAGAGATATTACGAAACATTTCAACTTGACATGTAAAGATTTGGCTGGCATTACATTTTAAACAAAGTTCTCTCTATTCCTTTTAATACAACGAAACTTGTTGCAGTATAAGTTTCTTGGTTACAAAATTAAACCAGTCCTTTTAAATCTTCAGAAATCAGAATCATTTCATCCATTGTGAATTTTAATCAGATTGGTCTCAAGCAAATCCTAAACTGAGATTTGTGGAAAATATAAGTAGAAAAGAAATTGGCTTGTACTGTCCGATCCTTGTGAATTCTGTCATGGGGCTTTGCTTCTTGACCAATGGGCTCTATCAAGAACAACTAAAGATATTTGAGAGAACAAAATTCGTTTCATTGGATGGCTGAAAATAAATTGCTTTTTGCATACTCCTCTCTTTCGACCATCATGAGTTCTTCCATAATGGTTAATAAATAACCAAAGACATAACCAAAGACGTCATATCTTCTTCTCTGAAAACGTGAAAAGTACTGTGTTCTCTTTGTTTAAAAGCGTTTTCGTCTGATTCAAGTGTTGTTTATCTTAATTTGAAGCGTTTTCGTCAGAATTAGTCGTTGTATACCCGAGAAAATAATATGGCTAAAATGTTATATATGTAACAACTAACAAACGTGCATGTACATGAGCAAAAACAAAAAGCATGATTTTTACAAAGATGTGATGCATATAAGGTTTGCATTAGATATTACATACCTGAACACACTTGAATATTGTTATAAATATAGAACGTTACACATTTGTTGACATGAAATAAACTATAGATATAGGCGTCGACAAGGCTTATACCTAAAGAATAAGATTAATAACATTGTCTCATGCAAACTAGATTGAAACATGAAAATAAAGTACACCACAACGATTACATATAAAATTTGTTTTCTCTCATACAAAGGAGATTGAAGTTTCTGAAAGGGGAACTTTTTTCTTTTCTTCTCATGCTTCAAGCCATGAACATGACAGTCATATTTTTTTTATCAAACTCGAACCTCTCTCTCAATGGAGTACTAATTATAATTAGTTCCATATTGATTTAATTTCTCTCATATTCATATCGAAAATATTTGTAAAGATCGAGATGATGTTTGGCTCCGATCTTACGCTGTTCTTTCAGCTTGATCCTGCATGGAGTTCAGCGAAACTATAAAAGATTTAGACTTATAAGCAAGAAGCCAAGGACAAATCAAGTTTTCTTACATATGTTTCGGTATAATATAATCATAAACTATAGAAATTATTTGATCACAGTATACGTATACATATATGTTAGAGAGAGAGAGAGAGAGATGAGTTGAGTTGAACAAAGAAACCCACATACCATGGTAATGATGAAGAAGTGATGACTCGCCAGAGAAGCCATAGACACATGTATTTTTCTCTCTTTTTCTGCCCATCTGTTCGTCTACAAGATTTCAAAGCTTCGTTTACATTTAAGTCGATGATAACTTAGTTAGGTATGTAAATAAATAATGATAGATAGAAATGGAATATACTAGAATAATGATGAGCATGCTTACGGCTGATGAAGAATGATGATGGTGACAATAAAACAAGAACATAGATCAGCCAGGTTCAATGAACCTGGCCGCCTTTTTGTTCACCCACAAAGCCACGAAAGGAGGGAAAAAACAAGAGTGTGGGTTGAGGATTTATATATAGACAGACGTACGCGACAATTTTTATTTTCTCTTGAAAAAATACAACTACTTTTACTATTTCTTTCTCTCATGTTGTAGATTTTTGCTATTCTCCTACCAAGAATTCTATTGTTTTGAAATTATAAATGTCTAGGATCTTCAGTTCGTTATTTTCTTGGAATCAAACTTTCCGGTTGATAATATAAATGATCAATACGTAAAATTATATACTTTTCTCTCTTTTTTTATAAAAAAATTACAATACTTTTCTCATGCGTAACACCAACTCACTAAATTTTAGCAACAAAAAAAAAAACACTAGCTCAATACGAATTTCCATATCGAATCAATTTTTATTATTATTGTGATTTGGATGCTAATTTTTTTTCATTCAATAGCATATTTGGAATATGATTATCTATATATAAATAGCATGTAACACTTATGAAATGAAGTAAGTCATATGATATTTCAGAAGGAAAATTTTAGTTAAGAATCATTTTTTTTTTGTTGTGTTGTTTTTGAGAATCTGAATATCACTTCAGAAGCTTAAGGTTCTTTGGCAATCAAGCATGGCCTATAATTCCTAGTCAATTCATTAGTCAGTTGATATACTTTTTGATACCGTATTATTATATTTAAAAGTAACACTAAAAGAAAAAAGAGTTAGGAATTTGGAAAGATGACCTACCTACAATACAATTGAGTTCAAACAAGTAGAAATATACAAAATGGACACGTTGTTTAGTTCATGACACGCAACTTGTGTTAGGTCTTTTAGTTAGTGCCCTCTTTTCATCTTTACAAAAGATTGACGTTTCTAGTCTTGCCCAACACAAATCAAGTATTTTATTATACAAAGTCTTTTATTTAATAATAAAAACTATAATCATTTACCTTTTCTTTTCACTGAAATCATTAATTTTTCAAAAATATAAATCTGACGTAGAAACTTGAACTCAATAATTACTGTGTAAAACAATCAAAGCTTGTAACGATTTTTTTAAAAAGCCTGTGCAAATTATTTGTCACCCAAAAAGAGCAAAGGAAATCACCCAAGTCATTTTGATTAGTAGTATATGAATATATGATAGCCGTAATTAAGTTTGGTAACTACTGAATTAAAATAAATGTTAGGACTATTAGGACATGTAACTTAAAGAAACAAAAGTACATTCGAGTAAACGTGCACATACATTTTTTTTATTTTTATTTTATAACCTACCATTTTTTTTCCATTAGATCATTATTGTTATGCATAATTTTATGTTTTAATAAAAGTAATTTGATTTATATACAAATTAAATTTATTCTTGGATTTTTAAATGATTCCACTAGAAAAATCCTTTAACAAAAAAAAAATATTCCACTAGAAACAATATCATGCATTAGGTTTTTCGTATAAATTAATATGCAGTGAAAGAAACACTCGAACCGACAAGCGACAAAGCTTCGTGTTAAAGGAGATGTCGGTGTCCGGCTGTCCGCTCATTCCCAAATTCCAATTGATCACGTGCCCACCAAACCTTACAAGTTGCAACCCAATTGGCTTCTTTGGATTCTCTAAGACATCTTTCTCAAACATGTCAACCAAAATAAATTAGATGATTTACGTAAAAATGGGGTTATTAAAACATATGTCAACCAAACCAATATGTATGATTGGTATTACCACTTCTCTTTCTCTTTTTTTTGTTCTTTCCAATTTTATAATGTTGAGATATTTCTTAGATACTTACAATTACGCAATTTTTTTTGCCACGAATATTTTTGAATTACATCACATTGATCACAGCCATCTATCAGCATCATTATATGTGGACAGGATTTGCCATTGTAAATAATGGTAATTCAGTAGACACGTCTATTTAGTTCGAGTAAGGTGCACCATGTAATGTAACCGTGTTGCATGGAACTTAGTTTTTTTTTTTTCTGTTAGAATTTTTTTTAACGAAGTAGATTTCGTGGCCAATCATGAGAGCAGAAGAGTTTGGCTAGTGCGGAGAAAGGAAAGGGATCGAGACTAAACGATTCTGATCGAGAGTGAACCAATGAAAAGTTTGGAAAGGAGCAGAGCCGTGCCTAGACTTTTCCATGCCGTAGGCCAAATAAAATATTTACACCAATAGATTTTTCTTATTTTAAGTCCAATTTCTATATACAGAACTGTAATATACAAAACAGTAATCATGAGAGCAGAAGAGTTTGGCTAGTGCGGAGAAAGGAAAGGGATCGAGACTAAACGATTCTGATCGAGAGTGAACCAATGAAAAGTTTGGAAAGGAGCAGAGCCGTGCCTAGACTTTTCCATGCCGTAGGCCAAATAAAATATTTACACCAATAGATTTTTCTTATTTTAAGTCCAATTTCTATATACAGAACTGTAATATACAAAACAGTGGCGAGTGTAGTTGCCATCTAGTTGATCTTAAACCTAAGTTGTTACTGTGGGAAAATAAAAACAAATTCTAATGATATTGATAGTGATCCATCTATGCTCAAGTTAAAAACTTGTCAAGAAAATATTTCTACCGATGAACCACATTGACATATATATATGCCTCTTAAGTTTTGTTTAAAAATTGTATGCCGTAGGCCAGTGCTTCTAAATTTCTTCTAAATTTCTTCACAAGGCACGGCTCTGGAGAGGAGAATAAAAGTCTCTAAAGCAGACGTAAAAGGAATCATCCTTTCCCTGGAGAGATCGAGTCTCGTGAAGCTCGGAGGAACGTACCAAGGATCGTATGTTCTTGGAGACGCAAGAGAGAATTGGATGATGGTGTCTTGTGACTCGGGCCAAGATGTTTAACACGATGTCCTTTGGTAATGTGAGAAACGACGACGGATACTGTGGAGGATCATTGTTTGGTGGCAGTGGTTCGTTGGTTTTGGAAGCGGTGGTGGTAGACTTTGGCTTGGAATTTTAGGGTTTCACTTCTATCTTGAATGCTTCTGCCTTGGTGGAAGAAAATCACGATGACACTTAATATATATACTTAACAGATTACAGTTATTTGTTTTATGTCACTTCAAGTTTATATTGTAACAAAATTTAAAATTAACCCATGTGTCCTTTTTTTATTGGCTTCGAAAGAAGATGACACTAATAATTTAGGATTAAAAAATAGAAATGGAAAAACAGAAAAGATAAATCAGATCTCTATCTTAAGTCTCTTCTGAACTTGTAAGTTAGCATACCTCAGTTCTTACTACTTTGTTGCTGCTTTCTACCATAGTTTAAAATTATTAAGTATGCATTTAAAATGTTAATGAAACAATACTATTATTACAGTGTGTGGATGGTTAAGAGCAATTCGAGATCAATTTTGGCTCTCTATGTTTGT